AAAAATAACTACAAAAATATAAGGCTTCGAATTCAAAATAAACCAATTTTGTGTTCAAAGCAACAAATTTTAATGATATATATAGTACTTATGGTAACAATAGTAGATTCATGATAGCTGCATATCTGGGTTTTTTTTTTTTTTTTTTTTTGGGTCTAGGAAAAAGCTAATAATAATAATAATAATATCCCTAACAGTGTGAACAGAAAATTAAGAAAAATTATTTTTGGTTTGATGCAGTCACTAGCAGATAATATGAATCTTATAATGTGTTTTGAGCCTTCTAAGTATGATTAATTAACTTTTGTAAATGTTTTACTATTATAAATACTTTAATTATTACAGTTGTATTACAATTCAACATCCATATATATTATATAAATAAATATATAAATACTTCAAAACACGATAAAATTAATATATAAATGACGAATAATAAAACTTATTTTTCTTAAGTTTAAAAATTTTATTATCAGTGTGGATATCATATAAACATGAAAAACATCACCGTCAAAAGAATAAAATGAGTTTTGTTTTTTATTAATCTAAATTTAGTATTTATGAAAAATATTTTAAAAATAAAATCTTAAATACCCTTAATATAATTAAAAAAAATTCCATGATTTTTTGTTTAAAATCATTCATTTTCCTCTTGTTTCATTGACTGTTCAAATTCAAACTTCAAAAGCTGGTCCATTGTGGAAGAAAATAAAAGAGAGAGAGAGAGAGAGCGAGAGGAACAGCCAACTGTTTCTGCATGCAGACAATATGATGTGAAGAAAAATTGCTTCCATTAATTCTCGATAGAATTTTGTGGTTTATTTGATCACCAGTTTTGCTTTATTTTTGCCATTGATTTCATATATAATAGTCAAAATTCCTATGCAATTAAAATACACACATGCCCCAAAATGTTACTATGCAATTTAAAAGAGACATGTGTCAAAACATTAAGCCTAGACCTTGTTTGGGCTCCAATTTTAATGGAAAATGACAGAAAAGGAGCAATTTGATGTTGAAAATGGGAATTCAATGAACCTATAACAGGTCACTCAGTTGGAATCAAATTTGCATTCTCTTTTTCTAGACATCCATGGAGATCCTAAGTCTAGCTGGGGTCCTATATATATGTCTATTTGTTTGCTTAATCCTAATTATTTTTTATAAGGGAAAGACTTAAGTGAAAGTTTATGTCAACTTAACCAAGATCTTCATTAATTAATTAAAAAATTAAAAAATAACTTAGTTAAAAGTTTAATTTCATTATAAATTAATAAATCTTATTGCGATATAAACTTCAGATCTATTAAATACTATGATAACATAAATCAACTAGATTAAACCTTAAATTCGAATTTTAAACTTTTATTCATGATCTAGCCAACTTGACATGGCCATATATCCATTAGTTAATATGGCATTTTAAACTTTTATTCATGATTAGAATTGGACCATTCATCTTCTAGGGTAGGATATGTCTGATTCCCTAAACCTTAAATTAATGGTAAAGCCAAATCAAATCTCACTGGTTTAATGGTATCATTTAAAGCTTAAAAATAAACTAAATTATGTTATGAATATTTTATTAGTTTGTTTGTTGTGGGTTCTTCTTGATTATATATATATAAATCAAACCCACCGGCTTTTTTTTTTTTTAATTGAATTTGTGGGGTTACATATTATGGAATATTATATTATTTTTTTGATCACTTCTGTACATTTTAAATGTCAGATTATATATTAATCACACGTCATATAAAAATCAATCTCAGGTTCATCTGCATGGAATTAAGTATGATTGATATCTCACTTTCTTTGATTGCATTACATTTATACAATGAAAATTACAAAATTGATGGTCAATTTTGCTTTGTTCATTTTTTTTTTTGGTCAACACACTTTAATCTATGTTGATTGATCAGAAATTTTCCATTCAATTTCCTGAAAAGAAACTTTTTGAAAAGATGCCTTATGCACAAGCAAAGAAGTCATTTTAATCTAGTAACATTTTTTATTTTTCTTTTAAATTATAATTCGAGTTTGAATTCAAAACTTTATCATTGTTATTGTCATCATTCTTAAATCAATCAATTATTCATGGAGAAATTATAAAAAAAATACAATAGTAACCTTTCTTTGTTGTTATAATGTAAAACTATCATCAAATTCAACACATTTTTAAGAAAATATGAAAAAGAAAGCAGTGATGGGGTCCTTGAATTGATTAATCAAAGCTCTCAAGTTTTACCAAAAAAAAAAAAAGGAGAATAAAAAAGGTTGTTGAATGTTCTTTCTTTGTCACATGGGCATGTCTCTTTGACTCAAATTCTAAGGAATAATACTAAGGTTTCTGTGCCACCAAAACACAACACTTCCATCAAAGATTCAGTATTTTTTTTTTTAATTTTAATTCAAAAGTTTAAGCTGTCAAATGATAACTTAAATATTTTTTAATTAACTTACTAATACTTTGTTTTTTTTTTTTTTTTTGGTTCCTTTGATATAATAATCATGGGGAAGTATGTGGGAAATTGAAGGGAGGATTGAACAAAAAATACATTAAAATGAACAACTTTCCTTATTATATACCATATTCTAAGAAAATTTGGAAAAATATCCTTTGGTGGTGCTACTGAAATTTAGGATCTTATTTCATCTCTCATTGAGAGTGACTGGAAAAGATTTCTCTGCTGAAAGTTTTTACTATTTTATTTGAAGGTGAATAATACATTTTTTTTTAAATTTATGATTGATATTTAATTATTTGAAATTAAATATGAAAATAAATAAAAATTAAATTAAAAAGTAAAAATAATTGAAACAAATATCAACCATTTAAATTTTAATTCCCTAATAACTGTACTTTTATTTTTATTTTTGAAAATAGTCAATTTTTTTTTTTTACATGTAAGTGTCACGAGTCGGAAGTTTAAGCCTAACTACTGTGCAGCTTTAAGTGAAAAATTACCATCCGTATGTCTAAATAAGCTTTTAATCCTACTCTGTTTCGTATATTAACCGATTGTGTCATACACTTATGCTGGAACCCTCTTGGCCTAGGACTCGGGCATTGTCCGTATCATAAGCACAGGATCAGTCACTTCATCCTTAATTTCATCTCTCTTAATTTTGTTTTGTTTGTCTCTTTTTTTCTACAAAGATGCACTTTCCTTTCATTTACAACCTATTTTTAATTTTTGCAGTGCAATTTAAGAATCATCTTTGGTAAAAAAATATAAATTCAAAATTGTGTTTAGTTTACAATATTGAGATACATGCATTAAATTTTTGCTTTGTCCTTCTGCAGAGCTAAGACTACAAGTTTAAGTTCAAAGATCTGTTATGCGAGTAGATTTGCTCTGCATTTAGATAATCTCTCTCTCTCTCTTTTTTTTTTTTTTTTGGATCGCTTTGATGACTGATAAATAGATTTGAGATTTTGAACTGAAAATTATGTAACCTTGGATTTTATAATTCTCTGTCAGACTCTAAAAACAGAGCAACTTTGTTTGGAGTAGAGGGAAATACCATCTCTGTTTAGTGGTTGGTGAGGTTGGTGAGAAAGAAGTTGAAGTAGTGAATATCCCATAAGTGGCATTTGGTTCGGAAAATTCATAAATTTTTCTTCAAAATTTTGATAATAAGTATTTAATTTTTACATTTAATTGAAGATAATTTGATTATAGAAAAAGAGACAAAATTTAAACAATACCCAGAGTTTCAAAATTGAAAATTCATATATGTGATACTCTAAGATTTTAGAAAAACAAGTTATTTTATTTTTAAATTTGATCTAAATAAAAAATTATTAAATAACAATTACTCTTTTGAAAAATATGTATGAAAATGACTGCAACTCAATTAGAAATTTTTGCTGAAAAAAATTATTTTTTTATAACATTTGACAAGAAAAAATGTCTTAAATAATACATCATTTAAATCATTTGAGTATTTATTATTAATATAGCAAAATGAAAATTTTGTATCGTATATGTTAAGGAGACTATAATACTTATGTAAGAAATAATATACATAAATTCCTCTTAACTAAACGAATATTTATGATAGTTATGCAAAAATAATATACATAAATTCCTTTAGATTAAACGAGTAAATCTAAACACGAAATATCCTGAAAATGAAAAAAATCCTTGGATATCATACTTTTTCTTAAAATTCAAAATTTTACAAACCAAACACCCTCGTAACAGAAAATTGAAGTCTAAACTCTTTCATTTTTGTGAGCTAAATCATAGAAATATAAACTAGCCAATTTTGTGGCTTTCATAGGAAAATTAAAGCTCTGTTTGGTTCATTAAAATGGTGAAAAAAAAAAAGAAATTTTGGATTAAGAATGAAAAAGGAAAGAAAATTAAATACAAAAACTCAAGCGCTTTTATAGAACTTTAGTAGGTTAAGTATGTAATTCATCAAGATTAACTGTAAAAATGAACCGCATTTCGTTTTTGTTTCTCTTGAAACTCTCCTAGAACTAGAGTGAGTTTTCTCCCTAGGCTAAGCCTGTTGCCTGTTGTGCAATGGTGGGAGTCTTATAGCTTATGGTAAAGCAAACATATACAGTGACAGTAGGAGCCATGTTGCTCATGCAGTCATGTCCAATGTTGCGCAAGGTAATGCTTATCTTTAAGTAGTTCCCAAGAAAAAAATGGTGGTGCTGCTTGGAACTGGTTGAGCAAGATGAGTTTCTTGAAGAAACTGAATAACCTTACGTTGTGTTTGCCCCATTGCTACTAAGTGCTACATGTGGTGATGAAGTTAAGGGATGAGGTGGCAGGTCTTCTGCTTACATGTAAAAAATTTACCTATTATGGTAAATAAAAAATAAAAGTACTCTTATTAGGGAATTAAGATTTCTTAATACCTTAGTTTGGGAAGCTGTGTCTGTGGCATCAAATTCGATAATTCTATCATATTCCAGCATTTCTGGTTGATTCGAAGAAGAAAATCTTAATGAAACCTTTCTCAGTAGATGTAATAGCTAAAAAAAATTTTTTTTTCATGTGACAGTGTTATAACCTTTCATTGATCATATGCAAGAGCAGCTCCAATAGTGGGATAAACAAGTTTGGCCGCTATAGTCACATGACAGGATTATGAAGCTTAACTAGTTCAGGAAGAGTCTACAAAGAAGCAAAACTGGACACTGCCACATTAATGAGACAGGACATATTTCCAGCTTCAAACAAAATATTTCTCATCATCGATTAAAGGCTTGGTGCAGACACGCTTAATCCTTCAAGAATCTATCATGGTTTACCATAAGCTTTTTTTCCTTTTTTTTAAATCTCAAGATGAAGCCGGAATACCTGGTTCGTGAATTTGAATAGCTGTTCTAGACAAACTAGCTTCAAGTTCATTTAACTCATCCATGTCAAGTTCATCCTCGTCGTCGTCCTCATCATCAAGAAGGATATCTTCAGAACCAGCAGCTGCACTAGTTACACTGCTTGGCCCAGCTGCTGCTGAATCATCCTTGACCTGAAATTGAAGACAGTGAAAATGAGGTGAGAGAAAAAAAAAAAATGTATTTGAAGTTTTCCTGATGCTTAACAGTTAAAAGAAGTAAGCCTCCACAAAATATGAGTTTCTACCCAACCTAAATCAGATGATTTTAGCATGGTTATCCATTAAAATTCTATGTATCAGATCCAAGATAAATAACAGATTCTGTTCCAATCCATGTTCTCAAGCATAGGGGTGTAAAAGAACATAATATTTGACGAACAATTCGTAAACATATTCAGTTTCTGTTTGTTTATATTCATTTATTAAACTTAACAAATGATCACGAATAACATTTAAAGGTTTGTTAATGAAACGAACAGATCATGAACATAACAAAGTTCATTCATGTTCGATTAATGTTCGATGAACAATTCATGAACATGCTTTGTTTCTGTTCATTTATTAATCTTAATAAACGATCACGAACAACATTTCATGGTTCATTAATTAAACAAACAAATCAAGAACATAATAAAGTTCATTCATGTTTGGTTCGTTTACACCTCTGGTCAAGCATTTGCAAAATCCAAAGAAGCATCAAAGGATAAGGCACCAATATTCAATACATGGAATAATCCACAACTGACTTCACAGGAGATGAGCTCAGTTCTCTTTCAATTTTTCTGTTTAAGATAGGATGTGAAGTAATACTATTGTATTCTATTAAAAGTGCATTGCTAATGTATGGCTAGAGAACAAATGAAATACTAAAGGGTATCCAAGATTTCAATATGAGGTACTGCACTGCGAAACATGATAGCTCCGGTACTCCACTCTACAAGTAACATTCCATATAAATTAATAACTATACATGTACAAATCAAAACACTTAGATGCATGTTCTTTTGTTGTGTTCGAAAGCAGGCAGGTATGCTGAAAGAAGAGAAGAAGAGAGGAAGGTAGGTGATCAAAAAAGCTAGAGATAAAGAAAGCATGAGTGGAGAGCCCAAAACTTTTAGAAAAAGAAAAAGTAAATATATTGATTTTGATAGTTGGGATTTGAATATAAAAATTGCTTCGCTGTTTATCACACAAGCTGCTGCAGCAACATCCCCTCTTTATTGTTTTTGTCAAGAGAAAGGACAGGGAAAAGGAGAAAAAACAAATAAAAAGCAATCAATAGAGATTAGAGGAAGCAGATAGAAACTTAAGGCTCTAGATTGTTGTAAATTGGAAGCAGAAAATTTAACCTATGGAGGAATAAGCAGGCCCTTTGGTGCATGTATGGTGGGTGGGGAAGATAGAACAGGGATGTAGGTTGACCAGAAAAACAAGTTTCCGGTGCCAAGTAGTTATCAATGAGACTGAGGGCTAGTAGTACAAGAATTACCTTCTGCTCAGTAACCTCAGGTTCTTCTTCTCTCTGATATTCCTCATATGCCTCAGCATCATCCACAAACAAACTTGCGTCCGAGAGAAACAACTCACGACCACTGAAATTGATAAACAAATGAATAAAAATGTTCAAATAGAATATTTTCAATACAGACCAACCTGCAGGAAGATAATACCTCATGCGATCATTCTTAGCCCTCTCTGCTCGTTGTGCAGCCAAGCTAGCTTCTCTTTCTTCCATCTTTTTTGTCTTCCATTGCAAAAAGAGCTCAGTAGTCATTGGAGTTGATGCTGTTATTTTTGAACGCTGATATAAACAGACAAACAATAAGAACAAGACCGAATACCATCACAGAAAACAAGAAATAGTTTACACATTTGAGCTGAAATGGTCATTTCATCAAAGGGAGAAAGAAAAAGGAAACCTGAAATAGTCCTTGTAAGTTGTGATATAGCATAAAAAGTAGAAGCAAATCACAACTTAGCAAACTTATGTATGATAATTTACCTGGTTTTCAATCTCTTCCTCAATAGGAATCTTCTCACTCTCTTCCTCCAAAAGTGCCTTCATTTGAGACTTCAAAATATATCCTGGAGGAAGAGCATGTCTGTAGTGACAATCCTTGCCACCATTTGGGCATGCCCAGAACCAACCATACTGTTTCTTTTCCACAGCTTCTAGAAAGTATTTGCAAACCTGTGCACATGTATTATAAACAATCAACAAATAATGATGCTTTGCCACATTTAACTGCACAAAGAAATTGGATCACAAACAATAAATGTTATTGAAGAACAACAAACAAAATGGGATATGTTAAGATTGGCTTGTGAGTTGTGAAGAATAATGGCCAAAAATCACCTAAGAGGCTAAGACCATTAAGATCCAAAGAATGATCATGGAGATCTACATAGTAGTTCATTAACTAGTTTTCATTCTTCCAATTCAAAATAGCCAATTATTATCAGCCAAAATTAAAATTAACCAATAACACCTAGTGATTATCATTACTACAAAAATCTGAGCCAACTAGATGAAACCTAATTGCCAACAAATTTTTAGACCTTCTAAGTTGTTACCCTTAATTACGCTAAATTTTAGCCCCCAAAATCATTCTTTCATTGCTACCCTTCATCACCGAGAAAAAGAGAACAGAGCAGAAACTTTAAATGTCAAGATATGATTAGCCAAAATACCATCAATGCTTTATGACAATAATAGATTGAGTGGGAAATAGATTACGTACAATCTCAGTGGGCTTATTCTGGTTATATTCTGTTTTCTTCGATTCCACAACCTTCTCAAGTGTCTCTTGGTCCCAGTCCTCCATTGTTTCTTAAGGAAAAGAACCAAAAAAAAAAAAAAAAATCAAAATCCCATTGGTAAGAAGAAGAGTCAAAATATTGCATACTAGCTACATGTCTATTAATTACCTTGATCACGCTTGTCACTGTAAATATCAATCTTCTCACCCTTCCGCTGAACATTCAAATCATGCGAAAACTTGCACTTAAAACCTTTTGTGCATTGTCCCACTTTAAAAAATTCACACACAATGGACTTGGGATCCACACCTATCCAATACCCCAACTTCCATTATCGACAAAGCCAACCCAGTTTTTAAATATAAAACACAAAACCAACAAATAATTCAGTTCAAAACAAAAAATTATACATACCTACTGGTACTTTCGGTTGCGTAACAGCAATTTTAAACAAATCATTCAACTCCTTCTCTTTTGCTTTCTCTTCCTCTTTCTTTTTCTGTTCATACCATCCAAAAAAAAGTGTAATCCAGTTACTATAACTATCATCCAATTCATTTTAGTTATCATAAAATGAAAAAAATCTGGCCCTCCTAATTAAATTCCCAAGCTTCTTTGTTAACAATAATTACCAAACTCCATCTGAACGTTCCCAAATTCAAATTCCTTACATTACAATTAGAACAGCATCAAATATCTAATTTTTACTATTATCAAACATCTGAATGTGTGGAAGTTGCTAAAAAGTTTTAAAAGAAGGTAAAAATAAACTAAAATGCACCGTAAATTCAAATATAATTGTTGCATATAAGAGCAAAACAACCCATTTTGCTATATAATTTAATTAATGTTTTTTTTAATTTTCATATAAAAAAATTAGCACTAATATTTGCTTCAATATTCAATATTCATATTCAAATAAGCAAATAATAAACATAAAAAAAATTATTCATTTCATATAAAAGTAAAATCATGGATTTTTATAATTAAAAAAGTTAAAATTTTCCATATAAAAAAGAATTCAAGTTTTTTTTTAATTGAAATAAACAGAAAAGTACCTTGGCGGCGACTTTAGACGGATCGGGTTTGGGTTGAACCGCTTGTTGAAGACTTTGAACATATTTCTGAACATTTTTACTTTTGTTTTTGTTCTTCAGACCGAAGGTTTTGTCTTCAACCACTTTTTGCTTTTTTGCCAAATCGGCTTTCGATTTCGCTTGCTGCTTTGGGGGCATCGTTTGGGAATCAGAAAATTAAATTAAATTAACTAATTAAAATCAAAATTAAAAAAGAAATTAGTGAAAATTTGAAGCTTTATTGCAGAGGAGGAGGACTAGGAAATAGGGTTTTAAGATGGATTAATTAATGGAGCGGAGATGGAGAAGGCATAGAAAAGAAGGGAGGGCTTTTTGTGTTATTTAGTTGAAATGACGACTTTCTCCTCGCTAAAGGTTTGAATGGTATATTTTTTTTTTTTGACAAAAAGAATTAAGTTTATTAATTTTTAAGTGTAAACTAAGTGAAAAAATTTTAATGATTAAATTTTTTATTAATTTAATAATTAAAATTAAGCACTTAACAATCACAAATTTAATATAATAAAAGATTAAAATATATTTACATTGAAATATTTACAAAATTATTAACAAATTAAATGATAATATAAATCATAAGAAATTCATAAGATTAAGATTTAAAATGAAAAAGGAAAATTTTCTAAATTTAAAGATTATAAACACAATTTAAGAAAAAGATTTTGTTAGCATTACAAAAATTTTAAGTGTGATTTTAGAATCAAATTAGTTTAATATTATTATGTATTTCTCAAACTAAATTCTTTAAATATTAGTTTAAAAAAAACTAATTCCTAAGGTCTTAGTGGTAATTTAACTCAACCGGTGCCCTTGCCCAAGTATAACTCTTTTCACTTGGGAGCTCCAGTGCTCCACCATGGAAACAACTCTCTTGTCCTTCCCTTCCTCCAAAGCTCCACTTTCCCAAATCCTAACCCCAAAGCCCAGAACCCCATTTTTTTCACTTTCCCAAACCCCTATTCCCTACCATCAGAGCAGCCATTCGCGTACCAAAAAAAGCAACAGTTGAAACAGTTAAAACCCAGTTGGAAAACTGTTGCCTTTTGGCTGCTATAAAGTACACAGGTTTCACTGTTAAGCAATTACAGGATTTGCGTACATCACTTCCTGAGTTATCCGAGTTACTTGTTGCTTAAAACACTTTGGTTTTGAAAGCCATTGATGGAACTCCTTGGGAAGCTTTGGAACCATGTATGAAAGGCATGAATGCTTGGCTTTTTGTTCATAGTGAAGAAATCCCTGATGCTATTAAACCTTACAGGGCGTTTCAGAAGGAAAAGAAAGTTGAAAATGACTTTACTGGGGCTGTTTTTGAAGGGAAATTTTATGGTCCTGGAGAGTTTAAGCAGTTGGAAAATATGCCTACCAGGGCTCGATTATGCTAAGGTTTTGGGAAGTTTACAGAGTCCTACTATTGGACTTGTTGGGACACTCCAAGCTCCTGCCAGGGATGGTTTTGAAGGCTTATGTGAAGAAACTGGAAGAGGAAAGTGGTGGACAATAATGGGGTTTTGAAGATTTTTTGCTGGAGAATGGAGGTTTCTTGTATTTGTAAGTGCAATTTAAGAAAACCCCTTTTGTGTTGTTGCATTCAAAGAGAGAATTATGTCAAATGTGCTAATTTGAATTAGTGATGTTGGAATCTCATTGCAAGATATAGATTTTTTCAGTGATTCTTTTGAATTTTGGCATCTTCTAATGTGTAAGAGCTATGGTTATTTCAATCTCTCATTGTTAGTGCCTAGATTTGAATTTTAGCTTATTTATCTGAGGAACATCCCAGTTGTTAGAAACTAGAACTTTTAACATAGAAGTCTCAGGCTCAAACTTGGAGAAGGAAAGGTGTGAAATTTAGGTGATAGGAGAGAGTTATTTCCTCTTTATGTTGCTCAAAGCTTCGTTGGCCTCCATCTGTACAGAAGACAGAAAAATAAATTGGCAGCCAGCATATCTTAGTGAGTTTGTTGCCGCTGCTACTCTTGTTCCTGTTTAAACCAGCTTCTGTGGGTGGCATTTGGTTAGAACTAAACTTGAATGGTAAAGCTTAAATTTGCTGTGAGTTAGGTCATCTGAGGGTTCTTAATCAGGTATTTTTGGTTATTTCTCATGTATGCATAACTTAAGCCTGCTAGTTTATAAGGAACTTGATCTTTTTCTCCCCAAGAAATCTATTTCGTTCCTGGATTTTCATGTAGATTGACCTTGATATGCTTGTGCAGTTTTTTTATTTGTTCAAATTGGAGATAGGCGGGCCTGATTGTGACTGATACATGTTTTCTTCCTGAGATTTGTGTCTCCAGTTAGTACTATTTGTTTTGATGTAAGCGGTAAGGTCGTATGAGCTGCAGAAATGAAAGGTTTCATTCGATTGAAAGACTTTAAATCTGTGTATCAGAATATGAGAATAGAAGTCATGATTTTGTTAGTAGAGCTGTGTTTTGATGTCAAAATTATTTCAATCTTATAATGTGTTCAGATCACTCAAACCAACTTTTACACTGATGCTTTGCGAATTTAAACTGCTAAAATTGTCTCAGAGATGATTGCCAGACTTGAAGAGACTCTCCTCCATCCTACTCGCAAAGGAATCCGAAAATCCCTCCCCCTGTTACAGCAATGACCAACCTCACTCAGATTTTTCAGAAATCAAAGTTCTTCTATAGTCTATACATGAAAGGATCTTTTACTAATACCCATCAACTCCTGATTACCAAAGGTCTGCCTTCTTCTTGATGTTGAGGGTAGCACAGCAGCAACAATCACAGTAGTAGCAATATCAAGAACCATCCCATACTCAAGCACCCCTGCAATCCTCAAGATGGAATCACTTAGCAAAGTGCAAATTCGCAGTGTTTTCTTGAAACATTAAGGCCAAAATGTAATTGCCATTATCTGTAATTGTTGATGCTAAAATATGGCTGTGAAGTCAACATTCTTTCTTAGCTGAATACCCGCAAGACACAGGCTGTTAGGGAAACCAATGCTTGAGTTAGTAAATACCAAGACCGTAGCAAGAGAAAGTATAGAGAGATTCTAAAAGAGAGAAATCTGCCAGCTTGGCGTATGGATATGGAGGTTTCCTTCTGGTCAGCAAATAAGTCTGGTGGCAACCAGAAGAAGAAAGAAAGGATAGCATCTCTGGAGGGATACTGGTCTTTGACTCTTCTGTTTTGGTTGAAGAAGTACTGAAACTTGTTTGCTGGCCATGTCCGAGCAAAGCAAATTACTGCTGCAAGGATCATCCTGAGCAGAAGCCATTAGTGATAGTAAATTTACAAAATAAAAGAAAAAAAGTATTATAGTATAGGATTTGAATTTCATTCGTGTTGAATGAGATTAAGATTATAAGTGTTGAAATTTAAATCTTATATATGTTAGATACGATTATATAAACACCTGTTACAGCAATGACCAACCTCATTCGGATTTTTCAGAAATCAAAGTTCTTCTATAGTCTATACATGAAAGGATCTTTTACTAATACCCATCAACTCCTGATTACCAAAGGTCTGCCTTCTTCTTGATGTTGAGGGTAGCACAGCAGCAACAATCACAGTAGTAGCAATATCAAGAACCATCCCATACTCATCCACCCCTGCAATCCTCAAGATGGAATCACTAGCAAAGTGCAAATTCGCAGTGTCTTCTTGAAACATTAAGGCCAAAATGTAATTGCCATTATCTGTAATTGTTGATGCTAAAATCTGGCTGTGAAATCAACATTCCTTCTTAGCTGAATACCTGCAAGACACAGGCTGTTAGGGAAACCAATGCTTGAGTTAGTAAATAACAAGACCGTAGCAAGAGAAAGTATAGAGAGATTCTAAAAGAGAGAAATCTGCCAGCTTGGCGTATGGATATGGAGGTTTCCTTCTGGTCAGCAAATAAGTCTGGTGGCAACCAGAAGAAGAAAGAAAGGATAGCATCTGTGGAGGGATACTGGTCTTTGACTCTTCTGTTTTGGTTGGAGAAGTACTGAAACTTGTTTGCTGGCCATGTCCGAGCAAAGCAAATTAACTGCTGCAAGGATCATCCTGAGCAGAAGCCATTAGTGATCGTAAATTTACAAAATAAAAGAAAAAAAGTATTATAGTATAGGATTTGAATTTCATTCGTGTTGAATGAGATTAAGATTATAAGTGTTGAAATTTAAATCTTATATATGTTAGATACGATTATATAAACACCTGTTACAGCAATGACCAACCTCATTCGGATTTTTCAGAAATCAAAGTTCTTCTATAGTCTATACATGAAAGGATCTTTTACTAATACCCATCAACTCCTGATTACCAAAGGTCTGCCTTCTTCTTGATGGTGAGGGTAGCACAGCAGCAACAATCACAGTAGTAGCTATATCAAGAACCATCCCATACTCAACCTCCCCTGCAATCCTCAAGATGGAATCACTAGCAAAGTGCAAATTCGCAGTGTCTTCTTGAAACATTAAGGCCAAAATGTAATTGCCATTATCTGTAATTGTTGATGCTAAAATCTGGCTCTGAAATCAACATTCCTTCTTAGCTGAATACCTGCAAGACAGGCTGTTAGGGAAACCAATGCTTGAGTTAGTAAATAACAAGACCGTAGCAAGAGAAAGTATAGAGAGATTCTAAAAGGGAGAAATCTGCCAGCTTGGCGTATGGATATGGAGGTTTCCTTCTGGTCAGCAAATAAGTCTGGTGGCAACCAGAAGAAGAAAGAAAGGATAGCATCTGTGGAGGGATACTGGTCTTTGACTCTTCTGTTTTGGTTGGAGAAGTACTGAAACTTGTTTGCTGGCCATGTCCGAGCAAAGCAAATTACTGCTGCAAGGATCATCCTGAGCAGAAGCCACTAGTGATCATAAATTTACAAAATAGCAGAAAAAAAGTATTATAGTATAGGATTTGAATTTCATTCGTGTTGAATGAGATTAAGATTATAAGTGTTGAAATTTAAATCTTATACATGTTAGATACGATTATATGAACACCTGTTACAGCAATGACCAACCTCACTCGGATTTTTCAGAAATCGAAGTTCTTCTATAGTCTATACATGAAAGGATCTTTTACTAATGCCCATCAACTCCTGATTACCAAAGGTCTGCCTTCTTCTCGATGGTGAGGGTAGCACAGCAGCAACAATCACAGTAGTAGCAATATCAAGAACCATCCCATACTCATCCACCCCTGCAATCCTCAAGATGGAATCACTAGCAAAGTGCAAATTCGCAGTGTTCTTTGAAACATTAAGGCCAAAATGTAATTGCCATTATCTGTAATTGTTGATGCTAAAATCTGGCTCTGAAATCAACATTCCTTCTTAGCTGAATACCTGCAAGACACAGGCTGTTAGGGAAACCAATGCTTGAGTTAGTAAATACCAAGACCGTAGCAAGAGAAAGTATAGAGAGATTCTAAAAGAGAGAAATCTGCCAGCTTGGCGTATGGATATGGAGGTTTCCTTCTGGTCAGCAAATAAGTCTGGGGGCAGCCAGAAGAAGAAAGAAAGGATAGCATCACTGGAGGGATACTGGTCTTTGACTCTTCTGTTTTTGTTGGAGAAGTACTGAAACTTGTTTGCTGGCCATGTCCGAGCAAAGCAAATTAACTGCTGCAAGGATCATCCTGAATGGAAGCCACTAGCGATCATAAATTTACAAAATAAAAGAAAAAAAGTATTATAGTGTAAGATTTGAATTTCATTCGTGTTGAATAAAATTAAGATTATAAGTATTAAAATTTAAATCTTATATATATTAGATACGATTATACGAACAAGTTGAACTAAACCTCAAATTTAAATTTATCTACTTAATTCTAACATGAACTCGTTTTCTCACCAACCGAATTAACATTTTAAAATGCAATTTGCCAACAAATTAGCATCGTTGGCAAAACTTTGGTGGCTTCAATACTTGCATGCATGACGGGTGCGTACGATGATGGCAAAGCTATAAAAAGAATATCTTCTTTGAATAATTTATTCGAACATGCAATCTTGCTAGATACTATACTCAGGCAATTTAATAATAGTAAATAAATAATAAAAAAAACTACTACTTGTGATTTACGGTATATCCTTAAAATAATTGGGATATTCACTTTTTTATCAATATTATAAAAAATTTGTAAAAATAATATGATATATCCTTAAATTATTATTATTTTTTTAAAATTATGCAAATCAATGGTGTATATTCAACATAGATCTGTTCATCTGTTAAATCTTGAATATTATTTCAAGTTCATCATAGATTTTAACACGCTAGTTAGGCCACTTTCTGAATATATCTAATTCAATATCAAAACAAAAGGGAAATAGTAATATCTTATACATATAAATGAATAACGAATTTGAATATAAATTTAAATATCTTTTATTATTTATTAAAATTTAAAATAAAATTGAATATAAAATATTTAGATAATATTATCAATATTTTATCTAAATTCATCGTAAATAAAAAATTTTTATTTAAATTTATTAATTATTTATTTATAATTATCTGAATTTGATAAAAATAAATAATGATGAACAATCAAATAAAGACGAAAATCCATTTATTTTTATTTATTTATCATCGCTGCTTTTTCATATTATAATTCACGTAAAAGGAAAAAAAAGCTGTTTCTACCAACTTGCTAACACACTTGAGTAGAAGTTATTGTTTTTGGCCGAACGCTTGAATTGAGTTCAAAAAAGCAACGTCTATCGTACCAAACCTTAAAATCGCTTAATTGTGGGATCCACTCTCAAAGGACCAAATCAAGAAAATGAACGGTCAAGATCACACTTTACCATCTGTCGGATCTACTCTTAAATTACCAGATCAAGAAAATGAACGGCCAAGATCACACTTTACCCTCCAGTGGATCACATATCCACCAGATAAAAAAAATTGTTATAATTTTCTGCTCTCATCTCCTGCGGCAACCTACTTTGTTTCTTGTCGTCGATACATTAAGGAGAAGAAAAAGAAAAAGGTTTTTTTTTTTTTTCTTTCTGAAATTTTCTAAGGAAACAAACAAAAAAAAATGGATGATTACACGAGAGAGATGATGGATTTGAAAACCCTAGTTACTCGAACCCTAGAGAAGAAAGGGGTTCTAGCTAAGATCCGGGTAAGAAAACTTTTCAATTTTAGTTTTTTTTATGGGAATTTCATGTTTGATTCTCGAGAATGTGAAAGAAAAGAAGAAATGGGGATGTAGAATTTGGCTTAGTTAAGTTATAGTTGAGTAAGGAGACCGTCTTTAGGCTTTGGATCTCGTGTTCAGGATAGAAACCTGAGATTGTTTTTTGAAAATTTTGAATGATTTTGAATTTTTATAAACAAATTTACTTTTAGTAGTAATTGAAGTGGTGCATTGGGTTTTTAGATCTTTAGGTTTTAATTTGGTACCCCTGAAGTTAAAATTCTATGTTTTTAAAAGCATTAAGGTGTTTTTTTTTTTTTTTAGGTTGGGGGAAATTAGATAAATTGGAAACGTTACTTTTTTTAAGTATTGAGGTGGGATTTTAGCAAGGTAGGATTTTGAATGTGATATAATGGCAAGTTGAATTTTTCCAATTGGTCTGGAGTGGGATGCTAGAAATTTGCTGTTAATTTTGTTGAATTCAAAGTTGGAAACTTTGAATTTGCCGTGTATGGGAATTTGGTAGATTTTATTCATCTTCACTTCAATTCAGGAAATTTAATGGTAATTTCTTTGAATTGTAAGCTAGAAAACTTCTAAATTTGCTGTGACTTTTAGTCTGGGGGTTTATGGCATCTTAGGGAAGTAGTAGGTTTGTGGAGGGAAAGCGAAAATTGTGATTAATGCACTATTTTTTTGCCAAGGAAAAGGGTAGCTCATTTTGAGTGATTGAAATAGGGGCTTTTTGCTTGATGAGGAGTATCTACTATTTAGTATTCACATTTTGGTTCAGAACTCGGAAGTTTGCAAGTGAGCTGTTTCTAAAGGAAGTAGAAGAGAAAGTTGTGTCCTGAAATATATGAGTCCAGTTAATGATGAGTGTTGATCTTGTACCAGAAAATCATTTTCCTTGCATGCGTTTATTTTGGGCTCCAGACATGGGGAAGAAAGAAAAGACTAACGAGGGTGTTGGGGATGGGCGGTGGAGGCAAGGGCCATAGCAAGTGCAGATCTAACGAAGTCATCATTATGTTCTGTATTTGGTGGTGGTATTACCTATTTGAGTAGAAGTATATTAGTAGTGTTATCTCTGAATGATTGCTGTTTGTGAAGTGTTCAAATTAATAAAGCTGTTTTTCCTTGTGTTATTATGTTTCTCTTTTTCTTTGTTTTTTATTGTTAACATACTTGGTATTTCAATTTCCCATGAATTAGGCACTTGAATAAATTTTGATTTACCATTTTGTTACCCTTCGGGTTTCTTGCTAGGCTGAACTCAGGGCAAGTGTCTTTGAAGCAATTGAAGAGGAAGATCGAGTAATTGAGAAAGAAGAAGGTTTACCTCCTGCATTATTGGGAAGCTGCAATGATCGTGCTAAACAACTTCATGCTTCTCCTTCTGGTCAGTCTATTAATTTGAGCCTTGTTTTATCTGGTTGTTTGAAGTTCTTGAGGAGCCTGGTTTTGCTGTTGCCTCTCTCCTTTTATGTGAAGAAAAAAAATACAGTATCTAGTTTTCCTTTTCTCTTTTCTTCCTAATGACATGTGTGCTCCCTACCTTTATTTTGATTTGTTGATCTTCCTTCTTGGGGGCTATGATTTGATCTTTTAGTGGTGTTTAACAACTAACGAGTCCAAGATTGATTGATACTAATTTCCATGCACCCTGAGATATCAATTTATTGTATATATTTTGCTTTTTATTATTGCATCAGTAATCTTTAGAGTCTAATCCAATTTGATATGTCGTTCCTCAAGTATAGTCATTAAATAGTTCATTTTTAAATTGTGAACTCATGCTCATGTTGCATAACATTATGTCTTTGAAGTCTTATCTACATCTGCCTTTCCTGATCTGCTTAATAACGTGCACTTTGAATTTCCAAATGCAGGAAGACTATTAACTGCACTAATATGCGAGTACTTAGACTGGGCACAACTAAACCACACTCTAAAAGTTTATCTGCCAGAATGTAATTTGGTAATCAAGTAATTTTCAATATATTATAGTTCTGATTATTGCTTTATAGTTGATCTTTTTATTGGTTTTTTTTTTTCTTTTATTTGAAGCTTACATGTGAACCATTTGATATTTATTGTTCTTTTATATTATAGCAAAAAGATTCTTGGAAAGCTGAGTTGAAAGACTTTAGTGGCAAAAATGGTTATGATCTTAACAGAAACGGGGACGGTGGACCCTTGCTTTTGGACGTTCTTGAAGGCTTCTTGAAGTTTGAGGTTAGTTAATCTCTGTTGCATATATTTTCATCCTACAGGAAGTGATTTTACATATGAAGTTTGGGCCATTATAGTGTTACCGTCATCTGAATCTCATATGTGCTTTTGTTTGCTTTTTAGCAATGATAAGTGTTATCTGGATATCTCACTTAATGGACTGGGAATGACGATAATTCTTTTTGCCTAAGCTTAGCTTGCAACATTATTTGATTCTTGTCATATCACCTAGTTTCTTCTCTGGTTTGATGTCTAATTAAGATCCTTGATGTTCGAAGATGGATTATCTGTGATTGTCTGAATATCCTGGAATGACCTTAAGCGATGAATGTTGAGCATTGTGTGGAGAAAAAATGATTTTACTGTGAATTGGGTGCAGAAACAGGTTTTGGGTGTTGTTTCTATTTGAAAAAAAAAAAAAAAACAAGAAATTGGCAGCTCAGAGGTCTGTCTTATGTTTGAAAATTGTAATGTAAAAGTTCAGAAAACATATTTGTAGGGCATGCTTGTGCTCAATACTCATCCAGTTAAATTGAGAATGGTTGAAAATATTAAAGCAAACTACTAATTATGCTAAGAGAAATATAGCCATCTTCTTTCCTTCTATTGATATTTGCAATAAAGCAGGACAAAAAAAAATTCTAAATATTAAGTTTGTGGGAACATCAATTTATGGGAGAAATCAGTAGAACATTTGTTGTCTTGCTTTATGCTGTTCAAACTCCTAAATGAACCAAGAGATGGCTTCTTAGGTAAGAAAAATCCTTGGAAATTGTCGAAAGAGCAGGCTAGGGGTAACAAATACTGTGTATCTTCAGCATAGAAATCTTTGATATGTAATTTAGCATGAAAAATATATCAATAATGGTAATTTGAGTGTGATGAGTACAGTCAAGTAAAGGATCAAGGTCATGTTTGGTGTATAAGATGATGGATAAAATAGGATGATAATCATTCTATCTCATGTATGATTCGTATCTAAAGGAAGAGATAGGGTTGCAAGGAGGGTTAATCATCCTCTCTTGGAATAGGATGATTCAATCCTTCCAAAGTGGAGAGGATTATTTTAAATCTTAGGAATTGAACTTATATGTTTTATTATACCCTTAAAAATTATATTAATAATTTAAATTGTATATGTGGAAAAACTAAAAAATAAAACTATGTGAAAAAATAAGAGTAAAACTGAATTTATATTGAAAAACTATTTATAAAGAATTATACAAGCACATTCGGTTTATATACAATTAACTAGTGGGTAAACTAGGAAACTAAATCTTTCTAAAACTGATCCTATAATTGAGAGATTGTCTATCATAATTTTCTGCCCTTAATTCTAAGGATACGGATACTTAATTTTACAGATACAAATATAAATTTACAGATTACAAGATTACAATTAGCTGTAAATAAGTGTCTTCCCACATTCTTCCTCAAGTTGGTGAATAGGTGTTTTCCATTCCTAGCTTGGAAATAATTTCTTAAAATGTTGCACTGTTGAGACCTTTGGTCAACACATCTGCAAGTTGACCTTTGGTTGATACATACGGTGTACAAATCAACCCACTATCTAGTTTATCCTTTATGAAATACCAGTCTACTTCACTGTGTTTTGTTTTGTCATGTTGCACAAAATTGTGTGCAATGCTTATCGCAAACTTGTTATAACAATAAAGTCTCATTGGTCCATCCCACTCGATCTAAGTCTTCTAGAATAATCTTTAACCATGGTAGTTCACAAATTCCTTGAGCCATTGCTCTGAACTCTGCTTCAACACTTGATCTTGCCACCACATTCTGTTTTTTACTTCAAGTTACAAGATTACCACCTAAGAAAGTGTAGTAGCCTAAGGTGGATTTTTTATCAATTATTGAACCTGTATAATCTACATTTGTATGTCTCTAAAACCGGCCCCAAATTTTTTTTGAATAAGATACCTCTCCTAGGATTGGCCTTCAAATAGTGCAATACACGGTGGATAGCCTACAGGTGCACTTCTTTAGGACTATGCATAAATTGACTTATCACACTCACAGCATATGTTATATCATGTCTAGTATGTGAAAGATAAATAAGTCCTCCAACTAATCTCTGGTACATCTCTCTATCTACAACAGTATTTGTAGGGGTATTTGCAGGTTTACATGCGAGCTTCTCAGTTTCCTTCAAAATATCCATCACATATTTCTGTTGTGAGATGAAAATACCATGCCGTGAGTGAGCTACTTCAATTCCTAGGAAGTACTTCAATCTCCCTAGCTCTTTTATCTCAAATTCTCTAGCCTAACACTGTTTTAGAGATTCTTTTTTTTTTTTATCATCTCCGGTTATAATTATATCATCAACATACACTAATAGAACTATGACTCTTCCTGAATCTAGAGTGCTTGATAAATAATATGTGATCTCCTTGACTCTGCTTATATCCTATTGCTAGCATCATTTTGGCAAATCTCCTGAACCAAGCCCTAGGAGACTATTTAAGGTCATATAAAGTCTTTTTTAGCTTACATACTTTGTTTGCTTCTAGATGACCTCCACATCCCTGTGGAACCTTCATATATATTTTTTCTTCCAAATCACTATGTAGAAAAGCATTCTTTACATCAAATTGTTGAAGTTGCCAATTGTAATTTGCAGCCAATTATAACAAAATCTTAATTGTATTCATCTTGGCAATTAGAGCAAAAGTTTTCTGATAATCCAGTCTATAAGTTTGAGTATAGCCCTTAGCCACCAACTTGGTTTTATACCTTTCAATAGTACCATCCGTATTGTATTTTACAATGAAAACCCATTTGTTCCCAACTGGATTTTTTCCTTTAGGCAACTCTATTGGTTTCCATGTCTTATTTTTCTCGACGGCCTCCATTTCTATTTTCATAGCTTGCCTCCATTTCTCTTTGGATAATGCCTCGAATAATGTAATTGGAATAAAAAGTGTTTAGGCTTACAAGGAAATTTTTGCGGGATGGTGAGAATTTTTCAAATGACACAAAATTAGAGATTGGGTATAGTGGATGCTTAGTACATTCTTTGGTTCCTTTCCTAATGGCAATGGGCAGATCATAATCACTAGTTATAGTTTTAAGAGTCTCATGCATATTTTGAGAAAGAGTCAAAAACTGTAGTTACCTCATTTCCAGAGTTAGGATCAAGTTCTTGGACTTGCACTGGTTCAGGATTTGGAACTTTCCTTCTTGAGTACACCTGTAATTCCTTCATAGAATCAAGAACAATATTATCTTTTGTCACATCTTTTGTGTTTAGAATGGGTTCAGACTCAAATTCAGTGTTTGATTTGGACTCAGAAGAATTAATGGGTGAAAATGTTGAAGAGGAGGACAAGTCAAGCAAAAAGAAGTTTTTATCCTTATCTTCCATAAATAAAGTCTCCCCTTGAAGATAAGGTTGACTAAAAAATGGTTTCAAAAGTGACATCTGTAGACACAAACTTTTTTGGTAGGAGGATGATAGCACTTATGCTTTTTCTGAGTTGATAAATACCCCACAAAAAATGCACTTAGTTGCTTTAGGATCCAACTCCCCCCTATTATGACTGTGAACATGAATAAATGATGTACAACCAAATATTTAGATGTGAGGTTGTTTGTGGGATAGAATTGTGAGAGTAGTTCTATAGGAGTTTTAAATCCCAAAACCCTTAAAGGTAACCCATTTATAATGTGTGTGGCAGTGAGAATAGCTTCCCCCCAGTAGGATTTAGGTATGTTTGCTTGAAAAAATAAAGCTCGGGTTATGGTTAGTAAATGGTTGTTTTTCCTCTCTGCCATCCATTCTGCTGTGGGTTATTAACACAAGATGACTTATGGATAATCCCCTCTTTTCAAAAATAGGTAGATAAACTTTGGTTGAAATAGTCTCTTGCATTATCAGACCTAAATCTTTTGATTTTTACTCCAAGAGATCCTGGTACAATCCTCTACGAAAGAAACAAATCACCTTGCACCAAAAATATTAAGAATTGTAGAGGGACCCCATATGTCACTACGAATCAAGTAAAAAGGAGTAGAACTTCTTTTATTGCTAACTGGAAAAGACACGTCTATGCTTTGCAAGTTCACAAACATCATAATGAAAGTTTTCAACATTTACTTCTTTGCACAAAGAGGGAAACTTGTTTTTCAAAGTTCTAAAAAAAGGATGTCCAAGACAAAAATGATAAAGCCAGATTTGTTTTTATTGGGAGATTTTTCAGAAAGAAATGATAAAGGTAAACTATTCTTGATATTACTTGTGTTGTTTGATGTCTCAAGATAGTATAGTCCATCCTTTTCCTTAGCAAGTCCAATCCTTTTCGCCAAACTCTAGTCCTAAAATTCACAATAAGAAGGATAAAAAGTCACTTTGCAATTCATGTCTCTAGTAAGTTTTTGTATAGATATCATATTAGTAAACAATCCAGGAACATGAAGAACATTTTTAAGAACAAATGAGGGATTAAGTTGAACATCTCTTAATCCTGCCACTGTAGTATGTGAATCATCTGCAACAACAATTTTCATATTACTAGAACACAGGGTATATGTACTATACTTTTGTGAGGAATGTGTCGTATGGTTTGTGGTTCTTGAGACAATGACCCAAGAACTTGTAATAACCTTAACTGAGACATTTAATCCATGAAAACCAGAAGTTTTACCTAAACTAGAGACCCTACCCAAGGAACATACCCTAGTAGGATTTTCAAGAGTTTTCAATAGGCTTCTCAATCTCTTCTTTGTCCAACTCTCCTTATTTTCAAGACATTTGTAGTACTCTAATGGTTTTCTCAGTTGACACTTCCTCAAATTGGGTGGTAGTGATATCTTTCTTTGAACTGAAACAAATCTTAAGATATAACTAGAAATGACTCTTAACAATGAAGGCTAAAAAAGAAAAAATAAAATGGCTATGAAGAACTTAACAGGGTTTGGCAATGAAGGCCTAAATAGAAGTTAGCAATGAAGGTTGAAAATTTTGCTTTCCAAGAAGAGCCTAAAGCTCTGATCCTATGTTAAGCATCTATCTTAAAACCAATTGGTAGTAAGTGGAGGGGCCCAACTTAAATATAAAACTACAGGAAATTAAATATTCATTAGATGTGGAATAACACTACAGTAACAGGCCCTCATCACGTGTAGGTGGAGATGGAAAAAGCCTATCTGTGACAGATTTGGAAAGGGCAATGGAAATATATCTTAGCTCTAATATCATGTTAAAAACTAAGAAATAAAACTGTGTGGAAAACTAAAAGTAAAACTAAATGTATATTGAAAAACTACTCATAAAGAATTATACAAGCACTTTCGGTTTATATACAACTAACTAGTGGGTAAACTAGGAAACTAAATCTTGCTAAAACTGATCCTATAATTAAGGGATTGTCTATTATAATTTTTCATCCTTAATTCTAGGTATACAGATATTTAATTCTAGAGATACAAATATAAATATATAGATTACAAGATTACAACCAGTTGTAAATAAGTGTTTTCTCATAATATAAACTTTGAGGAAGGATAATTTTGACATAAATAAAATTATCCTATCTTAATCCTTGCACACATCAAATACAAGATAGGATGACATTATTTAATCTAATTCTATTCATAATATTATTTTATCCTATCCTATCTTGTGCTCCAAACACATCCTAAATTTCATCATGTTCTAAGGGGATCCTCATTGGCTTGAGTAAGAAGGAAATGTTTTCAAGGTCCTTGAAACTCTAATAGGGGGACGTGGATGTGTAAAGCTAAGATTGATATTAATTCCTAAAAGTATTAGGCTTATCCTAGCAGTTGGGATTTGAGGGTTTTTTTTCTAGGTCCTCAATGTGAGGCTTTGCCACGAATAGTCATTTTCTTGTAATGTATGCATTTACTTTCTGCTTTCATTATACAAGGGCGTTTGACATGTACAGAAAATGAGATGTGATTATATCATTAAATTTTTTGGTACAATTTTTTCCACATCATGATGTCATCTTTTTCTTTTTTAAATGTTCTTAAAATAATTCGTGTGAAAAATAATGCTCACTCTTTCCAATCATGTTTGTCAGAACTTATCCCAAGCAAGGGGAACTGGAAGGAAACCACAAGAAATTGAGTCATCGTCTAGTTTAGAGTCTCGAAGCACAAGAAGACCCTCATCATCAACTGTTGCTGGGGGCTTGCCCCCATTAGGAAGGTGCTGGACTAGTGTCACTTCCTTTAGTTATGATTTCTTCATCTTTATTGTTTCCCATTTCCTTCCTAATGCTGCTACTGATTAGTTTTGCATTTGGAATGATAGGCCGGTTCCTGTTTTGCAGTCATCTGGTAAGGGATTATCTTATTTATTGTTTAACATATATACACATCTGCTTGATTGCTGTATCTGTTATCTGATACCTTTGGCAAATTAGATAGGAGAGCAGGTTCCTCCATGTCTGGTTACAGGAAAGATGAGTACAGTCGGAGATATGATGATGATCTCCCAGAAGATGTGATTCGAGCTTCAGCTGCCCTGGAAAATCTTCAGTTGGACAGAAAGGCCAGGAATCTAACTACTTCTTGGCGGTTTGTTTCTCAACCCTGCTAAAATGAAACTTTGCCTCATGGTTCTATGTTTACTAGGAAACTTTAAATTTGGGATTTGGTTCAATAAACATGTTTTTAATGTTTAAAATAGTCTTCTTGTTATGGTCTTGTATTTTGTAACACTCGTCATTTGTTGCAATGCATCCAGCACATTTCTTTTTCTTCCATAGTAATGAGCACTTTATCATTCATTAGTTGCGAACTTCTACAGAGTCCTTGTGTCTCTTCAGCATTCGCAATCACAAAAAAGAATGAATTTGCATTTCATGGAATTTTGGATTTGTGTTTGCAACACTATTTAAGTTTTTAGATGACACTTCCATCTACTAAGATTGTTCTGATATTTTGGCATGAAGATGAATACATAGCCTTTCATTTACCGGTTTTATAATATATTGATTTTAGATCTCGAGTAGTAAGATGAATGCATATGTGAAACCTTTCTGTCACATGGTGTTATTTATTTTTTTCAATAAATTTCAAACGACGTTGGTGTTACAAATAGTATTATTTAAAAATTCCATGAAACAAGTCACCTTGTTTTCTCTTTGATCATTAGTCATACAACAACGGAAACATACTATCATAATATGCATAGCCACGAAATATCTTAAGCCATATCTGCTTAATTTGGTCACAGACATGCTGGGGATGGAATCAGTGAGGATGACAGCAGGGTCGATCATATGTAGCTGAATGACATCTATTGCATTACAGCGCTTGTAGTTCAGTGTGTATTTTCAAGTTTCCACCAATCCCAAGTTTTTCTCAACCATAAAAAGAGGATAGTGAAGTTATTATGTAAGTTTTTACATATAATTGTGCTGTGATTTTGTGTTCTCTTTTGAGCTTTCTTTCCTCTTTTCACTTATTTTCTTTTGGATCCCTTTTGGTATACCTTTCAATGTATCAGCTGTTTTCAGGTTTTCAATGGATGCTTAGATCAAATCATTGTTTTTTTCAGGCAGAAAAATCATTGGCTACTAATCTTTGATGAACCTGATTGTTGAAGTTTACTTGTCTTTTTCAGTGAAAACAAGTATATATTGTTGTAACTTGCAAGTTACAAAGACCGTCTTAAAATATGGTGACTAAAATCATTTGAAATATATGTTTTGTTTCTCTCTGATAGTGGATCCTAGTCAGCATTTTTTTCTTCGTTTATAGTATGCTGTATTTTTAATATAAAAGAGGTCGCAATCTTAGGTAAAGAAATAATTGTAAATGTTAAAACTTAAATCTCGTGTTGAATGTCACCTATTAAGATTAGATTACTCGAATTAATTAAATTAAATTTTCGTTTTTCATTTTTATTTGTCTTTTTGTGAAAAAGGATGGGCAATAGAAGAATCCAACTGAAATTCCAATGTCTGGACATTTTCTTTCTGTTATAAAGGATTGGCAATAATACACAAAACTACAAGTCAAAACCCATATTTTCCTGGTTATTGCTAAGAAGTTAAACAGTCATTTCAATGAAACAATAGAGGATAAAATACTAAACAGGTAAAATATTTTACTTTTAATGAAATTTTTTATATTTTTATTGTATCCATATAAATTTTTATTTTTTTATTTATATTCGAATAAATTTTAACTTTTAATAAAAAAATTAATTTACGTGAAAAGCTTATTTAGATATAAATTAGGTTTATTTGATACAAATCAAAGTTTAAATATTTATTTAAGAGCAAATTAAAAGCTAAAAGTTTATTTAAATACAATAAAAATCTAAGAATTTATTTAAATAAAATGAGAAAGTTTAAGGAGGTTTTTTTTGTTATTTTAGCCAACAATAAGGTTTTACATATTACTTGTAAAAATAATTGTCTAAAAGAGTTATATATATATATATAAATTATATAATCAAGAAAGAGTTAGTTCACAAAAGCATACTAAAAATAAGTAAATGATTAAAAATGCAAAAATAACTTTAATTTCTGATTTTCTTAATAAAAAAATCAAATTTTACTTTTATCTTCATTCATATTAAATCATTGGTAAAGCTCATTGATAAAATTTTAATTCAAAATCATTGACGTGGAAACAAACAAATAAAAAACAAATATTTTAACAAAAATCCCATTCTTACTCTCAACTTTCAAGTACTAATTAAAATAATTATATGATTATTTAGAAATAAAAAAGAAAATAATCATAAATAGTATCAAAATTGGGACCATAGGTATAGTATGTTCCTTCTAATATTTCACCAACCAAAAAATAAAAATCTATTTGATAGATTTATTTACATTTTACATAAATATATAAAAATAAAATCTTTATTTAAAAACATTTATCCAAGGTAAACGATATATTTTTTTACATGTGAACAAATTTAAAAAAATTGTCATAGGGCTTGCATTTAGTTCTTTTAATTTAATTTAATTTGATTTAAATTAAAATATTTTTTCAAATAATTAATTATAGTTTTTCTTTTAAAATTTCAATTTAACTACTTACCTTTTTACATTTATATAATTTTTTTATAATCATCTACCATTAAGGTTTAACTTAAAGTACTTGAAGTAATAACATTTTCTTTCAATATTTTTTAAAAGTCTTTAATATAATTTTAAATTATCTACAATCGTGCTTAATTTTATATTAATATAAATCATAGGAAGGATTTTTTTTTTTTGTAATTTATTATTATTGCCTCCCATAAATAATTATTTTTTTAATTTATGATCAACTTTGCATATTTAAACTTCATAAATTTTAAAATTTTCGTCTTTGCACGTATATTTTGTTTCTAGTTGCAATATTTTATTTACTTAATTTGTTTGAGGAGCTTGTATTATTTTTTGGAAATTTGTAGCAATTCGGTTAATGTATTATTTTTTATAATATGAAATACATTATATAATTATATAAAAATTAATAACGATTTGATTTTATATACAAGTGATCTTAGTCAATAATTGATGTTAAAAAATTAAAAGTTATTTGGAAATTCAAAAGAATAATTATTTGTCTTGATTAAAGAATGTATTAATTTTAAATAGTTAATTTATAATAACTTATATAAAATTTATTTGGTTAAATAATTTTATTAATTACATTTATATTAAATTTTTATATATAATTATTATCCGTGCACGGTCTTATTAGTGACAAAAATATCAAAGCCCATAGATTTTATTTATTTGTTAAAGCAAAAAAAAAAAAATTGAAAAACCACCTCATGACAAAATTTAAAACGTCAAACGCTCCCACGTTTACTCACTTCAAAGAATCCAAGAAAAATTTTAAGAACTTTCAAATACTTTTCTTTTGGCCCTTTCAGCCAAACAATCCCTTCCCTTTGTATTCCCATGGCGGTTTTTAGCCGTTGCTCTCGAGCTGCTACGGCGCCGACACGAATCGCCACCGCAACATTCGCTTACGTAATTCGAGCTCTTTCCAGTTCTTCCTTTTGTTCTTCTTCGACGTTAAATACCGAAACTGACCTCAATAATAATAATAAACCTGCCGCGTTGGGGACTTTGCAGAGAGAGCCGAAGGGTAGAAATGTTCAGTGGGTGTTTTTAGGGTGTCCAGGTGTCGGCAAAGGCACGTACGCTTCACGGTTGTCGAATCTTCTCGGTGTTCCTCATATCGCCACCGGTGATCTTGTCCGTCATGAGCTCGCTTCCTCTGGTCCCCTTTCTTCTAAGGTCCAATCTTTTTTCTTAGGGTTTCTCTTTTCAACTTTTTTTTTTTTTTAAAGTTGAAATTTGATTCCTTTGACTGTTATTAATTTCAAAAAAGTGATTTTTTTTCAAAAATTTACTAAATGCACGCTGATTTTTTTAATTTTTTTTTTATAAATTTTTTGCTAAATAGTTTAAATATTTTGATTTTTTGCTATGCTGTTAATGAGTAATAAGAAAAAAAAATTAGTTTAAACTCGCTCGTCCATATTTGCCATAGCTTGCCAATTTTCCGACAAAGCAACTCCATTCTTTCTCATTGGAGGACCTTAATTGCATCCCATCATCCACTTCTCACCCCATAATTTCTTATCAGAACAAAAATTCATTTTGCTTTGTGCAAAAAATTATGGGGTGGAGAAGCTGATGGTGGGGATGCAATGGAGGTAACAAGTTGTGCAAGGGATGGGTATGCCTCGTACAGGAAAAAAATAATTTTTGAAAAAAATAGAGAAAATTGGAGGGGGCTGGATTGAAAGTATTTCTGCAGTTAAGTGAATTGATCGTAGAATTGATCAAATTTGTGCTGCAACTGAACAAGTGATTTGGTATAGTTATTAATATGTTCAATTCAAGTGTAAGGGGGAATGTTAGATATTAAACTAGAAGTTAATTTAATAATGTATCTAGCTATTTATTGACTAGTTATTTATGAACCTAATTAATGGTAGATGAATGTACTTAGATTCAAGTGTCATTTGTGTTTAATGTCTTGAGTCTAGATTCATCTTTTTTAATAGCATCAATCCTTATGTAATTGATCGAGTTTATTGAAGTCAATAAAAATGGAGATTACTTTTATGAATTATTAAAAGTAAAATTAAAAGTTTCTGATTTTTGAATAAGAGAATGGATTTTTTTAATTAAAATTTGGAACCATTATATTTGAATGTGTGTTGCATTTTAACTTAATTATATTTTTTCATTTTTAATCCATATGACTTTTCTTTTTGATTAGCAACTGTAAAAAAAGCAAGTAGTAAAAGCAATATGTGAATGAATCCTTAACAAATTCATAAAGAAAGTAAAAGTGCATATTGAAAGTTACAACCTGTAATTTTGTGCTGTTTTTAGCTTTAACTACCTTTTTTTTCTTTTTTTGAAATTTGAAAATCATGATATTTATGTGGTTTGGGGAAAGACATTGGAGTTGAAACATTATTAATGTCTTGTTTTGGGTATTGTTTTTGCTTTTTCTTGAATTTACTTGTTTCTTACTATTATATTTACACTTGGCAGTTAAAGGAGATAGTTAACCAAGGTAAACTAGTTTCGGATGAAATTATAATAGATCTACTGTCTAAACGTCTTGGTGTGGAAGCAGCTAAGGGTGAATCTGGGTTTATTCTTGATGGTTTTCCTCGGACAATAAGACAGGCGGTGAGTGCTTCATTTGATATTTTGCTGGGATGTCTTAGGTTCCAACTAAAGGTTGACTTGATTTTACTTACAAGGAAATATGAATGTTAGGAAAGCCAGTGGTAAAAGAACTGTAAGCAAATATATTTGGATCCTGAATTGATTCCTTTGCGTTGGTATTTACTGACAGATTTGCTAGAAGCATACATAAATTCCAGTGATAGGGTTTGATACCAAAAGCTTCTGATAGTTTCTTGGTAATTTACTAATGCATGCAATTTGGACTGCAACTTCTACCTATCTTAATGATTTATAGAATTGCCACTGGCCATAAGTTGGATGGTCAAGCAGTGGAAACTTTTCTAAATTTTTTTTTTTTTTGGTGTCCACTCTGAAGAAAAGCATTTTATAATGATGCAAATGAACAATATTTGCAAATGGTGATTTCGTATGGTAGAAGTTGTTATATGATTAGCAACTTTTGTTTCATCAAAAGAGAAAGCTTGATTTGATGATAATTTGAAATTGCATAAGACTTGTTCACAGCAGGCAATTTAACTACCTTCTACAAATCAAAACCAAAGAGAATGGTAGTATTGTGGAATACTAATTATTTTGATACTTTCTAGTGACTTTTGTTATTATAGAATGCATACAGGCTGCATGAAGGATAAATTTAATTTTTAATGGAAAGCTGCGTATATGTTATTGGTTGTTTTGGTGTTCCTTAAAGTTCCTTTTACGAATGAAAAAAAGCCTCTCCACCTTTTCTTTTAGAGGTGTGTCTAAAGGCATTGATTAAATGTTTGGTATATTGTCAGGGGACTTAAACGGTTGAATTATTAAATGTGTTTAGCATGTCAAATAGCTCCATGTCATGTTGTACCAATTATTAGTAATTTTCTTTTGTAAAATCTCTAATGTTTTAGTCTACTACTTTGTTATGCTTATTTCCCAGGAAATATTAGAAGGAGTGACAGACATTGACTTAGTGGTTAACCTGAAGCTTAGAGAAGAAGCATTGCTTGCAAAATGTCTTGGAAGAAGGATTTGTAGTGAGTGTGGAGGAAACTACAATGTTGCTTGTATTGATATCAAGGCTGAGAATGGGAGGCCTGGAATGTACATGGCTGCACTTCCTCCTCCTCCTCAATGTGAATCCAAGCTTATTACCCGAGCTGATGATACTGAAGAAGTTGTTAAGGAACGGCTCCGCATATACCATGAGATGGTATTCTCCACATTCCCATATCTTTCTCTCAATTGCATTCCTGAGAATTTAATTAACTATTGCAGGGAATTTTGTATAATATGTGTGTCCCAAAATTATTAGATATAATCTAGCCACCTAAAATGCCATCTTCCTATTGAGGTTCGATGCATCCATAATCCTGTAATGATTAAGGGGAAAATTTATTCACTTTATTGACTGGTGCATTGCAAGTTTTATTGTTCATACAGACTCGACCTGTAGAGGATTTCTACCGCAGTCGCGGGAAGTTGTTAGAATTTGATCTTCCAGGAGGAATCCCAGAATCTTGGCCAAAGCTGCTTCAAGCTTTGAATCTTGAAGATCATGAGGACAAGGAGTCTGCAGCTGCATGATGTTTTACATTTCTGTACCATTTGAAGTATATTTGCAAGGTAAATTAGGTCATTCTTTGCATTCACAACATGTGTATGCATATTGATTTTATAAAACAGAAAAGTCAGAGAGAAACATTAAATATGCAATAAAGCTAGACATGCCTGAAACCCTAAACTACATAACAAGGTAGTTTTGTACTGGTTTTCTGGAGAATTGTGTAAAATGGGTAAGTATTGTTTGGTGGAGGAAGGGCTTTGTTATTTGACTACTCATGGTTTGTTCCATATATCTGCTTACTGCCGGTGCCATTGTCAATTTGTTGTATATTTGTGTTATGCCAAGCATTACCCTTTGAGAAGGGAACTCAAAAGATAGTAGTCACTTCCAATTAAAGTGACCAAACATTTTCTTGACAAAAATAGAAATGTCTTGGAACTGTGGAAGGTTTAAGCTTGATCTCTTTGTTATGGAAATGTGTGACCTTGGAACCATGTATCAGGAAATAGAGAATTGAATCTAAACACTTTCAAGCGTTTCTCTACAATTCTTTACAGTTGTTAATTCTTCTACATGTATGAAACATACTTAGGGTACATTTGGCTGGAGCATATTATCTACAATTATTGTATTACAATTAACCAATCACAATTTAGAATTGTGTAGGATTCAGTGTGGAACCCACATTTACATTAGTGTATTCTTACATGTTGTGATTGGACAATTGTAGTATTATAATAAAAAGAATTGTAGGTGAAATGCTCTCGAGTTTGGCATTGTGGGTTGAATTATATAAAACTATTACTTGGAAAGTTGTGATTTTTTTTTCAAAAGAGGTCATGGTATAAAGGAATAAGTTGTTGAGATACGAACTTCAGACCTATTGAATGTCACTTTGAATAGATAATTGTATGAATGTTACAAATGGGTTTACAAGAAAGCTCTATGTTGAACTCGAGTTATAGTTCAATTGATTTATATAATTATTTTTAATAAATAATTTTCAGTAGGTTTAGAGATCAAGTTCCAAAGCTATCGCCTTTTTCTTATCCTCAAATAACATCTCTTTGAGGCAAAATGAGAAAGCTATATTTCCATTTAATTTTTTTCTGCCACATATGTCCATTTAATAATAATAACTTTGTTTGGTATATACTTTTAATTCTTTTCACTACTTATTTTTATTATTAATTTTGTTTCCAAAAAAAAAAAAATCTACCAAACAAAACCTTAAATTTATCATTTTTTTTTTTAAATTATAACAGAAGGAAATCTTATAAAATCTGTTTATAAAATTTAAAAAACTTTTCACCAAGAATGTCGACATAATTTATATTCGATTCTTGCCAAAAAAAAAAAAGTTGTATTTTGTATGTCCATCAATTTAGCATAAAAAGTGGGTTTGGTGAAGGGATATTCTCACTGCCTTTGTCCCTGTCTTTGTAGGACTAGGAAGAAATTGTTTGAACTGCTAAATTATGGGTCTAATTGATTTACTATAGGTGATTTTAGAATTTAGGTTAATTTGCATTTTTTTTTTTTGACAATTCTATTTAAGATTCTAAATTTGGGTACCTTTACATTTAGTATCCAAAGTTTATAGCATAAAAGTTCAGAATTGAATTTGCTAAAAATAGGCAAAATTTTGCATAAAATGTATTTTTTTTTCTTATTTGAAAAAGGGTAGATTCAAACTTTATTTTAATTTTAGCATAAAAATCATACTCTAATTATTTTGTGAAATATTTCGGATGCAAATTATTACTTATAAAGCTGTGGGAAGGTAATTTTTTATAAATTTACTAGGATTGTTATAGATAAATTATGCATAGATTTATCCAATAAAACGGTTTATTAAGTAGAGTTTCAAAAAAATACTCATAAATTATAAAAAAAATGATTGAGATAAGTGTGTAATATTAAATTACAAAAGATTTTTAATATATGTTAAGTGTATTTTTTAATGTATTAATATTAAATTGTGATTAAATTTTATTAAAAGATATTTAATCATGAAGTAATTATCTTAAAAGGAATAGAAATTAGACGAAAATAAGTATTTATTGAATTTGCTCATGAATATTAAATGAGTTTATTCGTGAATATAAATGAATAAAACGTATGTGCGGTTTATTTATTAAACGAATATTAAAAAATTATTTAAAATTATTTATTAAATTTAATAAACAAATATAAATAAATAAAAATCAAATATATTTATGAATAATTTATTAAAAAATCTGTTCATTTACGGTTTTACTTAAAAATAATAAAATAACATATTAAATAAGTTTGATGATCAAATTTCTCTGAAATTAGGATTCTAATCCAACTTTTGCAAATATCTTTATCACTTTAAAACTTATTATCTGAAAAATAGTAATTGGAATCATATGGCGAAGAAATTAGAAAAAAAAAAAAAAAAACCAAAACTTTATGATTATAAAGATGATTCGTCTCTTTATCCTGTCTATCTTACGAACCAGTTACTAGCATCACAAACAATACAAAAGAGATGTATGCCAGCTTGCATTTACTTTACTATAAAGTTCTACCGTCATCTTTTCAAAGCTTATGTGTCTTTTCTTTGCTTTATGTAAATAATAAGTTCAATCAATTCACAACAAATTGATCAAGATTGTACTATGATATTGCACATTGCATATTTCATTTTAAAGATTCGATCCAATTATAAAACATATTTATATTGTATCTAGCTTTACGTATCCGACGTGATTCATAATTCAAAGTTGAATTGCATGAGACAAGTTAGACAGCCAAAAATTAAGAACAAGGTTAAAACCTATCAAAGGAATAAAAGAGGGCAGAGAAAAGCACAATGGATAGAGATAAGATGACTCCAACTAAGAGAATGAGATAAGGAATCCTTATTGTCAATTTGAATGTGAAAAGATGAAGGCAAGGGTACAATGAGAAGAAAAAGAAACCCTTTCAACAGAGGCCACAAACAAGGCATTAGATGCAAAGATTAAAGAGAAAAAGTTACAAAATTTTAAATGAAACAAAAACAAAGGCAAAGTCACAGCCTCACATGTGATTCCTTCTGCACTGTTAACCCTTTTTTGGGACATGGGAATCTAAATAGGGTGGATATGAATAATTAACCCAAAAAAAAAAAAAAAAAAAGGAACTTGAAAACTTTTCATAAGAACAGACACCAAAAGAAGCAAAATTAACATGTATCATATAAATAAAAATTATATATAAATTTTAAAAATAAAAAAATTTTCGTGTTTGAATTTGAAACAATATAATATGAATTATAAAACGATAATGTAATATATTATGTGAATTTGAAATACAAATATACATATGTATATAAAATAAATTTGCTCTTTTTACTTTGAGAAGAGTTTTTAATTGCAAGTGAGTAACGAAAAGTTATGAATAGGAGTGTAATCGAGTCGAGTCGATATAATGAGAAATTTGAATTCGACTCACAATTTGAGGTTCGATATTCAATTCGAATTCAATCGAGTTTTATTTTTCAAGCTCGAACTCAATTTATGATCGAATTCGAGCTATTCGAGCTCGCTTGATTAAGTTCAATTAATATGTAAAAATAAGTTCGATCCGTATACTCAATAAGAGTTCGATTATTTATGTTCGAACTCGAACTTAGATTCGAAATATTTTATTAATTAAAATAATAAAAATATATTTAAATATAAAAGCTCGATTAGGCTCGCGAGCTACTCGAATCGGATATAAGAATACTTAAATTCGGTTTGATCGATAAGTCAAATTACTCGAGCTCGAAGTTCGACTCGATAATAATCGAACCAAATTCGAATTTTTTTCGAATCGAATCCGAGTAGCTTGTGAGTACTAATGTATCATTTACACTTCTAATTGTGAATGCATTTGACTTAGCTTTTAATATTTGACCATACAAGGAGAATACTCGTTCACTCATAAAAGCTATCACTGAGATTGCAAATAATAATATGGAAAGTTTACTTAATTAATTAACCTTGTTTTAATTATACTTTTTAATTTTGCTACCTTAATCACTCTTTTATAATTTAATTAATTGTTAAAAGGTTCAGTCAAATCAAATATAATTTTGATTTTTTTATATATATATTTGAAAATATATTTTTTACGATCATTATATTTCAATTAGGTAATTACAATCATGAATCATATAAGGTTGATAAAATCCATTAAAATATTAAATAAAATTCATGATAAATTCTTACATAAATTTTATTATAATTAAATAATTACAAGATTATATTATAAATTGTAAGCGATTTAATCTTGTCATGTAATTAGTGCTATAATACTTAATAATTAACATTTTTATACGTCTTTTTATCAAAAAAATATTTATATATACATAAAAAAAAATCAAATGCTGAAATTTAAATATTATATTTTCGACATTCTTGACTTTAAAAGTAAGGACAATAACAATTGAACCAACTAGTATGTCTCTAGTAATATATCTCTATTATTAATATACAAAACTTTAAAGTGGTTTTCAACTAGTATAAATAATTAGGTAATTAGATTTATTCCATAATTAAGTCTTTTGCAAATTAAATTAAAATCAGTATCTAATAGTTATTAAAAATAAAAAATACAATTCTATAATCTTTGCCAATTTTTATGGGATTTTAAGTGTAGAAAGAAATTTTTTTTTATTTTTTTCTCTCTCTTTCTCTCATTTCCCTTTTTTTTTTTTTCCGAAAAATAGTATCATTATTCCGAAAAATAAAATATCAATAATCTAAAAACAATGATCATTTAAATTACTTTCTCTTTTAACGAGGCTCTTCTCTAAATATCGAAATTAGTAACTTATATATTAGCCCACAGGTATTTAGAATTGATTGGACATCAACGTTTATCGTGGATTGGGCATCCCAAATCCTAATTTTCCCAATGCAGTAGACAGTTAAATATTTGAATTTTTAATTTGAAAATTTAGATTATAATTTCGAAAATAGAAGCATATTTATCTTAAGTGAGAAAAAAATTATTTTTTGAATGTTAATTTTACTTATACTTATTAAATATTTGTAAGTAGATAGACGAACTCGTCAAATATAATTATGAAGATGAAAATGATATAAAAATTTTTTAAATAAATTTGAAATACTCTTAAATATAAATATAATATAAAAATTTAGAGAGGGAGACGAGGCTTTAGCAACCAAACTACTAATTTTATTTAATATTTTCAGGCATTTAATTTTGGTCGATGATAATTAAAATGTCTTGTTTTAGATATTGCATATTAATTCTTTTGGAAATCAAAATTAATTTCTTTCACATTTTAGATAATGAGCAAGAATAACCAGATAATTAAAGGTTTTATTATTTTTTATAAGGTTCATCAAGAAAGAAAATATGAACTGAAATTTTAAATCTCAATCATTTTAAAAATTGGTAGCAATCTTTTAAATCAAATATTGATTTAATGCTTTTTACACACTTCTCTATAAAATATAAAATGTGTCAACAATTATTTTATTTCAAGATAACATTGAGGTTAAAACTAAAAATATAACAAAAGCATTTCATATGTAAATATATAATTATTTTTATTAAAATATTATAATTATTCAATGACAGTAAAAAATCATATAAAAATTTATCAATTTATTTTAATAAATCTTATATAATTTTAAATTATATTTAATTAATAATTATAATGCCATAATTACAAGTGTTTAATTCCTTATATAAAGTTTTATTTATTTTGTCTTTTTGATGGAAATTTATTTAGGTTACGTTTAATTAGTACTTTTATTTTAATTAATTGTTTACTTTTAATCTTAATCTTATTATTATTTTTTTTATATTTTTAATAAGGAACCTATTTAAATATTTAGTTACAACACCCACCCAATAAATACCCGAACCGAACTCCGAACCGTAATCCATAAGGAGACCAAGCCAAGTCGGGGAAGATATTTTCTTGCTGACATGGCAAAACCTTGGATTGCTCGTGTAAAACTGGAATTCTGTCAAGGGTATTTACGTCATTTGAAGAAAACCCCACCACCTCGTCAAGATCCCTCGTCTTTAGCTCCAAAACCAGTCATTGGGGTTTCATTGTGGTCACCCCACGAAAGCGACATCGTCCATTTTTTACCGTGTCCTCGATTCTCCAAACATCATTAACTCATCGCGTAACGTCCCACGTGTCCCTTTACACGATCGAGGGGATCGTCTTATATCCACCACAAACGGTTAAGAGCCCAGCTTTAGATCTCACCTCCACCTCACCTCCACCCATCCACGTGGTCTTTGACGTGGCATCTCTTAACCCTTCAATTAAGCCACGTCATTGGCACGTAAGCGAGAATAATATCTTTTATTCGACGTTTCTTCCTTTCTCTTACACCTTTGGCCTCGCCGTTTCTCAACCAGTCAAGCAAAGCCAGCCAGTTTCTCTTTCAAAATCTTCTTATAAAGATTTCGTTTTTCTTTTATTATTTTTAATTTCATAAACCCTAAATTTTCGAGTTAAAGCTTTCGAGCTTTTCATTTTTTCCCCTGAAATTTTCATGCTTTGCAATTTTTGAAAATTTTGACCTTTGGAAGAATGGGATGAGGATCGGCTTTAAACGAGTTTCGAAAGGTAAATCATTAAAGCTTTGTTTTTCTTTTTTTTTTTCTAAATTTTTTTAAAGAATTTTCACAGTGTAGTTGTTTCAAAACTCTCTTGGAAAGCTTGTATGTTATTTTATTTTTATTTATTTCTTTGAAACACGGAATCTTGAAATTCGAACGTTGGTTTCCGTTATAACTGTTTATTTAATCTCAGAATCACACTATTTTTTTAAAAATTCTTTTTTTATGTTCTTTTAAAAATTCGAACGATGGTTTTTTTTCTTTTTCCAATGAAAACGAGAATTTAGTTTTTCTTAAAAATCTCTTTTTTATTTTTTGTTTTTTCGAGAACAAAGGAGCAAAAAAAGAAGATTTTGAAGCATTTATTTGAACAAAAAATGTGATTCATGTCGTCAAAATGATCGTACTCGACTTACTTTTGGATATTTCAGCAAGATTTCGTCATTTGTTTTTTTCATTTAATTTGATTTATCCCTTTTTCTTTTATTCTTGTTATCATAGAAATTTGATGCTGTGATCAACTTCACTGCTGTAAAATCTGAGAATTTTACTCTGTTATGATGCTTGAACTGGAAGAAATTTGGGAAGAAAATCTCAAAAATCGAATTTTCAAGTCTTTCTTTGTTTAATTGCGCAACTGTGTTTTTTTTTTTTTTTTTGGAAGTTTATTTTAAGTTGACTACTTGAATCCACCATATTTAGGATTTAAATTTCTATATTTTCTTTTCCTGCATATAATTTCAAATTCGAAAAGTTTTTTTTTTTTTGGATAATTTGTGATGAAAAGGATTACTTCTAATAAATAGTGAATTATATTTGCTAATCTTGAGTCTATAGTTTATGTTCTCAGAAGAAGAAAACATTCTAGTATCTTGAATCAAATGCTCAATTTAAGTGTTTAAGTGACTAAATTCTATGTTGGTTTGTCTCAGCGAAAATTTTGTTTGTTGTTCATGACAGGTCTGAGTAATTTTCTTGGAATTTGTACTTTAGTTATCTGAACCTAAAGGTATGAATTTGTATGTCATGAAAATAGAAATGGCAGTATACCTAGCTTAGGTTGCTTTCTTATTGAATATAAGAATTTCTTATGTGTTGTTGAAAACATGAACTTACATGTGAACATGTATTTATATGTGCGTGCTTTGGTTTTGAGTTAAATAGATCTGAGTTATATGGGGCTTAGGTATATTTGCCAGTAAGATGAGAGCAAGGGTTATATGCAAGTTTATATATGATTGTTACTTGTGCATGACATCTAATATCAAATCTTTTATGTGTTCTCTTCCGTAGGATTTGTTGAAGGTTTGTGTTTGTAGATGTTTGTATCTTGAAGACAACGGGATGTGCAAGCTCTTTTGTGGAAAAAAGGAACCAACTTAATCTGGTGCCTTCCTTATTATTGGTCTTTTTGAATCTGGTTGATGGGGATAGTTCAAATGAGTAATAATGGTCCTGTGACCAATGGATTGGTTGAATTGAATACAAGTGTCCATGATGAGCACAAGCAAATGAGGGATGGGCTCACAGGTGAGGGGCAGGGCCTCTCAGCGGAGGACGAGTCACAGATTAATGAGGATGTGGAAGACAGACATGATGGAAACAAGGAGGTGGTTCAGCTTCAGATCCACATGCGAGGTGTCCAGCAGATGTCACAGCAACAGTCTCATGGTCCTTTGGTTTGCTGGGAGAGGTTTTTACCTCTAAGGTCGTTGAAGGTTCTATTGGTGGAAAATGATGACTCAACTCGCCATGTTGTCTGTGCATTGCTGCGAAATTGTGGCTATGGAGGTCAGTTAACTTTTCTTTCTACAAAATTTTTCTTTTTGCAGTCTGAAATTAAAATATTTTATACCGTGAAAATCAGAGTAGCTGCATAAGCTACCTGAAGACTGGAGTACTTTAGAATCTTATTTGCTTAAAGGATCTGACCCCATATAATGAGAAAGGCTTACTATATTGTTGCTATTTGCAGAAGGGAAACCTATGGTAGGCTTCTTTATTACTGATTATAACATTTTTATAATAACGTTTCTTATAACCTTGACAGCTTTATCTGGCAGTATAAATATGGATTGTCTTCTTGGTTTTGCTCTTTAATGTTGAATGGTTTGTTATATAAGTGTCTCTGATGTGCATATGCCTAATCTATTATTGTGTACCTATTATCCAAAAATAATAGGTGGTGTACTAGTCTGCTATGTATCTTCCTTTTGAATTCAGCTTATTGCCCTTGTAGTGTATATGATTGCTTACCACAGTAATTTGATGATATATCTCACCTTGATATTTATGACAGTTGTTTTGGTCTTCTGTTTGAAACAAATTTGTGATTCATTCTTGAAATTCCCATGTGTTGACCTAAAGTGGGGTGGATTGAAATTTGTGGGTGTATTGTGTATCTGACTGGGACACCAATGGTTCTAAGTTCTTCTTTTCACTTGCTTTTTTTTTTTTTTTGCTTAGTAGTATTACAGTGAAAATTGGATACAAGCTCTTTAAAGATTTTTTTTTTCTTCTGGAGGTGCATTTTTTCTTTTTCTTTTTCCTTTTGTTGATGGAGAGGTGCATTGTTTCAAAAGGTTTCAATCTTTTCCAAGTTTATTAGAAAGAGTCCTCACTGATACATTAGGTTTCCTATGGATACAGGCATTTAAGTTCTGTCATTTTGAGGCATCTTTAACATAGATATAGATTATAGAAGGGCTTATTGCATTTAATTGAGTACACTATCCTTGAATTATCGGAAAACACTAAGCTTGGAACAGAAAATCTTTTACAGGCTTATGCCATGGTTTTTTCTTCACATTACTTTTTGTGTCAATGGCAAATTTTTTAAATAGGGTCACATTGAGTCAATGAAATGCCAACTCAATGCAACCCATGTCTTAAAATTTTTATATCGCTTTATTTGGAAATCTCTCTCTTTCCCTTTGTTTTTTTTTTTATTTTACTTTTTTAATTTGCTGTTATGATTTTCCTTAATGATTTTTTGGAATGTTAGTTTGGAAATGGGGCATGGCAACATTAACTTTTGAGTACTTCTTTCTGTATCCTTTTTTTTTGTTTTATTTTCATCTTGTTATTCTTATGATTAGTATTTTATTCGTAGTATAATTTCACAGCTTGCAATTATCTTTTTGTTCACATTATCACTCACAGTTGTGGATTTTTTTTTTTACCTTTCAGTGTCATGTCACAGTTTGTTAATTCTGTTTCTGATATTGTTCTTTACACTATTTACCTGAATAATGTACTTTATCTTACTGTTTGGTATCATGAAAAATCTATCGTTTCTTTGTTGGCTGAGACCTGCTGGTGATTTGAAAGAAAGTTGCTGATTGAGTTGGTTAAAATTCATGTTTCGATAATGAATATTGACATATACTATGTTATTTTTTTAAGCTTTTGGATAGTTGGTTTTAATATTATGTTCTTGTGATTGATAAAATTATGCAGTCATGCAAGAAGCCTTGAAGGAAGAAGTTTGTCTAATCTTGATTTTGTTTATGATTTTATGTAATTTTTTATTTATACTATTTAGATTTTAATGCTCATTATGCTAGTACAAGTGTTATTTAGGTTAATTAGGGTTACAATGGAAATCTCCATTTCTAGGAGTAGAGTTTCACAGATTTCCATATACATACTTCTTTTTGCAAATCCTAGGAGCTTTTGTTGATAATAAATTGAATATTGTTGAGGCTTGTGATTCTCTATCGTCCTCTCCTCAGTTTCTTGCCTTTTTTTCCTTGCTTTCTCCATATCTTCTTTGTTTATTTCTCTGCTCCTCCCTAATTTTCAAATCCATCCAATAAATTGCATCATGAAGAAGAGTCTTGGAGGAAGAAATCAATTATTTTAAATCTTGGAATTCTGATCTTGATTTAAGATTTATGCTGTTTTCATTTTATTTTACATTTGAAATCTCCATTATTAGGAGTAGGGTTTCACAGGTTTCCATACACATACTTCTTTTTGCGAATCCTAGGAGCTTTGGTTGATGATAAACTGAATATTGTTTAAGCTTGTGATTCTCTATCCTCCTCTCCTCAGTTTCTCCTCTTGATTTCCCCTCGTTCTCTCTTTGTTTATTTCTCTTTTTCCATTGCTTCGTCTCTCATCTCTAATGTTCAATACAATAAATTGCATCATGAATGAAGAGTCTTGGTGGAAGAAATCAATTATTTTAATTTTGGAATTCTGATCTTGATTTAGGATTTATGCAAATTTGATTTTAATTTAGGTTAGGTATTAATTCTGCTTTTTTTTTTTTTGAATTAATGAAGGTTATATTTTATGTTTCTATTTGCATTGACAGTCCTGTGTTTAGCCAATGTGTGCATCACCCCTGTTTAGTAAAGTTTACTTAGTGGCCTCTTATGATCCGAAAAATATCATATAAATTTAATAAGAGAACCACACTCTATTTTTAGAGATTCCAAATTTGATTAAGATGCACCTTAAGTAATGAATTTGATCTATCTTGGTTATCCACTCAATATCATGAATTACTGTATTCGGTCAAGGTAATTGAAATTTTTTCTCTATTCATTTGTTTCAGTGCATGACTGTCTGGTTTCACATCTAATTGTTTGGTTGAGATTTATTAAAGGAAAATTTTACTTTTTTATTGTTGTGACTTGTTTCATTAGAAGAAAATAAAGAACAGTAACTATTTTTATTTATTTAGTTTTTTAAAAAGATTTGGGAAGAGTCTTGGATTTTTGGCCTTAAATTTGGAGTAAATAACCAAAATTTTCATCCGAATATTATGTTAACTTCTGTGTTTGCTCACCAAAGAGATTAGTGTACCCTAACTTTTTTTATTTTGGTATCTTCTTTAACACATGTTTGAAATCTGTCTTTGATATTATGTAGCTCTCTTATGAATATTTTTCATTGTATAATAGCACTCAAAAGCTATGTTGTTCTAGCTGTCTAGGTTGTGTTACTCATTGGAGAATTTGACTGCAAACCTAAAATCACCTAGAGGGTCAAAATATTTTCACTGGTAGATGGGCCTGCAGCATTGGAGATAGAATTGGTCTAGCCAAATTAGTTCTAACTGATATGAATTGTTTTTCAGTTAGTTAAGTTTTAATTTATATATTTTATATATAGCCTTGCTACAACTTCAACTACCTGTCAATTATGTGCATTTTACTGAAACTTGCAGTAATAAGAAACTTTTATATGTTAGAATGTGTTGCTTGTTGAATTCAACCCATGTTAATGTTGGTTGCATATGGGTCACACTGGTGGTCCTTAAGATTTTTCAAGTTTCAGAGTCATGGAGAATTGAGAAACAGGGTTTGTAGCTTTATAGAGACTTGGTGAAGAAAAATACTGGGGGTTGAAAATAAGGTTTATTGGCCTGATTTAAATCTGATCTTCATAATATGGAATTATTTAGTTTTGCATTGCTAGAAGAAAGAGGAAGTGCAAAATAAATAAATCAACGAATGGTAATGTAACGAGTTAAAACAATCCTGGTTATTTTGACTCAGCCAAGATTTCAGCTACTGGTGTCAATCACAATGTACTTTAATACCTTTTTCACTTAACACTAGTTTGAGAATTCCTATTCATCTTCACAATCTTCTTCTTCTAAAATATTTTCTATTAGAGAAAGTGCAGGTCCAAGTACTAAGGGGGAAAAGCTGAAAAGAAGTCATATGATGAGATGTCCAATAATAAGCTACCTTGATAGAGCCCTTATTTGTATCTCTAAGTAAGGAACGTTGGCTATTAGGGAGCCTTGGAAGTAAGGAATTGATCCTTCAGCCTTTGAAATTTGAAATAGAAATTTTGTATCTATGAAGAACTTAATGAACAGGTAGGTTATTAGCTGCAAAAGCACCAAACTTTCGAACTAATCTTTCATAAATAAACTTGTGAGAATCTTTTCTTCCTTAAGGATGGTGCAATTAAAATTTCGTGGGTCATATTTTGATTGACAAGTTGGCAACAGAATGTAGTTTCTGGCTTTAATCCATAAGGTTATGATATCATCCTTTTGTCCATAAGGTTAAGAATGAAATTAGAGAATGAACTGCACCTCTACTGACATGTGACTATGTCTGAATCAAATCATTCTTGGTTATTATGAAAAACTATTTGGTGTCGTTGGTTGCTTCATCTATTCCACATCTTCATTTCTCCAAAACCCATTTCATCTTATATTAATTGTTGCTTGATTTATCATCCCTTTGACCTTGGGCTTCTATTTTTGTTGAATTTCATACGCGTTAATATGATGAAATAACTTTTCAAACCATTTATCTACTTGTCAAACTTGTTTTAACATCTTAGAAAGAAATTAGGTTCACATAGTTTAGTTCCTTCAGTAAACTCTTTAGCTACAGTAGAGCAACAATGTTGGAATTGTTTCATAAGCTAAACTTTACAGTTGAATAAATTTCTGGAATAAAACTCTTTTATACCTCCATATTTTCTTATTAAAATGCTAGAATTGCTTGAAAAAAATATATAGGCTAAAGACCGAATATGCCCAACCTTAAAACCCGAGATTTTCATGCATAAAAATATAGAAACATCATCTTATCAAAGGAGAGATTTACTCTCTACACATAATACAAAAATAACTATGATTTGTTGTAATTACCCAAATCACTCCTTATTCTAAAAATAAGAGACTTAACTAAAATAACCTAGGAAAGTGCAATAGCCTGAGGTGGATCTTTTATCAGTTACGAATTTGCATAATCAGTATCTGTATATGCCTCTAAAATCAGGCTCGAATTTCTTTTGAATAAGATACATTTCCTAGAATTAGCCTTCAAATAGTGCAATACACGGTAGATAGCCTGTAGGTGCACTTTTTTAGGACTATGCATAAGTTAACTTATTACATTCACAGCATATGCTATATCAAGTCTAGTATGTGAGAGATAAATGAGTCTTCCAATTAATCTTTGGTATATCTCTCTATCTACAGCAACATCTTCATTAACTTTTCCAAGTTTATGATTAGGATCTATAGGGGTATTTGCAGGTTTGCATGTGAGCTTCCTAGTTTCCTTCAGAAGATCCATTACATATTTCTGTTATGAGATGAAAATACCATGCCGTGAGTGAACTACTTCAATTCCTAGGAAGTACTTCAATTTCCTTAGCTTTTTTGTCTCAAATTCTCTAGCCAAACACTGTTTTAGAAATTCTCTCTCTTTTTCATCATCTCTAGTTACAATTATATCATCAACATATACTAATAGAACTGTGACTCCCTGAATCAGAGTGTTTGATAAACAATGTGTGATCTTCTTGACTCTGCTTATATCCCATTGCTAGCATCACTTTGGCAAATCTCCCGAACGAAGCCCTAAGAGACTGTTTAAGGCCGTATAAAGCCTTTTTCAGCTTGCATACTTTGTTTGCTTTTAGATAACCTCTAAATACTGGTGGAACTTTCATATATATTTTTTCTTCTAAATCACCATTTAGAAAAGCATTCTTTACATGAAATTGTTGAAGCTGTCAATTTTAATTTGCAGCTAATGATAACAAAATCTTAACTATATTCATCTTGGCCACTGGAGCAAAAGTTTCCTGATAATCTACTCCATAAGTTTGAGTGTAGCCCTTAGCTACCAACCTGGCTTTATACCTTTCAATAGTACCATCAATCTTGTATTTTACAGTGAAAACTCATTTACACCCAATTGGATTTTTTCTTTTTGGAAACTCTACCAGTTCCCATGTTTTATTTTTCTCTAAGGCCTCCATTTCTATTGTCATTGCTTGCCTCCATTTCTCATTGGATAATGCCTTGGATAATGTAGTTGGAACAAAAAGTGTTTAGGCTCACAAGAAAATTTTTGTTGGATGGTGAGAATTTCTCAAATGACACAAAATTAGAGATTGGGTATAGTAGATGCTTAGTATATTCTCTGGTTCTTTTCCTAATGGTAGTAGGTAGATCATAATCACTGGTTATAGTTTTGGGAGATTAATGCTCATTTTGAGAAACAAAGTGAAAGACTGTAGTTACCTCATTTTTAGAGTTAGGATCAGGTTGTTGGACTTGCATTGGTTTAGGATCTGGAACTTTTGTTCTTGAGTACACCTGTAATTCCGTCATAGAATCAAGAACACTATTATCCTTTGTCACATCTTCTGTGTTTGGGATGGGTTCAGACTCAAATTCTATGTTTGAATTGGACTCAGAAGAAACAGGTTTCGATTGAAAAGAATTAATGGGTGAAAATATTGAAGAGGAGGACAAATCAAGCAAAAAGAAGTCTTTATCCTTATCTTCCCTGAATGAAGTTTCTCCCTGAAGATAAGGTTGAATAAAAAATGGTTTACTTTGTTCAAAAGTGACATTTGCAGGCACATAAAATTTTTTGGTAGGAGGATAATAGCACTTATACCCTTTCTGAGTTGATGAATATCCCACAAAAATGCACTTAATTGTTTTAGGATCCAACTTCCCCCTATTGTGACTGTGAACATGAGCAAATGATTTATAATCAAATATTTTAGGTGTGAGGTTGTTTATGGTATTAAAGTTGGGATGGAATTGTGAGAGTAGTTCCATAGGAGTTTTAAATCCCAAAACCCTTGAAGGTAACCTATTTATAATATGTGTGGCAGTGAGAACAGCTTCCCCCTAGTAGGATTTGGGTATGTTTGCTTGCAAAAGTAAAGCTCGGGTTGTGGCTAGTAAATGACTATTTTTTCTCTCTGTCACTTCATTCTACTGTGGAGTATTAACATAAGATGACTCATGAATATTCCCTTCCTTTTGGAAATAGGTAGATAAACTTTGTTTGAAATAGTCTCTTGCATTATCAAATCTAAATCTCTTGATTTTCACTCCAAATTGATTCTGGATCATGTTTTGGAAGCTTAAAAACATACTATTAACATTTGGTTTAGATTTAAGTAAAAATATCCAAGAGACCTTGGTACAAACATCTATGAAAGAAACAAATCACCTTGTACCAAAAATATTAGGAATTGTAGAAGGATCTTATATGTCACTATGAATCAAGTAAAAAGGAGTAGAACTTATTTTATTACTAACTGGAAAAGACACACATCTATGTTTTGTAAGTTCACAAATATCACAACGAAAATCTTCACCATTTAATCCTTTGAACAAAGAAGGAAACATGTTTTTCAAAGTTCCAAAAGAAGGATGTCCAAGACAAAAATGATAAAGCCAGATTTTGTCTTTATTGGGAGATTTTTCATAAAGAAATGAGAAAGGTAATCTATCCTTGATATTACTTGTGTTGTTTGATGTCTCAAGATAGTATAGTCCATCATTCTCCTTGGCAAGTCCAATTTTCTTCCCTGAACTCCGGTCTTAAAATTCACAATAAAAGGGATAAAAAGTCACTTTGCAGTTCATATCTCTAGTAACAATAGTTTTTGTATAGATATCAAATTAGTAGACAATCCAAGAACATGAAGAACATTTTTAAGAACAAATGAGGAATTAATTTGAACCTCTCCTAATCCTACCACTGTAATAAGTGAACCATCTGTAACAACAATTTTCTTATTACTAGAACATAGGGTATATGTACTAAACTTTTGTAAGGAATGAGTCATATGGTTTGTGGCTCTTGAGTCAATGAACCAAGAACTCATAATAGGCTTAACCGAGACATTTAATCCATGAGAACTAGAAGCTTTATCTGAACTAGAGACCTTACCCAAAGAATATACGCCAATAGGATTTTCGAGAGTTTTCAATAGGCTTATTAGTTTCTCAATTTCTTTTCTGTCCAACTCGTTTTGTTTTCGAGACTTCTATAGTACTCCGGTGATTTTACCAATTGTCACATCCAAATCAAGTAGTAGTGGCAAATTCTACTATCTCTGACAGGGTTATTTTTCTCAGAACTAAAACGAGTCTTGATAATAAAGGTTTAACTAGAGATGATTTTAGGCAATGAAGGCCAAAGAAGGAAAAAATAAGACTAAAATATTTAACAAAATTTGGGTATGAAGGCCTAAAATAGAATTCAACAATTAAGGATGAAAAATTTTTTCTTCCCACGAAGAGCCTAAAGCTTTAAAATCATGTTAAACATCCAACTTACAACCAATTAGCAATAGGTGGAGGGCCCAATTTGAATATAAGACTATAGGATGTTTGATAGTCACTAGATGTGTGATGACCCACTTTTAACAGGCCCCCATCACGTGTAAGCGAAGATGAAAGAAGCCTTCCACATGACAAATTAAGAAAAGGCAATGGAAAGAAAGTCCTAGCTCTCATACCATGTGGAAAAACTAAAAAATAAAACTATGTAGAAAACTAAGAGTAAAACTGAATGTATATTTAAAAACTGCTCATAAAGAATTATACAAACACCTTAGGTTTATATACAACTAATTAGTGAGTAAACTAGGAAACTAAATCTTCTTAAAATTGATCCTATGATTGGGGGATCATCTATCCTAATTTTTTGTCCTTAATTTTGGGAATACAAATACTTAATTCTAGAGATACAAATATAAATATACATATTACAAGATTACAACCAATTATAAATAAGTATTTTCTCACAAATAGCTAATCAAAGAAGAGATTTTACTCTCTACACATAATAAGAAATAACTAACGGATTAAATCACTCATTATTATAAAAATAAGAGACTTAACTAAAATAGACAAAGTCAACTAATCAAGCAATAATGAATATTAGATTTTCACAAAAGTTAATAGGGTACACTTGATGGAAAATTATGAGACATTTTGAGATTAATATCATAAAAGAAACCTAAATTTTGTAAGCTGTTTGAGGGCTTCATAATACTTGTTGAACAATGCTGATGAAAGGTAGGTTTGATTTCTAATTAGTATGCATTTGTTAGTATTTGAAAAGGTCTTAACTAGGCTTCAAAGTGAATACAAAAATGTTTCGGGACTAAAATAGTTTTTAAGATGCAAAGAAGGTGTAGGCTTCATAGTTAGATTTCCTTGGCTTTAGGAAGGCCACCTAAGGTCCCACAGGCTTCAAATCTAGGTTATGGCACTTCTTCATACAATCCAAAAGGACATTATAATAAACTAGGGGAAACTTCATGGACCTATTATGTATTAATTGAAAGGCCTGACAGGCAATATATATAGACTTGGTAATCCTAATCTTACAAGAACTTGATGTTAGGGGTAGGGAACCATAAAGGTTAATTTTAAAGAATTTCAATTTTAAAGAATTTCTACATGATAGAAAAGGTCCCAATAAGAGGAAAGACTCAAAATAACACTGAAGGGATTCACTTTTCACAAAATGCAAGTGCTTTATCTTTTATTAAAAAAAAAAGGCTTGTAAAAAATTTTTATGCCCCATGAGCATGAAGATCTTAGTTTCATAACATAGGCTTCTAAACTGAAAGGAATAAGATGGGGCTTTAGAAAAAAAAAAAGGTAAATGATATCAATCTGTTCATTAGAAAATTTTATTTCAATTTGGTGGTTATTTTATTTCTCATAGATACCTTCTTAATTTAACTAAGGTGCTATGCTTTCTCAAGATTTTTTGACTGATGGTCTTGAGGTAGCGATATGATGTCTCATTGAGGATTTTAACTGTTCATCGAGATTGTTCTTAACTATATTGCATTTGTTTTCAATGTAAGTAGCTCTTTTGGTTTATATGTATATGATTGCTTTATAAAAAAATATCTTGTATACACCTTTTACGCATGTCATTTTACCCTTAACTTCTTTTCTGTTACCTATGGGCCTAAGATCTTCTTCTTTTTTTTTTTTTTTCAATCTTGGCAGTTGCTGCTGTATCAAATGGTCAACAAGCTTGGAAGATCTTGGAAGATCTAACCAATCACATTGATCTTGTTTTAACTGAGGTAGTCATGCCTTGTTTGTCAGGCATTGGCCTTTTATGCAAGATAATGAACCACAAAACTTGCAAGAATATTCCAGTGATTAGTGAGTATATTTCCTCTATTGTTTCTCCCTTTTTTAAAATAATGCAATTTTATACCTATTCTTAACAAATTTTATACCTTTTCCTCTATTCTTAACAAATTGATACTTTTAACTGCTACACCTGATGAGTTTTATGTGCAGTGATGTCATCACATGATTCTATGAATATAGTCTTTAAGTGTTTGTCCAAGGGTGCAGTTGACTTTTTAGTGAAGCCCATTCGAAAGAATGAGCTTAAAAATCTTTGGCAGCATGTTTGGAGGAAATGCCACAGCGTGAGTTGCTAACTTGCTAGTCATCCCACTTTTGTATGAAACTATATGGACAATTTCAGGTCTGTCCTTATAAATACCTGTTTCTCTGTCAATTGTTGAGCTACTTGGACAAAAAGCAAGATGTTTACTTTGCCAAGTTTCCCTGTGAAATTTGGAATTTTTATACAAAATTTTTGCTTTTATGTTTTCATTGTTTTTACCAGTTTCTTGACATAAGACAGCAGAAAAGTGCAAACTTTTTTCTTCTGTTTTGTATTTACTGTTCATCCTTTCATCAGTCTAGTGGTAGTGGAAGTGAAAGTGGTATACGGACTCAGAAATCCACAAAATCAAAAAGTTTTGATTCAGACAACAATACTGGAAGTAATAATGAGGATGACATTGGAAGTGTGGGTTTGAATGTTCGGGATGGAAGTGACAATGGAAGTGGCACTCAGGTGAACTTCATTATAGAACCATTATTTTACTCTTGCTACTCTTATTGATCTGATATAGATAGAAACTATGCTTGCTTCGACTTGGCTTTCAAATATTTGATTGGTTTGCTATTTCCTTTATGCTTTCACATTGCTTGTGGTATCTTATGTTTTCTCTAATTACCATAATAATCAGTATCAAAGGATATGACTGGATCATTATTCCATTTTAATTATTAAAATAATTGTGATGCAAATTTCAAAATTAATTGTCAAATATAAGATTGATTTGAGTTTACTGATAGGTTTTATAATAATCATGTGGAGTTTTCCCAGCCTTACATATAAGCTTCTGTTTTCATTGAACACACTCCATCTTCCTTTGCTTTTATTATGAATCTAAACACCCTTTGTATAGAGCTCTCGAAACAATGTAGAGGAAAAGAAAGGTGGTACATGGTTATGTTCATTAATGCACACTCTAATTAATTGTAGAATTACCTAGTTTTAAATCCTAGTCTGTGGCAATTATAATTTAATTTATATCTCAACTGTCATATTTTAGTTTCCACTAAAACAATATCATGCTAATCTGCTGAGCAATTTCGTTTAAAAAAAATGAATCTTTGGGGTGACCTTTCCAGTATGGGCATAGTGTATAATGGTAGAAAAAACACTTGGATTATTTTTGGACGGTTGAAAGGTAAATTTCTTTAGCACATATGATGGAAGAAGGTTGAGATACCCCTAAAGCAAACTTCTTTTAATATGCTTGAGGCAAATTTCTTATTTGGTAGCGCTAAGAAATATTGTAGTGTCTTGCTTTCTAAATTCTTAGAACTGCTGCAAATGAAGTTACAATCTGTTTTATGGCGACACCTTCTTGATTCATCTCCAATTATATTGACCTAATTATTGATTTTGTTTAGCAAATATGCAACTTATTGAAAGAGTGATATTGACATTGAGCAAGTAATTGAAACACTAAGTAATAAAGTTGCTTACAATTATTGTCTAAATAAATTATAAAAAAAAAAAAAAAAAACTTTTCTGGTAAAGTTTGAGCTGATGGATTTCCCAACTTAAAAGAAAGATAGTGTTTTGGCATATATCCCTATGGTACGTTATAAACAAAATAAGAATCTTGTCACGTTCGCCTCTACGATTAATGACATGTTAGATAAAGTGGTAAGAGTGGAAGTGTTACTCTTAAGTAGATTAAAACAGCAGCTAATTCCATATTCAAATACCATGTGTTTTTTGGGAGACAACAAAGATTCTTATACAAATGATTAGTAATATTTTTAGCCTATTTGAAAAACCTAGCACATTTGTGCATAACTCATGTTCTCAAGCCATATACTAAAACATAGGCTGTTTTTTATCTTTTATTTTTTTCTATTGTTTATGGTCTTACCGGAGATGATTACTTTTAGCATTTCTATTTTGTGGAACTTTAAAAATATTGTGAATGAAAGATTGTATCATAACCTTCATAAGTGTAATTTTTTGTAAAGGAGCTGCCTTTCTATGTGTATGTGGGGTCATTTAAAGGGCTTTTATTTTATGTTTATAATTTTATTTTACTTTAACTTTCATGAATTAGCCTTTTTTTAATTGCAATTTATTGGCTTTTCCTTTTTTCAAAGAACTGAGGAGGCTGAGGGAAGAAGGTTTTCTTTTTCTTTTTCTTTTAAAAAAAAAGGGAAAGAAAAGAGCAGTATGCTAAATGGATAATCGAAACTTTGGCCCCCTTCCATGCAACACTTAGACTCTTAAATTCTCTCTCTAAAGTCAACTGACAACCATTATCTGGAAATTCGCTCCCACCAATGGAATGCTTACTTGAGTTTGGCTTGTTGGAATGTAGAGTTTTCCTTCTGTGCTAGCTTAGCTACCTTTTCATAGTGAATGGATCTATAATCTTCCACCCCCTTCCCCAAACCCCCTATGTGTTTGGTCATGTAATTGATACAGGCTGTTAGCTAATAAACACCAATGATGAGACAGTATTATAGGCATACTGCATCAGTTTTCCCAAAACTAGTATTTAACTTTAATAATTGATTGTTTGACCTCATACATTTTCCAAGAACCATCCATTGTTGCATATTTATAAAATTTTGAACCATGCATGTCTTCATACTTTCCCTAAGGATCCCACTCTCAGTTACTTTTCACAACTGATCTTATAGTGAGCTAAACTTGAGGGTGGAATCTCTATGTATGTTGACACCTCAAATCATTTCTTTCAAGCCTTAACCTATTCAATGAAGAGAAAAGCTATTAATGTTTCTAGCCTTTACTATATATATTTCTTTCCCTTTTTTCTTCTTTTGAGGTGTTAAAACTTAAACCTGTTCTTACGTTTTTAAGCTACCAAATTTTAGTATTGCCATTAGCATGAAAGGAACCTCATCTTTGTGAGCTTTGTAATAAATTGAACAAGATGCGTTGATGTTACTACTCTTCATGACACTTCTTGATCAAATATGGCTTTTTATCCATTTGAGTTGTTCTTTAGATCAAGCTAGTATGATAACACTGAAATCTGTAGAACTTCTCCAAGCCATAACCAATTGGCACCCACATTTTTACCTAGTTTGAAATATCTTCTGCCTCTTGTCAGATGAATGCTTGAGTCTTTGAATGGGCCAAATTATTATCCACAGGCCAAATCATTTTTAGACACGGTTCAAATTACTAAAGCTTTCTTAGGGAATAAGAATGCAATTCATGCTTTTAGACATGCATTTTGACATGCTTGCATAGCTAGCTAAATTTTTTAAGATTATCCTCTTGTCTTTGAATTTGTACATGTGATTGTCCCTCAAGTTCATCAAAAGGTTTCAGTGTATGATGAAAGGTAGATAACATGTTCACATGCAATTAATGACATACTCATGGCCAAAAACCTTAAATGCATTGTTGATTTGGAATATCTTGATGCACTAAATTCTTTATTTGCAGAGCTCATGGACAAAGAGAGCAGTAGAGGTTGACAGCTCCCAGCCAATATCAACATGGGACCAGTTAGTCAATCCTCTTGATAGCACTTGTGCACAGGTTATCCCTTCCAAGTCTGAAGTTTTAGGGAATAGCTGGGTTCCTATAACAGCCACAAGGGAGTTTGATAGACAGGATGATGAACTTGGTATGTGCAGAACCGTTCATAACTGCCTTTTGCTATCTTTAGGTTTTTGTTCTTGTCTTTCTCTTTGATTAAATTGTAATGCATCTCTATGCCAGACAATGCTGTTATGGGCAAAGACTTGGAGATGGGGGTACCTAAAATTACAGCTTTGCAGCTTCGAAACCCAAGTGAAACGGTCAGTACCAACATAGCAGGTGCTACTAGTAAAGAAAATTTATCTGAAATAAACCCCAAGAAAGATGATGAGAAATTGGAGGAGCAATTGGAGCTTAACAGTGAGAAACCTGGTGGTGATTTGAGAAACCGAGCTGCTGACCTGATAGGTGTCATCAGTAACAACACTGATGCTCAGATAGAAAAAGCAGTTTTTGACATCTCAAATTGTCTCCCCAAGGACTCTGACGCAAAAGATAATGCCGTCTATGACACCAAGGAAATACCTTCTCTTGAGCTAAGTTTAAAGAGACTGAGAGATGTTGGAGATACTGGAACAAGTGCCCATGAACGTAAAGTGTTGAGACATTCCGACCTTTCAGCCTTCTCAAGGTATTTGGAAACTGTGGCTCCTAATGTTTAAATATCCGAATTTTACAGTGTAGTAATTGTTATTTTCATGCAGATATAATTCTGGTTCAACTGCTAATCAGGCCCCAACAGGAAATGTTGGTAGTTGTTCTCCACTTGATAATAGCTCAGAGGCAGCTAAAACAGATTCTATGAAGAATTTCCATTCTAACTCAAATAGCATTCCTCCAAAGCAACAGTCCAATGGAAGTAGTAACAATAATGACATGGGTTCCACCACTAATAATGCCTTCAGCAAACCAGCGGTACTCAGTGACAAGCCAGCACCTAAAACTTCAGTTAAATCTTTTCATCCCTCTTCAGCCTTCCAACCAGTGCAGAATGGCCGTGTTTCTGCTCTGCAACCTCTCACACAAGGTAAGGCTGATGCTGCACTAGGTAAGAGGATTTTAGTTCAAGCAAGGGTGCAAGTGCAGCGTCACCATCACCATTATCACCACCACCACCACCACCACGTCCATAACATTTCCCAAAATCCAAAATTAGGTAACGTTGTTGATTTTTCTTTGGAAAATATGGCAGCAGCAGTTCCCCAGTGTGGGTCTTCCAATATGTCACCACGTTTTGAAGGCAATGCTGGTAACCATAGTTTGAATGGAAGTGCATCAGGAAGTAACCATGGAAGCAATGGACAGAACGGAAGCAGCACTGCATTAAATACTGGGGGAATGAATCTTGAAAGTGAAATTGGGGTGCCTGGGAAAGGTGGAACTGTTGGTGGAATCGGATTTGGAGGCAGCAATGGAGTTTATCAAAACCGTTTTGCTCAAAGAGAAGCTGCTTTGAACAAATTCCGCCAGAAAAGGAAAGAAAGATGCTTTGAGAAGAAGGTAACTGTATTGCATTGTGACACTGGAAATGTTTGTTTGACGCAGTATGGAGACACATCTTACTTATAATATAATTTCAAAAATTATGAAAGCTGATAAAACCTTCTTAGCTAAACCTAAATATTTGTCAGACATATGAAGATGTCCTCAATCACCTGGGACTCTAGAAAACTAGATTTTCCCTAACAGTATTCAGCTTTGCTGGTATCATATGGAGCTATCCACCAGCATGATAATAGTCATGGTCACCTCACCTGAGTTGATTTACAAGTTCTGAAGTGTTAATTTGTTTTTCTTTATTCTAACTTCATTGGCTTCCAGAATTCTATTTTTGAATTAAAAATTGACAAAGACATCTCCCTAACGTCTACTGTTTCAGGTTCGATATCAGAGTAGAAAGAAACTGGCAGAGCAGAGACCGCGGATTCGAGGACAGTTTGTGCGACAGGTCCATGAAGACAAAAACAAGGATACAGATTGCTAAAACACCCCCTTCCCTTAGTCCGTGCAAAATTTTATGTATCAGATTAGCCCTACCGGGAAGGGAGAATTCAGATTCCATGGTGCCGGATTGTGCACGTAGCAATAACAAAATACATACTCTTAATCAAAGACCAAATTCATTTTAAGGACTCGAGTCATCTTGAACTGTACTTTATTAGTCTGACCTATATGGCTACGACCTAAACTATAACTACTACAACTACCTTGCACAAGGTAACAACCCTTGAAGGGGTTGTTGCCCTCTGCTATACTAGTACTACTACCATCCACTGTGGTTTGCTGTTGTTTGTTAAAAGACTTGCATGCAAGAAGTGGGTACATAAAGACTGTTCTCTTGTGAAGTTTGTTTCATGTGCATTTCTTAACCATTTCTTATGAACTCTTTTCTTCCATTTAAGTTGTGACCGAATTTGGCTATGACTTGCACAGATTTCCCAGAAGCCAAATGAAGCACAGTTTCAATTAGGAAAGGTTAGATAGGTTTCGTTCTGGTTTCCATAAAGCCGTGTTCCCACTTCACATACAAAACTCGCTTTGCAGTTGCATAGTTAAGGCATAGATACATCAACAAACTAAACTTTATATTTTATAATTTTGGGGCAAAAAAAAAAAAATCTTGTTAAGTTGTAATTTTGAATTTTCTTGTATCACTCGTATATATTAAAAATAACATTTTCATGAATAGATCAGTGCTTAATTTGATTTCCTTCAGTAGAGCTACTGACCTAGCGTTATAATAAATAAAGTGAACACATCAAGCCAAGCACTATCCTTTTCAACATGGACAGGAGAGATGTCTAAGCTTATGCTAACAGTCACGTGTACTGTTCGTAGAGTATTGGATTCTTAATTTGATTCAAATCTTAATTATCTTAAATATTTCTATACTCATACCTAGGTAGACTAGAAACTAACATGTAAGAACAATTTTTTTCATGTTCCCAAGATCCTGAATTTAAGTTTAAAGCTCCCTTTTTAGCAATGGCAGCCTCACACCTAGGTGAGTATGGGAAAATTGTCCAATCCCATCCATCGTCTGTGACAAGTTATGGTTTGCTTCAATGGCGGATAGGTACAAAGCAGAATTTAGAATGTTTAGAATTATATATATACATATATATATATAGAGAGAGAGAGAGAGAGCTTTACCTGTTTTGAGGCTATGGCCTTCAAAACACATGATGTTCCTATAGCTATGATACTGGGTAAGGTTAGTGAAAGAACACATGCACTAACCTCACAGCCCTGTTGCCTGTCTTACAAATTCATCTATTCATCTTCCTATCCAAACTGCACTAAATATGATCCTTAGTATTCTCTCTTCCAGAGATAATTATGAATGCTCGATGTGATCTGCTAGATTCCACGAATCAACCTGATTAAATTTTTTATTAAGATAAAATTTATAATTGTACCAAACATAAAACCTTATGGTTTAAGAATGAAACTCTACATCGCCATCATCTTACATAACAGAAGGTGACAATTAGACATGAGACAACTTATGTCGGGTTTGTTATTTAGATCACTTTGAATCTAATCCTTTAGATTGTTAGATTAGAGCAATCCAAATTTTGACTGTTTCCAAGTTGAGGTTAAAAGCAGATTTTTTTCCTAAAAGCATTGCTTTTCTGTTATCAAACAGATTAGCGCAACTCGAATCAACACATGTTTGGAAAAATGTTTAGAAATATTTATGTGATACTCTTAGAAAATTGGCAGAATCTTTTTAAAGAGTTAATTCTCCTTTCCTTCTTCAATTTAACAATATTAATACATGGTTCCCGGACTAGGCAAAAAAAAAAACTAATAAAATGAGGATAGTTTATAAATACAAGCAATATCTAATTTAGAACCAACATCTTTCTGTAAACTAAACAGATAAATATTGATTGGTATCAGTGTCTTTAACTTGAAAGGGCTGAATTATCCCATTGTCCCAACCATGAAACTCTCTTGTTATCATTGCTGCAACAAAGAATTCCATATAAAACTAAAATACAGCTTCACAATCCTTGCAGGGCAGTAGTAGCATCAACCTTGGCTTTCATTTTTTCTAAATCTTTTTCTCTCTAGGAATACCGATCCAAAAATGATAGAAAGATGACAACTTTCCAGTCGATTACTCGTTTCCTGTCTCATTAACCTCGGCTTCCAGGGTAGAAACACTCAACAATATTTTCCTTGACCTTGAAGTGGAAATTACTTGTATTGTTCCTAGAGCTCTCTTGCCCATAATTCATACTCTTGCTCAAAACCGTTAACTGCAACATGATAAAACATGTCACTTGTGAGACCATGGCAAAGCTTGTTTCTTTCAGAAGAATGTTGTATGATCACAGTTAAAGAGATAGATTTCTACCAAGAATATGCAAAAAAAAAAAAAAAGCAGTTGTAGAATGCATATTAGGCAGGTCATATATCCAATGACTAGAAGCATATGTCGAATTTCAGAACTAAAATGAGGTTCTTGTCACACCTATGTCACTGCATTTTCATTACAATAGACCAATCAAAATTTAGATCCCGGATCTGAGTCTTCAACCCTTAAGGATAGGAAAACTAGATGCAATAATAATCATATCAGAAATAAAACCTAAAAGTTTTAATAACGCATTACAAAGCAACAATATGTAGAAAAACACATGAAAAGTTTAACCTATAATTATTTACATTTACATTTATTAAGCAGCATTAATCTAGTACAGAATGTAAATTGAAATAGAAATGACACAAATTATCCAGAAAAGAAATAGAAATAACATAACAGTACCTGTCCGTGCACATCAGTTGCTAAACCAGTAGCCAAAGGCTCTGCCTTTATCAAAATGTCCGCAAGGTACTCCATCTGTAACAAAAAGGTAGGCCTATCTGCACTGGAATATATATCCTCATGATTAAGTGTAATTAGCGAACAATCCTGTGATAAGAAATGAGAACAGGACAAGGGGGGCAGTGGGTCAACAAAAAGATAATATTTGCAAATAGAGGGTGACATTACCAAAATGAGGAAACAAACTTACAAACTCTGATGTTAAAGTGCGGCAGTAGTGCAAGAAGTCCAAGACATAATCTGAAGAGCCATTTACAGCCACCTCCATAAGAGATAAATCATCTATGATAATGGAAACATTTTTCCTGCTAACCTCGGGCAATGCTAAAATGGTTTTATGTATTTTCCCATACAATGCAATAAGTCCACCTTCAGGAGTTATTCCTTCATGTCCACCTAATTAAACAAGTTGCAAAACTCCTTCAATGAGATAAACCTCGTACCACACACAAATTATTAGCTAACTGAAAAAAGGTAAACTGACAAGTCAACAACGTAAAAAGATATATTAATCCTTAGTTAATCTAACACAGACACAAACATAATCATATGCATGCAGAAAGTTTTGCAAGAACCATTTTACCTGATTTTCTCACCTGGACACTGCAGCATAAGCATGTCAAAGAAAAAGAATCTACTGTTATCCCTTTGCAATACTAAGTTGCATCCCTATTTCAACAAATCAACAACAAATCCAAATACTATTAATAATACCACTTCCAAAATTTCCCAAAAAAATCAACATGCTAGCAAGAACACAAATTTTCTATCTCACTTATATCCTCTCAGAAAAAAATTAGACTCGGAAAATGATCCCTTATGTCCGATAGAAACCAAAATATCATTCGTTTGTGACCTATCCATTCACATTCCAAGACAAATCTTATTATTCATTAAAAAGGTAACCAGAAACCCAGACATGATCAGGGTCGCACTACAAAAGAATCAGCAAGTTCATTCAAATCAATTAATAAAAGATCTAACAGCCAACTTACATGACTTATTTAATAACTCCATCAACTCAACTAGACAGACCATTCAAAAACAAGGCAAGTAACCAGTAGCAAAAGTTAAAGAAACTGGAGTAATATTAAAGTAGCAAAACTGAACTTTCCAACATCATCCACCATTTCAATTCCATAACCTAATTTATGAAGGTCCAATCTTTTTACACCTAGCAATTCAAACAAAATTAAATAAATCCATTTCATTTCCCAAAATTGACACACAACACCTTTTTTTAACACCATCATCCCTCCCTCCAAAAACAGTATTCTCTACAAACTTTTTCAGCTTTTCAATTCACTACCCAATTCACAAGGTTCCAATTTTCACAATACCTAATCAAACGAAACTAACCCATTTCAGTTCCAACACAAAAACCAAGCATATCCTTGACAAATTACCCATTTAACCCTCCATGATCCACAAATAATCATTAAATATACCAACAAAAAATCCTAAGCTTTAAGCTTTAATGGAGAAGGGAGTTACCAGTTTTCGAAGGATACGATCGTAATGAGAAAAAGGCTGAGCAAAAGCGATGAAAATTGAAACATTGGAGGAATTTGGAGAAAGAGAGCGTTTAAGGAGATGGTGAAGAACGAATGAGCCGCTGGTCTCGACTCGGTCTTCTATAACCACTGCTCGACCCCTTAGAGGCCATGGCTCGATGGTCTGATCTAGCCCTAGGGCTTCATCGAGTAGGTTCGAAGACCTCTGGTTCATGATTTTGGGAAATTCGATTCTTTGGGAGAGAGAAGTTAGGGTTTTGGAAGGGAAAACAGTTAAATAGAAAGGAAAAAAACCGAGGAAAAGGTTTAGAAAATGGGCTTTAAAATTCACTTTTGGGCTAATATTTAGGCCTATCAATGTTTGAATTGGCCTCGGAAGTAAATTTTTTTCCAATAACTTTTTTTTTTTTATTTTAATCCTAAATTTATATACAAATTGTTAATATTATACACGAATATACAAATTTTCATATATTGATTGACTCTTGATTCTTTTTATTAACCTCAAATTTTCATTTTTAAAAGTGAAATTTTGGTTCAAAATTAATTTTAAAGTATACATAAATTGCTTGAGGCATCACTTTTATCCACAAATATATACTTTTTTGTATAGATGATAATTAAAAATAGGATACGCGATATAATATAAAAATAAATATAAAAATAATATGATTTAAAATTTTAACAAAAATTATATATAAATTTAACAAAACAAAAAATATATATTTTATATTTTTATATCAGTAAAAATTATGATATAAAATTTTCGTATAAAATATGATATAAATAATTAATTAATTAATATTTTACATTATATATTCTTTCGTAAGCCAAACCAAAATCATACAATGTTTTATGCAGACTTTCATTCATGAATCTTGATGTGAGAATACGAGTTAGAATGCTTTTGGGCTAATTCTTATAGTTCATATAATTGTATTTAAAATATGTATTCAATAAATTTGAAATTTAAATTTTAATATTTTATATAAAACATTAAACTAAAATCTTACTTTCAAAGATGAAGGGTATGGAAGAAAATTCTCATAAAAATTGGCAATGGAACCCTAAATTCCCCTCTAAATCTGGAAAAAATATATTTTAAACAAATTATTTTACCATTAACTCATAGAAATTGAATCAACCAAAAAAAAAAAATCATAATCAAGCAATCATTTTGAACAATTTATTTTTTGATACATTTTTTGAGAAAATATACTTAAAGAAAATATTAGAAACTTACCCTCGTACTTCAACTTTCTTGAAAAAATTAGATTATTTCACATATTGCTTTACCTTTTTCCTTTTCTTAATTCAAAAAATACACCAACACATGTTGATCGGAGTGACAAAAAATTAAATTTTTTTAAATAAAATCTTAATTTTGAGGAGAAAATAAGTACTAAAAAAATTTATTTTTTTTATAAGATTGATCCGATTTGATTTTAAAATAATTAAAATTTAAAATAATTATCAAATATTAAAATATCTCAAATAAAAAAAAATTCAAAAGGTGTGGTCCATTATTTAATAAGAGTTGTCTCCATACGAATTTAATGCACACTACAAATATTTTACAATACAAATACAAGTCAATCCAAAATAAAAAAAATAATGGATAAATAATTAATTAATTATGAATTTTAATTTTTCATTATATAAGTCTATAATATGTAAGAAATTATCTTATTTATTGTCGATGAAATTTTTAAATTCATTAAATAGAATTGATGGCATCTATGGTAGGAGACCAAAAACCAGCTCTAGATATGCAAGAACCAGCTGGAATTCTTAGTACCAATGTTGTCTTTAAACAATTTATTAATTATTATATTAACATGATCACATTAAAAAAAAAATTTAATCAATTTAAAAAACATATAATAATTTTATTTTGATATATGTATTATTTTAAAAAAATTCAAGATAAATGAGTTGTTCAGTTTCTCAAATCAAAGCAAGATGTGTCGTACCTAATAACTTAAAATAAATAGTTATAAGTCATGTATTTAAATGATCCCAATAAACAATTATCGATATTACTTGAACTTAATATAAAAAAAAACGAGCTTTAACCAATTAAACCAATAATTTATTGGTGATATATATATTATATCATATATGTATTATATATGCCTTTCATCTTAATTTTTTTTAATTTTTTTACATAATTTAAAAAATTGATTTTGGTGTAATTAATAGTAATTTTTAAAAATTTTCATAAAATTAATGTTTTATTATTTTAATATAAAAATTAAAAAATCATGTGGTAAAAAAGAAAATAACATTATCACCGACAAAATATGAATTTTTTTTACACAATGGGATAATACTTTTAAAAATAATTATATAAATTAATTATATTAAATTTCAAATTTAAAATATAAATTTTAATATATGCATAGATCTAATATGAGGGAGGTTTACCCTAGATTCTCTCTTGCTTAATTTAGGCAGAGAAATTGCTATACAAGACAATAAATCACGGATTTTTTTTTTCAAAAACTTTTATTAAAAAAATAGTAGAAAGATTATTTAAAACAAAAAAAAATAGAGATGGCAAAAAAAAAAAAGGATAATAGAAAATTATTGAATTAATTACTAATTAAAAGCCCATTAATAAAACGCAGTTGGAGAAAAATTGCTCTTTAAAAGCATCGATTTTACCACCCAAGCCAAAAGCATGTTTATTTTAATTTAATTTTGTATTTTAGTCGGCACATGAGTTTTTACGCTATTATATTTTTATATATTATTTAAAAATAAAAGATTTCATTTTTAAAAAATTCGAATTTAAATCGTTGTAATAAAGGATTCATGTATTTAATATTAAACAGGATTCATTGAATTGATAAATTTAAAAAAAAAATTTAACAATAACAAGAAATTTAATTTGTATTTGTAAAAATGATAATTTTTATTTTATAAAATAAAAAATTAAAAAATTAATTTGAAAATTTAAATTTATTGAATGACTAGTTTTAAAATTAATTTAAATTAAACTGTGTATTTTAATTTTCATATATACTGATTAAAAAAATTAAATTTTTAAAAGATTCTAAATATTAAAGATGTGTACAGATTATTATAGGTTCATCATTAATATAATAAATGGATAAGCTGTCACCACTTAATTTAAAAATTAGTAAGTTGTTAAATTTTTGTCCAAAAATAACAAATTAAAAATATAATAAAAAATTTAATGAGATTAAATTGTAACGATGAAATTCAATATTGATCGATAATATAATGATAGATTTGATTTTGATATTAAAAAAAAAAAAAGAAAAATTAGCAATTTGCTAAGACCCAAAGGGCACAAAAGCAAAAAGAAAAAAAAAGGGAAAAAAGATATAACCTTCTTGTGAACTTCCAATCTGTTTCTCTTTCTCTCTCTCCTAATTCCTAAGTGTGTGTTTGGTCTGATTTCTTTCTTGCTGTTTTCTGTATCTCTGTCTCTCTTTCTGTTCTTTTGTTTTAGTCATTTTAGTCTAAGGTAAGAAAAGGAAAAAAAAAAGCAATAAAAAGTTCATATGGGTCGGTTGCCTTGTTGTGGAAAATCAAACAAAAATGCAAAGAAGAAGCTGCCCTCCAATAATAACAGCTACACTAACATCTCTGGTGTTCAGATCCCATCTACTTCAGGTTCTTATTTCTATAGCTCTTACTATTTCAAAAACCACTTCAAATTTTGATTTTTTTTGTGTATCCTGGAAAATATTTGATCTTTTTTTTTTTTTTCTAATTTAAGTGAATTCCAATTTGTTTTGGCTGCAAATTGATAATTTTTGGACCCTTTTTTTAATTGTTTGAATTTTTCATTATTCTGGGTTTCAATGTTTTAGTGTGATCTGATGTGGGATTTGAGACAAAAGATGTTAATTATTCTTTATATATATATATATATATATAATTGTTTGATGATTTGTTAAAAATGCGAACTTGGGTTTGTTTTGAAATCATAAGTAGGTATGAAAAATATAAGAATTTTGAACATTTTCAGTCTATAAAGGTGAGAATTTTATGGGATTTTATAATTCTTATTTTTATTAATTTTGAGGTTAATCATATATTTATACTGATTTTTGGAATCTCAGTTGTTTTGTGCAATTCAACTAGTTTATTTGCTAAGAATTTCAGGCCTTTCTTTTTAAACTTAGTGTTAGTCGTAATAAAGAATCATGGACTGATAGATTTTAATTTCTCTCAGTTTGTTTATCTAAACCTTTACTCATAATAGAAGCTACATGCTTTGTGTTCTATGTTAATTCTTGTGGAGGAATTTGGGTTTACTATTATTAGAGCTAGAGTTAAAACTAAGTTTTGATTCTTAATGTTACTATAGTGTTTACATTAGATTGCCTTTGAAAGCCTATGGAATTCTATCTAGTTCAAATATCTTATCATTCTGTCAATTTATTATTTATATGGAGAGAAAGAATACTATAAATGAAACAGATTCTCTTTGTTTTCCATGATAAAAGGATATGGAAGCTTGAATCTTGTTCTTGTGGTTTTGTCTATATCAGTGGTTATTATGAGAAGGATAAAGAAATCTGTCTTTGGCTTTTACTGATGTGGTAGTACTACACATTTTGGAATCAGTTTCCAACAGTATTAACATAAAGTTTTTCATTTCATGGTAGATAAGCTGAGGGTTAATTCTTTACCAGATGCTAAGAGGGAGACTACCAAGGACGGGGGATCTGATCACATTGCAGCACACACGTTTACTTTTCGTGAATTGGCAGCAGCAACAAAGAATTTCAGGGCAGATTGCCTTCTGGGTGAAGGAGGTTTTGGCCGAGTGTATAAAGGGCGATTGGAGAGCACTAATCAAGTATGTGTTGTACGACTTTAATTTTTATAGGGAGTACAAATACGTGAGAAAGCATCATTGATATTATCCAAATGTGGGTTGTTTAGGTTCACCTTACTGTTTTTGCTTTTTATTAGCATTGTTTAAGTTTTTGCTTTGAAATTCAACATTTCGTTCTGCCATGTATGCTTTAATTCTGTGTGATATTGGAGCTTTGACTTTGACTTAGAATTATTTAAAATGGTTGATTATGACAAAATCTTTAGATTTTTTTAAATTTAATTTACTTGGTGAAGAATGGTCAAATCTAAATGTTAGTGGTTTCCCATAAAGATTCTGCTAGAGCCATTGTGCAGTTTAATGTTAACTGTAACATCTCATCATCTCTTCCCACCTCCACCCTCACCCCCTTCTCTCTCAAACTTAAGTAAAGTAAAATGCCAAAAGAAGAATGGTTACCGTTCTTAAATTTTGGTTGTGCAGATGATCTTGAAGTTGTTACCAACATTTTGGGTTGTGATACAGACTGAAAGTATTTGTAGAACTTAGTGTAGCCGCCGATGATGTAACAATCTATTAAGTCTTCTTTAGTTCAGTGGTGTTTGCTGTGGGATATAAGCTCTCTGTTGCATATAGTATGAACATAGATGAATCTCTTTGAATTATTTTAGATAATTTCAGGGCCTTTTATGCATTATCGAGTATATGATTGGAAATTACCAGTCTCAATGTCCATCTTCAGCACTTTTCTCTAACTTTTATATATTGGAACAAGAATCAACACCTTTGTCTTTCATGTCACACAACAGCGCTTACCATGCATTTTGGGGGTAAATAATCAAATGCCTTTTCTAGAAGCAGTAATGGAAAAGGAACTAGAGATGATTGAAAAAAAAAAATCCTTAGACCATCAGTATATTGCCTTCTTCACTCTTTTTTTCTTTTTTTTCCTTTTTTTGCTGAAGAGTATAAACATAGGCATAGGACAGTGTACTACTGTTCCATTGATCTTTACACCTTTAGTTGGTAATAGAAATCAAATTTTTGTTGTTTTGTTCAGCTTATCTATGTTGAGCTAAAAATATGATTAGGTTGGCTTGCGGAAGTTCATTCTTCATGAATATTTTTAGTTTTGGAAATCTATGTCTGTTAACCATACATTATAACTTCTGGTTGACCTTAACCTTGTCACTTGTTTTGCGTAGGTTGTGGCAATCAAGCAGCTTGATCGTAATGGACTGCAAGGGAACAGGGAATTCCTTGTTGAAGTATTAATGTTGAGCCTGCTTCACCACCCTAATCTTGTCAACTTAATTGGATATTGTGCTGATGGAGATCAGAGGCTTTTGGTTTATGAATACATGCCGTTAGGATCTTTGGAAGATCACCTACATGGTATGAACAGTAATGCTTGTCTCTATACTCATGTCCAGGATCTTGGTTTCTATCACACCTTTGAATGTCATGCATCAAATTATCATGCTTAATGCTAAAATTTCCGATCCGAGTTTCTGGTGTTAGATTTATTTCTATTTGCTTAGCCTGTTCTTGCAATTGTTTTCGTTATCTTGTTATGTATCATCGTTTAATACAGATCATTGATTATTTTTCTCATGTGCTTTTATATTCCAGACTTACCTCCCGACAGAAGGCAACTTGATTGGAATACCAGAATGAAAATAGCTGCAGGTGCTGCAAAAGGTTTGGAGTATTTGCATGACAAAGCTAACCCGCCTGTAATATATCGTGATTTAAAATGCTCAAACATTTTGCTTGGTGAAGGCTATCATCCCAAGCTATCTGATTTTGGCTTGGCCAAATTGGGTCCTGTTGGGGGATAAGACTCATGTATCCACTAGGGTCATGGGGACATATGGATATTGTGCTCCAGAATATGCAATGACTGGTCAGCTTACATTGAAATCAGATGTTTATAGTTTTGGGGTTGTTCTGCTTGAAATCATTACTGGAAGGAAAGCTATTGACAACTCAAGAGCAGGTGGCGAGCAAAATCTGGTTGCCTGGGTAAGATAGCTATGACTTCTCTTATTTACTGTGTCGCTGACAATTCCAAGGCTCATTTTGTTGCTGTGGCTTGTGTTAACAGATGATACATGAAAATTCATCTGTTTTGATCATGAATCTTTATATTTTTGCATGAACATGTTCTAATGGAATCTTGATTTACTACCAAACCCTTGTTGAAAGTGTTTAGAAACCAAAAGTGTGTCGAATAAGTACAGAGTTACCCTTAAATAGTTAATAGTTGATGGAACAAGTTAAATAGTGGTTAGTTATGAAAATTATTTGATTGTTGAGTCTTAATGACATCCATTTTTTTTGGTGTAATAGTATGTAAAATTTTATTTTTATTCGACAGGCTCGTCCATTGTTTAAAGATAGAAAGAAATTTGCACAAATGGCTGACCCATTACTTCAGGGCCAATATCCGGTTAGGGGTTTGTACCAAGCTCTAGCTGTCGCCGCAATGTGTGTTCAGGAACAGCCTAATATGCGGCCACTTATAGCTGATGTAGTCACTGCCCTCACCTATCTTGCTTCTCAAAAGTATGATCCTGAAACTCAGTCTGTTCAAGGATCTCGTACAGGTTCTTCCACTCCAAGATCACGAAGGGAACAGTGCAGCTAAGGGGAAATAAACATTAATCATATGAAAGAATTGAATCCTTTGGCAGCTGGTGATTGAGATTAAGAATAACAACAGGTTGATGTTTGAGATTTACATTTCCTCTGGCCCCGGAGTTCACTGTCAAGCAGCCCTCGCAACAAAGTCCAGATGGTCAGTTCCACGTCCATCCTGTCCGAGTCCAATGCAACAGGAGTTTTTCCCCCACTAATTTTTTCCCTTGAAACCCTTTTGCCCTCTTCCCTTTTCACTTCTTGTCCAATTTTTTTTTCTTTTGTACAATTGAGCTTGGAGCTTTGTATCTAAAATGTTTTTGATATAGAAACAGGTGTCCTCTTAAAGTTCATTCACATCTGCTTGTTAATATTCTTTTTTATTTTTCTCCATTCCCAGTGTCTTTGCTAGCAATTCTGGATTATATAGTAATTTATCTTCTTGCCAGCTTTTGCTTACAGAAAGCTACAGATGAAGCATATAATTTTATTTTCAAAAACTTGCTACTAAATATTTGTTTGTCAACAGCCGGGTCTTGTCAATTCATATATTTATGTTGTATTTGTATCGTGTCAAATATACGTAAAACATAAAAATTATGTATTACAATTCATGTGCCGATGTGTCAAACAGGAACCATATTTTTAGTTTTTGTCACTATCCACTAGATATGGAAATAAAATCTTGGTTACATAATAAATCTGAAAAAGAATTGCAGGTAACTTGTTAAAAATATACAAATAAAACTTCATTACCATAAAAATATAACCATCTCAGTCATGGATTTGCTTCTCCCTTTTTCTCCCCTATATGTTATATACATTTATATGCATCAGTCTGTCCCCATGTCCATATATATACATGATATTACATATAACTATACAAGTAGTGTTCAGAGGCAGATTTTTTTACCTTGAAATAGCTATATTAGGATGAAGATATTACAATCTTGGGATCTATAGATCAAAACTATGACTGTTGAAATGGAAAATTGACTGATGGCTTTCTCTTTTTATGTTGTGTAATCTGATTTCCTTGGCAACACTTGACTGAAGAGTTGGAGGACCACAAACAATTACACCAACATCAACATGTCCCCATTTCCTGCTTGTGGATCCAAATATTTCTGCATAAAAAGAAGAAAAAAAAATCAGTTATACTCAAGAAATACTAGATTTAGAGTTAATTGGATGAATTAAGGTTGTTGAATGATAAGATTAGATCTTATTGAACTTTCTGTGCATACAGTTAGCACAGAAATACAAGGATAAATGAATGGATTGAGCATAATGTCTGAATTTCTCATGTCACATACTTTTGAAGTCTGGTCTGGAACCATATTCAATGATGGTTGAGCTCTCAAGATTCTTCTGAGTCAAATCCTTGTGTGCAATAGTTTCATTACTCAGAGCAGATTCGACCTTTATCCTGTCATTATTCTCATGTTCATCCGTTTCAGAAACATTTTTCTCCCAAAGTTGCCATAAAACAACCACAAGACCCCCAAAGATTATAACACTTCCAACCATGCATGCAATGTAAAGAAGACCCTGGTACCACCAGGTAAATACTTGGTATGGCATTATGTAGAAGATCCGCAACAAAGCCATTAAAATAACAAATCCTACTGTCGATATAATAAGGTAAAGGCCAGACCATACATTGTTTCCGGTACCAACCAAAGCAGACATGCTGCAGCCAGAGACAGGGCAGGAAGAGTTCAAAGCCACATGAACCTTACCTTCTTCCTGCAGGAAACACCAAATCCCAGCAGAAATTAAGAAAATAATAATAATTATTATGTTGGAAGGCAAAGTAGAAGTGCTGGTCATAAACTAGACCTACCAATGAAGGTTCTGATTCCCGAGTGACATAAATATTGATCTCAAGATTTACTTTGTCAGAATAAAATGGACAGATTGATTCCATGTCAATAGTTGAAAGAAGAGGAAGCTCATCTGACTTTTTAACAGCCCAAACAACCAAAATCCTTCTTGGTAGGCAAGGTTTCCCGTCCTTAACACGATGGAGGATGTCACTTAGGATAGCCAGGAAGGGTGAAATACCAATACCACCTGCAACCAAAATTAGGTTCTCATACCTGTGAAAACAAAACCATCACATCAGGTTTTCTATGAAGCTAATTCAGAAGTTAATCTGTGTATAAAAAAGTGAAACTGCCCAGTAAGTAAATTTCCTTTCATCTATGAAGCTAATTCAGAAGATAATCTGTGTATAAAAAAGTGAAACTGCCCAGTAAGTAAATTTCCTTTCATCTATGAAGCTAATTCAGAAGATAATCTGAGTATAAAAAAGTGAAACTGCCCTGTAAGTAAATTTCCTTTCAAATGTTGTACAACATGAATTAAAAAACCAGTTAACTAACGAAGGTGAACAACATCTAATAAGCACATACAATAGAACAAAGATAGGAAGTAATTACATCAAGTGGTATGGTGATTCATGCCCATATGGTCCCTCAACAGAAGCTGTTATCATGGTTTTGGTTGGAAGAGGAAGATCCATTTGGGCTTCTGCCTCAGACATACTCAAGATATTTTCTCTCAGCTTTGCAGTCCATTCCCCAAGAACCTTTATGAGAATAGATAGATGATATTTACCATCTAGAGGACTAGATGAAACACTGAAAGGATGCCACTGCAGCCAAGATAATTCTCGAACTTGAAGAAAAATAAAACTGAGTGCATTGTACCGCATATCTACATATTTCAATCAGAAAAAGAGTAAAAAAACAGTAATAGTAGATACCCCTAGGAAACAATTAATTTGTGAAGAACAATGTTTGCTTACTCTGAGGTTTTGAGAGTACCAATTCCACTGTTCCACATGGAAGGCACTTGGCTGAAAGTACATCCACAGTTCTTCTTGATTGGCAGAACCTCAGGAAGCGATCAAGCATGAAAATAAATATTCCTCCAGCAACTATGCTAAAAATAAATTCACCAACATGCAACGCCAAGAAGACAACAAAGACTACATATAGTTGATGTGTATAGAAGAACAACTCAAAGTAGTCCTTCCTCACTGGATGAAGTGATGTAACCCACATAAACAAGCCAGCTAAAAGGCTGATAACTCCTGGTAAATTAGCAATACCAACGTTTTTCCAATCCAATAACTGCATGAAAGAATTAAAATTGAAACAGGTGAGAAACTAGCTTCAGTATCTTCATCTTAGCCTCTATTGAATTTAAGACTTCTTATGGTTAGACTGTAAAACAAGAAGGTTGTAGTAACAGAAGAGGAAAACAATTGACGCTATTGTCTTTAGACTTCCTTATCTATCAATATCTTTTGTCATAAATCCAACCAATTAAACTCATAAAACAAAAAAAGATGGCTGAAAAAGTCTTCCAGGATTGGGGCAAATTCTAGCAAAGATACATGATAGCCGTTTATTGCTGTCAGTCATTATTTTCCAAACAGTTATCCATCCAACCTCCTACTGTATGCGTGTTGATTTATTCATTTAAACATGACTAGCTTCAACAGCTTTTTCAAAGAAATACGCCACAACTACTTCAATTCGGTTATTATTAGTGTTTGACATTCCTTCGCCATTGGATCATTAACATATTTCAAATGAAATCGTATAACTTGGTCATTCATTTAAGAATATTATCAGAAACATGTCTTGTACACAGATATGCAACTGTGTGAAAGTATATATATAGGAAAAGTGCAAGCAGAAAAGCATCATTAGCTAAACCAGAAAGAAAACCAATATGGGGACTCACTTCCTTCACGAGGGTTCCTCTTATTGCCCATGCAATTACATAGAATAGCCCATGGAGTGTAAAGAGCATCATGGTCAGATGTCCCAACCATACATGATATCTTGTCGCATGCTCAAAAGGGATGTCTATAAGACGAAGAAGAAGGGAACCCCTTGCAACTGGGAGGAACAAAAATGCTAAGCAGAGTAATCCAATCATTCCAAACCGAAGTCCCGTCAGTTCCAATATGAGTATGCTGAAAAGATGAAAGATGATATTAGCCCTCTATGAATAAGAATTTTCAAAATTACTATGAAGCACATAAACCTGCTTAACCTAATTAGCTAGCAATGAATTTGTTGAAGTGCTGAAAATTTAAATCACTTCTAATGTTAATAAAATATACAGTTCTGAAGGTCAGATTAAGACTCTGCATATAGAAATTGAAATTACAGCATCTTTTGGTTCTCGTCGTTACTCTTCACTGATGTTGTTTATAAAAAACACTTCAAAGTCAACCTTAAATTCAGTCACTTCAAAGGTGTTAAAAAAAATCACGCCTTTTCCTTGGAATTAGTGGATGAAAGAAAAGAAGCTTAAGGTGATATTTAATTAGATAAGGAATCATCTTAACAAAAATTTCAACATGAATGAATCTGGAATAAAATTCTACAGATTCAAAAAGAGTTTTGGGACTTTGCAGAAATGATCAAGTTTCATATAAGATGGTAAGATGAAGCAAAGGGCTATATGGTATATACTAGCAAAACGAAATAACTTTGGACAAGGTAAACACTAATCATTTGATCATTTGATGCAGAAAGAACAACAAAATTTGCAAGCTTGGCAGATGAAACATCTTCATAATATTAGTAGTTTAAGAAGCCACACAAACAGTTGATCACAACAATTCATCAAAGATGTCACAAATTTTTTTTTTTTTTTTTTTGCTCCATAAGTCAAAGGGAAATCAATAAATGGTTTGAAAGAATCTTTATCATAATGCCAGTAAATTAAATATATTCTCTTCAAGCAAATTAATTTTTTGGTATTAGGGCCTATAATGAAGCAGTACATACAATGAACATAAAGTTACAGCCATAAAAGTGTAAAGATCATTGAAAGAACACAAAAAATCATTTCCGCAAAGAATTGATGCATGCTGAAAACAATTCATCAAATGGAAACTAATAAAATAAGGCAGTAGCAGTACCATTATTGATCATAAACAACACAAAATATTTTACCCATTTTCTGTAGAAGGAAGGTCAAACAGAGTCATGAGGCTAAGGTTCCGCATAGTGTAAGCATACACAGCCCAGATAATAAACACAACAAAGAGGATAATCCCAATAAACTCAGCAGCAGAAACAACCCCAAATGGTCCATCCACCAAAACAGGGAAAGTCCACAATCGAAACCTTGGATTTTTCGAGGTCTTCCTCCTATAAACAAGCCAGTTTTTCATGTCATCAGACAACATATATATGTCATCATTTTGAACCAAGTTCAAGCATATAGAGAATAGATTGGAGTATGGAAATACTTACTTTTGAAACACATCTTCACCAGAGATTATAAGATAGGCAACAGCAAGGAAAGCAATAAGAAGAATTGGAGCACTGAACACCAAAAATAAACTTCCTGGAATACACAATTAAACCTTCAGATAATAGCAAAGCAAAGAATAAGCCAAAAAGAAAAGGAAGAATCAATTTACAAGCAAACCTGCAAGCCCAAAAACAGATCCATTGGTGACATTAATTATTTTCTCAACCAACTGATTACCAATTTCTCCCGGATACAGAAAAACAAGACCAACCCATGCAATGAAAATCACCCACATTACAATCTTTAAAGTCAATTTCACAGATGATTTTAGAAAAGATGATTTCTTTTTGAGATAATCAGGCTCAACTTCATCACTCAAAAGAAAAGGCCTGTTCAATGAATTTGCATCCATGGCAAAGAACACTCTTTTGCAATCCTTGAAAAACTTGCTTTCTTTTATCTTCAACCCTACTAAGAACTAACCACAAAGAGTGTATATACAAAAAATTTAGAAAAAAATCCAAACTTTGTGGAACCCATTTCCAGGTGTATTCATACAAAGAAAACTACATGTAGAAATGGTTCAATACATTATCAGAAATGAATTACCACCAGAAAAAAAAAATCGTAGTAATATATATATATATATAGTTACAGATGCAGACAAGTTGAAGGAAGGTATTTTATTGTATTAATTTACTTCCAACCAGATAGTTTTTTTGTAAGATTCTGGGACAACTGCGACCAAAAAACGAGACAAGGATCGGAGCATTTCAGTACCATAATAAAGACTGGAGAGACAATTTAAACGTACCACAAAACTTCAACAAAAATCAAGAAGAAAATGGATTGACTTGAATTTTTTTAAAGCACAAAAAAGATATTTGCAAGAGAGAAAATAAAAAAAAAAAAAGAAAAAGACTTATCTGTACAAAAAAAGAGCATGGTTGTCAAAATTTTGGTTCACAAAAACTTGTGTGAAGCTGAGTGGTTCCCCTTTAGAAGACATTTTCATTCCGTACTCCAATAATGTTTGAGCGTAGTTTCCCATCATAATCATTCATTTTCAACTGTTCATATGAAGTCATGTTTACATCTTGTGTACGTATTTCTATACTTAGAGTGACCTTTTACCTATTAAAGTGTAGATTCATATTAATGGCTATAATAAAAATGAGTTCATAGGTTAAAAGAAGATAAATTTATTAAATATTATTTTTAAAAATAATTATATTAAGAATTATTAAAATCAATTCACCTATATAACTTAAAAGTAATGTCTAACTCTAACCCAACTATAATTTGACTTAGCCTACAAGTTTGGAAACTTTGAGTGTGGCATTGAACAAAGAGTCATCATTAGTTTGAGAATCGATAATTCATATATTTAAATTATATTTATATAAAAATTACATATTATAAGTTATATCAATATAAAATTATAAATAAAAATTTTTAATTTATTAAATTTATTTATAATTTTTATTAAAATTTTAAATCATATCATTTTATATTTTTTATTCATATTATTTTTATATCCTATTTTAAATTATTAAATTTAATTGATCATCGATCCTCTTTCCTGATCACTGACTTTAGCTTTGTTTCTACGTTGCCAGTTGGTATCAATTCATTAGCGTGATGACATTTGAAGTTCTATCAAACGAAAACAGTAGGATTCGGAGGGTTGTTCAATTTTTTGTGGTATTCAATTTAAGATGTTTTCTATTTTATATTAATTTATTTTTTAAATGGATCATAAGTTTTGGTATTTTCAAGTTATACCTGTTTATGTCAGGTCAATTTCTTGTAATGAATTCACTCATCAATATTTTTTTTAATAACTACATGTCAAGTTCGGGTCGTATTCTAATTTTAATTTGATTGATGGATTAATTCACAATATAAAATTTTGAAAATGAAAAAAAAAAAAACCAAAAAAAATCTATTATCGTTCACATAAAACCAGAGAAGATAGGATTTTGATTGAGAAGTTATAGTCGAATCGTGAGGCTCTTTTTTTTTTTATGTAAAGAAAAGAGTAAATTTTAAGTGGAAAATAAAATGACAATTGTCAAAGTAGAGAAAGAAAAAAAAAAAGAATAGATGGAAAAGGATAGAATAAGAGTGTATCATGCAAATGAGTTATGCGATTTTATTTTTACATTAAATGTGTTATGATATGATAATTAAATTTATTAATTTTTTTACTCGATTAAATATGATTAATTTTTTAAGCGTTTAAATTATACGTGCTCAATTGTCATGTGATTTTATTATAAAACTAACTTGTTTGTCGTTAAGGAAGGATTTGTCTAACATCTCACTAATGTTTTCGTAAAAATATCATTTTAAAATTAAACATTTGACCTTTAACTTATCTGATATCATTAAATATAATTTATATTTATCTAAATCATTAAATGTAATTCATAATCACTCATATAAAACGTTTATCGAGTTTTACATAAATTTATTATCAATTATCAATTATTTTAATTAAATCATCATATTTTATCTCATATATAAAATAAAAAATAAATCAAGATATATAAAAACTTAAAAATTAAACATTTTCCCTCCATCATAACTTTTTTTCATATACCTCCCCTCCTTCCTCCTAAAACCTTAAATATTTTATTGATTTGAGTATTAGAACATGTCTAAAAAAAATTAACTCAGACACTTTTTTATTTTGCTTTTCGCTTATAGATTCAAATTATCTCATCTTCAATCTCTTGTGTTTGAGGTGATAATAGTTTGATTTAAATTAAATTTGATTTAAATTTTTTTAAATATTACATAATATTATGAAAATTTAAAATTCGAATTCAAAATGAACTTTTATTTGATCCAAATCGAATTAAATTTTATTGATTCAGTTTGATTCGATTTATTAATTTTTAATTTTTTAGTTTTAATATATTAGTTTCATATAAAATTTTAATATATTTAAGTAAATTTTGATATTAAATTATTATTTTTATTTTATAAAATTTAAAATATATATAAAAATTAAAATATATATATTTTGGTTAGATTCAATTTTTTAAAAAATTTTTATCTTTTAATTCTAAATTTAATTAAAATTTAATATATATATTTAAAATCTAAATTTGATTAGAATAAAATAAAAAAATTAATTTAAATCAAATAAAATATGATAATTTTAAATTAAAATTTAAAATTTTTGATATTTTTCTCACCTTCATCTCTCGTCGACTTTTTGCAGTTAAGCCATCGAAAAATCCCATCAGCAAAACCAGTTAGCATGATAACTCGCTTGACAATAACGTTTGAGGATCAAGATCGAGCTACCAAAATATACAACATAGTAACTAATTTTCACGTACCATACGTAAGAATAGCCATCAGCTTTGCGTCATAAGGGAATCATTATAGGTTAAATTTTGTTTACTAAAAGCCATGTAGCAGTTGGGGTTCTTTTACGTCGTACTTCCACAGGAATGCTCCTCATTGGATGCTCAAAAAGTTGAAAGTACAATGATTCGACAACACCCACTGTAGCACCCAAATATATATAACTTAAAATGATGGCCACAAAACAAGAACGACGAACAAAGGCAAAGAGATAGCACAGCAACATCACCGACCTCCCCCCCCCCCCCCCCCCCTTCTATTTTCAATGAAAAAAAAGCTATATTCCATATCCAACGTTGTTGCCAGTGGATCTAGAAGCGTCAAAAAGGCCATACTAGATTAGTATAGTTTATTTAAATATTAATTTATATGTTAATAAATATTTTGGTTTGGTATTATTTAATTATTAATTTATATGTTAGATTATTAATGAAAGTTAAAGGATAAAGTTCAGCACGATATAAGATGTAAATTATACATTTTGTTTACACTATGTTCCATCCAATGATCCAAATAAAAATATTGAAATTACAATTCTAAAATTTTAAAAAATGCATGGACACGTATAAAAGATATTATAAAATATTATTTTATTATTTTATTTTTCATTCTCGTTAGCTTATAATTCACTTATATAATGTGTTGTTTTATATATTTATTTTATACCATTAATTCTATAATAATTTACTTTGTTAATTGAATTTGTATTTAATTGAAATCTTAATTTATTTTTGTCCTTTTATTTTTATTAATCATTAGTTAAATATGATTTATCTATCAATAATTTAATATTTATTTTATTTTATAAATTATCAATAAAATATAAAAATAAGTATAATTTCATTACAATATAAAAATAATATAAATACACTTAAAGTTTAGAAACCCATTTATAACAAGTATGTACTAATATGGCATGATTGTGCTTGTGTGCTTTGCTATGCTAATTCATGTGCCATGTGTTGGCACTAACCTTTAACAGTACGGCACACACATATATAATGTTTGGTCCAATTTGATTATTTAACAACGAATTGTGCCAAACACAGTCCATATTATACCAAATCATGTTGTGTCATGATCCGTCTAATCCATTTGATATCTCTAATTAGATCTCAAAAATAATTACCTTTTTATAATTGATTTATTTATAAAGAGTAAACTTAAAATACTTTTTTAGATTACTAGTATTATCTCAATGCATTAAAATTTATCAAATTATCTACCAATTATTGTATTTAATATAAAAATATTTTTGTAAATAGCAATTTAACTAATCTGAAAAAATATTGTTCAAATTAGTTAAGATTAGTTACTAATCATTAAGTTTGGACATTAAAGGGGTATTTGATCATTTCAAAAATGACAATGTATCTTTTTTTTGTTTTAATTAAAAAATCATATATGATAAACTTTTGATAGAAAAAGTTTTATCAATTTCAAGAATTAAACTTTGATATTCAACATTTTAGGCCAGCCATCCCTTAGAAGGCAGGTTAAAATATCAGCAATTCCTAATTAAATGAATGTAGCAATGGCTTGTTGGAAACCCAAAGTTTTTACTTGATGGATGTGTGATGTGGATAACCTGTTAATATGCTAAGAGAGCTTCTATTTGCATAGAGATTTTTCTTTCTACATTTTTATTTTTTTAAAATTATCTTTAAATAAAATTATTTAATTATCATTTTCACTTTTAAGAGTCTATATGGAATATAAAAATAAGATTAGTTAAATAACATATCAAAATATCTAATAAATTATAAAACTTATCAGATAAAAAATTTGATAAATTAAATAACTTATCAGATATGTATATTCCATAAGATATATAACTTATCAAAATTTGATATTCCATAATTAGTTTTGAAAAATTTTAGGAAAAATAAAAAAAAAGATTTTATTATAAATTTTTATTATTGGTATAATGAAAAAGTTATTATTAAAAAAGAAATTATAAATATTAAAATTAATAAAAAATTAATTTTATTATTTTGATCTTAGAAAGAATAAATTCTTATGAGATCTTAATTAAACTAATGAAAAAATAAATGCAAACTTTTATTTATAAATTTAAAATTCATCATTTCTTTTGTAAGAAATATTTTTTCTCTTGGTATCATTATTAAAATATTATAAAAGCTTCAATAATTATTAATTTTGTAATTATATATGCATTTAAAAATAAAATATATCATACTTATCTATGAATTTAAAATTTCATTTGATTTTTATTTCAAGTTAAAACTTGAGTAGAGTTTTCGAATTCATTAAATAAATTAGTGATACCCAATAGATCAAGATCGTGGTTCAACTACTTTTTAAATCAAATTCTAACAAAAAATAAATAAAACTTGATCAAATTTTAACTGAGTTTGAGATACATTACCATGTCAACTCAACGCAATTACAATTTTAGGCCTATTATTAGCCTAACTAGAAATCGTTCATGGTGGTCACAATTAGTGTGTCCAAAAGTTATTTGAGCTTAATTTGAATAAAATTCAAATTCTAACTCAAGTCCAATTCAACTCTGAATAATTTATAAATTTAATTAAATTTTATATTTTAATATATATTTTTTATTATTTTAATTAAAAAATAATTATTTTACTTTTATATATATTTTAATTCAAATATAAATAATCAAACTTAAAGTCAATATAAAAATTAAACTCATTTTTTTATTTGATAAATAAATCTAATCAAACAAACTTAAAATATCTTAATTTTTATCTTGAATCGAGCTTGAGCTTAAAATTTAAAGCTTAATTGAACTCGAATTAAGTTTCAAATAACAAATTTCGAATCAAGGTTGATAAGCTTCTCATTGTATGGACTTTTTTCACCCCTAATCACAACTATAATATATTCTCTCCAGGAAAGGAGTTACCCTCCACGGTTTGGGTAATCCTCTTGAACGAATGGAAAATGCTTACCCTTATATCATGCTTTCAATCCCACGTGAAGACGGAAGTTAATCTTAGATCTGTTCAGACAAAATCTAATACGGCTTATCAAGTCAGCTGTTAGAGAGAAGAGAGTGCAGAAATATACAAATGGAAAAATATGCACTAAGATTTGAAATATCTACAGAGAAGCAAACATTACCAAAAAAAGAAAAAACCCGTACCATATACTTACAGTTGATTCCCTATCTTTAGTACTACGAACTAGTATTATTACTGTCCAATGAACGAACAAACAATTATGGATATGAGCATTATATCGGTTTTCAAGTCAAAAATTACAGACAAGCAAAGCTACTACTCTCCTGAATTGCCAATGTAAATGAAAAATTATCGACTAGAGGCCAATGAATGAAGAATTAGAGGCAACAAAAATTAAGGATATGTATGCAGGTATTAACATGACAAACTGGCAATAGTCTCACTTCTTATCTTGAACTTGGACGCTGTTCGCGTCCTTGCCATTCGTTTCCTTGGCATAAATGTCTTTCTGCTCGATTTCAGTATTCTGACCCTCATTAGAGGGCTTCCCATCATTTGGCACATCAGCATTACTGGGTTTTCCCTGTTTTGTTCAATAAATCTTATTAACAATCTGACATCTTTCTTGATCGCTCATTTCTTAGTTGTCCCGATTGTAAGCCAGCCCAACAGCTTAATCGAGTAGAGCCATCATCTGATGATCCCACAACTTATAAGAATGTAAATGTGTGAAAACTAACCTTGTTTCTGTCACGCCAGCCAAGTCCAAATGGTCGAGAAAGTAAACCAATCTTCCGGGTAGGGATTTCTTGTTGGGGCTCTTGATTGCTGCATGATGGTGAATCTGGATGTGATGATCTGCAAACTTATATTTATTAGAAGGGAGAAACCGATCCAGAAGCATGATGAGCAGAAAAATAAAATAGAAGCTCGCAACATCTTTACATAGAGATGATGTGCTGAAGATTAAAGCATTTCTTCCAGTTCTTAGTTAAGTGCTGGCGGTAAGAGGGCAGATAATAAAAAGGGAGACTAAAAATAGGTATTGGGAAGAACATAGCTTTTGAATGGCATTGCAAGAAATATAAAAAACACACACACAATTTATTGAGTCATCCCCATACCCCCCCCCCCCCCCCCCTCCCAACATATATAAACACCCAACACAACTAAAAATGTTTCACCCAAGCATAAAAGGTTTGAAATTGGCAAAAGGTTGACTAAGCACCGTGGAGAAGGTTGAACTTTATTTTGTCCAGACTGGTACTGTAAGGTAGCCTCCAACATTGATTCTGCCATTACCACTCTTTTCTCCATTTCGGCAAGCGAAGCAATGGCCTCTTCATACTTTTCCTGCATTAACATAAAAGTTACAGCCAAAGCAGAGATGGAGCCTAATAAAAATACAAATAATAATAATATTTGCATATTTCTCCCCAGAAAAAAGATTAAGAACTCAAAACAATGTTAGTTCCATAAGTAAGGTTTGTTTGAGGGGAAACTTTTTATAGGGAAATGGAAAAGAGCATATTCTAGCAAATTTTCTATGCTAGAGTACATAAGTAACATTTTTTTGAGTAAAGCCCCAGAGTTTGATTAATAACAGCTTGACAGGCAACTAAAATATTTTCTTGTTTGCAATGATTTTTTTCGCGAAATCAATAGATGCATTTAAGACATTCTTCCCCTGCCTGCAGTATTTTGAAAAAGATAATTTGTTTCTAGTGATAAGTGATTAAAAGACCTATAGTTTTCAAACCATTATCATAAGGCCAAATGAATATTATTGTTAATTTCAACTCAAGAACCAAAGGAAAAATTGCTGCCAGCAAATATTTACTGATGACAGTTGCAAAGCAAAACGAGAGCTTTGATCACAGTAAGTACTTGAAGCACTTGAGCAGCATATCTTTGTGCAGCTGCATCTTGTTCAGCAAATCTGCGAGCATCTTCTGTTACCCTTTGATCCTGCTCCACCCGCATTAGGACCTACAAAATGTGTGACAAATCTCATGATCTTCAAAACATTTATAACAAGTGAAGATGATAATCTTCCACTAATTAAACAAGACAAAAACAAATCAAACCTGAAGCATTGCATTTTCTTGTTCCTGCTTCTCAGAAAGTGTCTTTCGAAGCTCAGCAACCTCTTGCTCTAATTGCTCCACCTAAAGATCAGAAACAGATATTAGTATTCAATATATTCCTCTGAAGCAAACACCTAGCAACTACCAAGTCAACGAAAAACCAAAAATCAAAGCATATAGATTACCAGCCAACTGTCTAGTGTCTATCACTGATTCACGCATGAGTCATGACAACCAGAAACACAGGTCTTTGCAAGTTATGGTAATAACATAAATCAAGTTATATATTCTGTAGTAGCTAAAGGTAGAATGCACATCTAGAATCCAAATACAGTTCCATTAAGAGGGCCAAGGTGGCAGGTAAAAGGAAGAAAAATAAGTTGCAAGCAAGGGAATGACTTGTAGTTTAGTAATGGTTCTAAGAAAAAGTTAGAAAATCGACCATAAAATTTGGGCAAGGAAAAATGGAAAACATGCAAGAACAACAATTATAAATTTATATTCACGTCAAAGGAATTTCCAGTAACGAAGATATTCCAGTTTACCCGAGCACTCAATTCACGTCGATTATCCTGCTTAACCATTTCCATCAAAGCCGTCTCCAGCTCCTCAGATCTGACACAAATGAGACAGGAAGATTATCAGTGTCATATTCATCGGGGGTTATTTTGGCAGAAGAATTATTTTAAAACAGATAAGCCAAGAATTCCAGCATAAAATGCAAAGATTAAGTAGTCAAAGATATCCAATTTATAAACCATTGTAACGTAGCTAAGATACGTCCATGTATAAGAGAGGTAAAGAGCAAGTGAGTAACAAATATGTGACCAACAAAATAAATTACACGGTCTCCATTACAGTCTATAGCAAACAGAAGATTGCAAAACATGAAAACCATAGAGATGATAAAAATTATTAACCTGAGGACAGCTGATCTTTTCTCTTCCAGCAACCTGCACAACTCAACCTTTAACCACACAACCTGCACATGATTGTTTATAAGAAATTAAGAATATAAGAACATCATAAAACAGGCCAACAAAATGTCATGCATGAACACCAGCAAGTGAAGAATACAATTGAGTACGATTTATAGACTCCTAATATCTTCAATTTGCCAGTGCCTATTACTCCATATAAATCCAACAAGTGACATCCCTTAACATTTGGTTTAGGCCAAAAAATATTAGTGTGACTCATGTTAATCAAGGTGGAAAGTTTCAGTGTATATGAAATCAATGCAACAAATCCACACAGGCAGATAAATGGATTGTCATTTAAAGTTTATAACACATGGCAAAATAATAGTCCTCATATGAATTCCAGGATCAATTAGAAATTTCACTAGACAGCTTTTGCAAATAATTTTTCTGACTCTAAGAAATCCAACACTAGAAAGAGAGCTTATGCCATAATCTCACATATGCATGCAGTATGAAAAATAGAAGAATTATTTAACTAACTAAACCCTAGATCCAACCAAAAATGATTGGCAACATAAATCCTTCGGAACCTCATTTTAAGGCAATATCTTCTGTTAAATCTTGGACCATTATATCCATTGTTTGGTCAATAACATATTAAACTAGAAAAATAAAACTCAGGATATAAGAGTAGAATACAACATCACATTATTCAAATATCTATATATTTCTAATTTTCAGGGCAAACAAAACATATAAGTGGTCATGCAAAATAGGTCTATTCTACTGGATAAGGAAGAAAGATCATCCACTCACAGACAAAATGCAATATTAAACAATGAAATATGGTACTCATGAAAGGGAAAATGTATATGCAACCTGCTCTTGAAGATCTGGAACAGCATCCAACTCAGCATCTCGTGTCAGACTAATAAGAACTTCGTCCGCATTCGTTGATCCAGATTCGGAACAAGAGAGATCCCCATTTGTTTGTGAATCAACCAGTCGTCCTGTCTTATTTGGTTCCGTAAGCATCGACTTGGGATCATGCTTAAAATTATATAGCTTAGATGCCAGGCCCTGAGAATCCCTCCAAGCTTGAAGCCCCTTTGATCTTTCCTCAACTGCAGCTATTACAGCTGACCGATGCTTCTCTCTTAACTCACATAATCTTTTTTCATTTACATTTTGGTAACCCATACAAGCTGTCAATACAAGTTGACTGCTATCAAATGTTGAGCCGGCCAATGACTGTAGCAAAGTAATTGCATCACCTGCATCCTTAGTTGTAACCAGTGCAGGACCTGTAAGAAAATTAAGTTAAATTTTGTAGATTAAACAGCTCATTTGTAACTATTTTCAGGCTTCAAGTACCTAAGATATCATAAAAGTCAAAACACTCGTGTGTCTTTTACACCATACCATACAACTCCATTAAAGCAAGTGCTGTCCTAAAAAGCATGACGCGGTTTCCTTCATACAGGAGTACATCCCAGACTCGAAGTACTGTAAGGAGAAATCCATCAGGAAGCTTATAATTAAGCACTGGTTATTCCAAGTGTTAAGTGAGTGCAACATCACTAAACTAGCAACAAAGGCACCAACCATAAGAAAAAATGTCAAATAGTGTGATAAATTGTTCAACTAGTTAAATATTGCTAAAAGACAGCATGAAACCTAACCAGTTTCCCATGGAAGCATGTTCATAAAAATGGAAAGGAACCATGGTCCAGAAACCCATGCAACTTGCACTCCCAGGTAATCTAGATGATTGACTGCAATAAAGACAAAAATGTCAATCATAAACTGCCAAAAAAAGGCAATGAAAAGAGAACATCTGGGAAATTTCAAACACAAAAAAGAACAAATATTGAAAAACAAACCCAGTTTGGGAAATCTCTCGCGCACCAACACCTCAAAAACAAGTTGGTCGACCTAACAAAAGGCCACAAGTTACCAGGAAGGTTATCTAAAGCATAATTATTCCATCAACCACTTTGTTGTTCTCATTTAGGAGAAAGCAGATGGTGGTAATCAACCAACAAGGAGAAAAAGAGTTATGCAAAATATTACCTGAGACTCAATCATTTCCTCCGAGTAATAGCCATCAAAATAGTCATCAATAATGCCCATCAAAGTCCTGAAATGTATACCAGAACTTAGAAGAATATAAAGCCAATCTTGAACTTATTTTTTAAAATTAAAGGATAAACCCCACATAAACCCCATATGGTTTGATGCTTTCCCACATACCACCCCTGTACTTTTTTTCCCATTTAACACCCTGAGGTCCTATTTCATTCCCACAAGGGGTTACGTTGTTAATATTTCACATTTTTATCACATGCCCAAATTAATTAACTTGAAATTTCAATTATACCCTCTCTTTATTATGGATCTATTTTCATTTTTCTTCTCTTTCTTCATGTATGTTTCTCTCTTTTTCTTTTTCTTTTTTTTTTTCCAGAATATCTTCCCATTAACCTCTTATCCTCTCCAACAACCAGCCTCTCCAAAAAGTCTAGATTCGTTTCCATTTATTTTCTTTCCGGTTGAATCATATTATTGACTGTTATTTTTTGTCTTAAATTTGTGATTGATCTTTTTATATTTTAAGGTTCAAGATTTTAGTTTTCAAAGGTTTAATGACAATTTTGAAAATTTAAATTAAAGAAGGGGATTTTTGTGTCATTTCCTAAATATGTTAAAGCCATAACCCCCTATGGGAACGGAATAAGACCTCAGGGTGTTAAATGGGAAAAAAAGTACAGGGGTGATAAGTGGGAAAACGTTAAACCATACGGGATGTATGTGAGGTTTACCCAAAATTAAATGATACCATGCTTGCCAGTTGCCACTAAAAAATAGAGAATCCCACCAAATAAACAAGATAAGAAAACATGCAAATCATGTTCCAGCAACAAAATATGCTCGAATTTGTAACCTTAAAAAATGAATTTAATAGATGGAACAAGGAATACTGGATTTGCAAGGAATTTTCTCAACTGAGTATCCAAACTTACCAGAAGGCATTTTCTTCAGGCATCAAGAGGAGTAACAAGGCAGCAAAAAAATTCATGGCCTGCATGAGAAAAACCAAAGCTTGATTATAGCTAACATATTTCTGAATACTGCAAGCATAACGATGGCTAACATATTTCTGAACCTATTACCTGACAGTACCCAACAGAGGGATTATGTCGAGCATAGGCTGTAAGCAACCGTCTCAAAGCATTTCTACCATCATCATCCAGAGCAGGGTGACCTGGGAATGTTCGGGGCAAATCCTGTTTTTAAAACCACTAATCAGTTAGTAAACTCAATAATAACACCAAACAAAAAGTAGCAGGAGCTGCTGAAGAAACTAAATACAGAAATCAGAAAACTGCACAGGTAACAACCTTCTCAATCTGCCCCTTCCATTTCTCAGGCCCACATAGGGACTTTGTGAATAAACCCTTACTATCTGACTGGAAGCTCTGTTGTTCAGTGTTGTTGCCAGAGTTAGTTTCATTAGCAAGCAGATCCTGGTAATAATTCTCCACTCGACGTGTCGTCACACCAACAAAGGCTTGCCAAAGCTGTAATGAACAAGTTCATGAGTGAGAGAGAAAGAGAGAAAGAGAGAGAGAGAGAGAGAGAGAGAGAGAGGAAGAGAAAGAGTGTGGAAAATCAAAAGAGAATGATGACATCAAATAAAATACCTCTCCCCTAAGAGCCATAGGCACTCCACCACGAACAAGAACTTCCAACTCTTCTTTCCAGGGAAATAAAGGTTCTGTTGGAGCTGCATTGGCAGCAGCATCAGCACCTGTTGTGGTACTCACACTGTCACTGGTAGGGGCATCCTGAACTGCGTCAGATCTCTCTGCATCATAAAATTCATCCTCAGAATCCTCCTCTGATGCCCCCTTTGGGATTCTACCAGCTTCAGTAGGAGTTAACGGCTTCCCTCGACAGGTTTCTTGCTCATTTTTTGATAAACTGCCTTTCTTCTTTACACGACTACTCATCATATCTTCAATGGCCCGAAGGGACGGTCTAATTTCAGTCCATATTTGGATCTGATGAACTCTTTTCTCCGGTGCAGACTGTACCTTCTGTTTTTCTGTATCATTGTCAGACAGACTATCAGAATCAGCCTTCTTTTCACATATATCATCTCCCACAGCTCCCTCCTGTACTTCATTGTTCCATTCGTCTGCAACTTCAGTATGTGAGGCCTCCTTGCCTTCCTCTGAAGGTATTCCATTGATAGGCAATTGAGCAGACTCGGCTTGGCGTTCCAAGAAATCATTCCACCTATCTGATCTTTCCTCCTCTTCTTCCTAAAGTCATGGAAATAGACAGGATATAACCTTTATTCTTCTTAGTTGAGATTATTTCCTTTGATCTCCATTCAGTTGCCCAGAAATTAGTCAAAGAAAATAAATCAAAGTTCTGAATTATAGAAATTGTTATCATTCAGGACCAGTAACAATGTGGAAGAGAGAGAGGTTGAGAAAGAAAAAGAGAAGAAGGATTAAAGGAAATATGTCAAGTCTTAACAGAATTTATTGGCTTAAGTTAGTCTGTTGTTTCAGAGAATAACTCTATGACACATTATCACCCATTTCTGTACTAAGTGAGAGAGTGAGACACATTATTCAACATTCAGCATGATATATGAGAAGGCATTTTATCATCATTTTCTTTTTCGTCAGCAGCTGAAAGAAGGTGATGAGCTTAAAATAAAAGGCAATAATAAACGCAGAGATAGTCAAGAAAAATACCTTGTAGATATTAGCATATTCTCGGTATCTTTGCACATGCTGAGGTCTCACCGCAAATCCATATGCATCCCTGTCAACAATAAATGCTTTAATAACCCCCAAAAGTTCAACAAAATCTTCACATTAACAATATATAATTCCATGAAAGAAAAGCTCAAACAAAGATTGCAAATTTCCACAACATTCTAAGCAAAAACTAGCTTAAAATTAAAATTACTTGCCATATTAACCTAAACTTATCAAATTCAAATCAATACAACTCATAGCGAAATAAAATCTAGAGCAAGAAATACGAAGCCAAACTAAAAGCGAAATGGCATGTAATTTAATTGAAATACAACTCAAATTACCTGCAATCTTCCTCCAAACATTGCCTAGTTACACTAGACAACAACATATCCTAGTCCAACCTAAACTACTTTGATTTCTATCATCACTCATTTTCCACTCAATTTGCTCAAAAATCAAACCACATTCCATTAAAAAATTCAATGAAAGATCACTGAATTAAACAATGTTCTCAGCAAAAACTAACTTAAATCTCTAGCAACCAGCCACCACATTCGTCAATTACTAAACTAAATTATGATCAAATTCAATAAGATCTTGATCACGAAAAATTTAACTCAAATGCATCAAAGTAAAAGAAGAAAAAAAGAAAAATTCAATCAAAATCGAGCTTGAATTTACCTGCAATAGGCTTCCAAAGATTGCCAAAGTTACACTTGAAAACAACATATGCTCATATTTTCCACTCAAATTTGTTCAAAGAATTAAATCACATTTCACATTGTCAAATCCAAATCAAGAATCCATAAATGAAAATTTCAAGAATCACGGATAAAAAATTCGAAGTCAAAACCAGTCAAATAAATTTACAGAAAATAAGAAAAAAAAAAAGATCTGATCAAAATTGACAAGGATCAGAGAGAGAAATCAAAGGGACGCGTGGCGAGAAGAGCGTACCTCTTGTGTTCGAATGTTATAAGGGGATTTACGGCTTTGGCGGTTGTTATAACGGTAGTGGCGGAGGATCTCATTTGGTGTGGGTGAGGTGGATCGATTTGATTGGTCTGTGAGATTTTGAGGTCGGAGACGAAGAAGAGTATCTTTCGGAGATTTGTCTGTTTTGGTTGAATTTCTGCAACGGAAAAACAATGGAAGAGAAATAAAAGGAAATAAGAGAGAGAGAGAGAGAGAGGGAGTTTCGGTTCCGTTGTTTGGTAGAAGGGAACTGAGGGAGTGAGAGAGAGAGGACAGTGATGGGAAGGCCGGCACATGCAAAAGGGCGATAACGAGATTAGCGTCACATTATCACCATATGGGTGATTTTCTGTCACGGAGTTCGAAGACGGAGAAAGGCAGGATTCGGCAAATCTTTTAACCAGAAAAATAAAAATAAAAATAAAAATAAATACAATAGTTGAATCTTAAAAGGACTAAAATAGAAACAATCATAATTATAGCTAAAATATAGTTACGTAGTGTATAAATAATTAAACTACTAAAGTGCATATTACCCTAAATTTCATTAATATGTAAAGTTTATTTTATTATATTACTTCCTTCATTTTTTTTAATGTTATTGATTTTTATGAAATTAAAAAATTTTGATTTTAATAATTTATATTAAAATTTAAATTTTATAATTTTTAATGCAAAAAATAAAAAATATTTAATTTTAAGAAATTTTTAAAAATAAATAAATAATGAGACAAAGAAGGTATATATGTATGCTAAATTCAATTATTTAGGAGACTAGCGAAAAGAAAAAAAATGAATTAAGTTACACGTAGAAAGTTATTGAATAGTAATTTTAGAATAAAATGCATAAATTATTAGTATATATTATATAACAAATGAGTTAAAATTAAAAAAAAATCATATAAAATGATCGTAGATTTTGGATACAATTCACTCTTACTATTAATTCAAAATTCACTCTTAGTATTAATTTTATCAATAAATTATTGATTCAATTTGTTAATATTTATTTTTATTGATGAAAAGATCTTAAATTTGAATCATATCGATGATCATTTATTTAAATCATCTTGAATATATGATTTACAGTTACTTATTTTAAATTATAACATATCTTATCATAAGTTGAGAGATTGAATAATTTATTTACCTTTAAATTTTTTTACCAAAAAAATTATTTTATTTTGTATATTTTCTTTTTTTTTTCGTCAATAAAAAAATATTTTATGTCTTTTAAGAGTTTATATGATGTATAAAATAGTATTATGAAGTTGTTTTTTTTAATTTTAGGATAAAAGTGATGGTTAAAATTATTTATTTCTTAATTAATATAATAGAGATAAATAATCACCAAAATGAAATGAAAGTTTTTGTATATTGTTATTTTGTCCTTTTTTTTACTCAAAAAATAATTAGGCAAAGTGTCGGCAATGAAAATATTTACTTGAAAATAAAATGTTCTTGTCAAAGTTTTTTTTTTTTTTTTAAATAAAATAATGTCAATGTTAGAAATCACCGTCAGAATAGTTATTGCACTGAAAAGAAGTGGGGTCTGCGATAACATGTAGGCCCATGACCATGAATCTTACTACGGATACTAACAAAAAAGTTACGCTTTTTGCCTTTTCTTTTTCTCATGCCATTATTAAAAGAGGATAAACTAAATTCTTTTTTTTTCCTTTTTGCAACATTATTTTTATGTTTTTACAAATCGAGACAAAACCCTTTTTTTATTATAATTTTTTTTTATTCTAGTAAAGAAATGTCTTTTATTCAAGTAAATTAAATCGATTTAGCATGTCAATAGTTTTGAACTTTAAATTAACAATTTATTATGATATGATCTTAGTGATTTTCGTCTTTTAAAACAAGTCAATTGAATGAAATTAATGAGAGAATTTCAATGCATTGAAGAATATATATTACTTAATATAATAATATTAAATGCTCTTAATGCTTCCATTAGCAAAAACATTTTAAAAATAAAAATTTAATTAATCTTAGACAAATATCAATAAATATCCATAAAATTGATCATCTTTTTATATTATTATTATTATAAAAAGAATTCGTTGATAAAATTGATGTGCTTTCTCTCTTTTTGTCAAAATAAGACACTTGCCACCACTATGGTTATTACTATTATTATCTAATTGGGCAATTTTAAATTCATGGGTGGATAAGAGACAATCATTCATTTTTGCACACTTTTAAAGGAAAAGGTCTAGAAATACTCAATAATTTCACTAATTAACCTAATCAAAGTCACATGCCATCCCTTTTGGCATAAATAGACCTATTTAAAAATTAAGTTATTTGCTCAAATTTAAAGGTATGTTTAAATTTTGAGAGAATGTAAATAAAAAAATTAAAAGTTATTAAATAAATTTAAGTATAATTTTAAAATTTATTCAAAATTTGAGTCAAATCTTAAATAAAATATTTAAAACTCAAACTCTACTCATTTTGACCTTAATTTACATATATATAAATTATATATACATATGAATTATATATAAATTAATTCACATATATAAAAATTAAAAATAAAAGTAATTTGTATATAATTTTTATTTTTAATATATATAAATCAAATATAATTTCAATAAATTTAATTTAATAATATTTTTTTTAAATTTTTATTATATAAATTAAGTTTAATGGATGATTTTAATTTTTTTTAAAATTTTGATCGAACTTAGAGAAAATTTTGAAATCCAAAATTTTAGATTAAATCAAATTTAAGTAAATATATAAACTATTAACATTAAATATGAGTCCTGTGTGAACACAATACAACCTAATCCATAAACACCTCTAGATATAAATAACACGATCTTTTTTATACTTTTTTAATGTGAACATATCATCATTTATAATTCAACCTTAATTAGAATTCATTAAAAAATCCAAAAAATCATATAAAATGTACACATCAAATAATGAATATAAATTTTTATTATAATTAATTAATGATATGCTATATTTTTAACAAGTTTAGATGATATAAATTTATAAATGATATGCTATATTTTTAACAAGGTTAGATGGCGATCAAACCAATAAGGATATCTTAGTTGGGAAGTGTTTGGGCTCAATTTCAAGAGTATAGACTATTAGGCCTATTAGGTTTAAGACGGTTTTTCATATGGATTGGCCTCATTGGACAATGCCAGACTGACCCACTTTAAGGAACAAAGAAATATTAAATAATTTAAAAAAGAAAAAGAAAAAGAATAATATAAAGGCATCAAGGTAGGCAACGAGAGCGGGATTCTCGAAGGGACCAAAAGTCGGCAGACATGAGGGATGTGAAGCTCTAACTCCATAAATAACCTTAATCTCACGTAAATGGAAAAAAATTAGAACCCAGAAAAGGAAAAAACGAAGTCCAAAATGTTAGGGCTGAAACTGAGCCTGGCGGCCTCAATCTACGTGAAGCCAAGCAAATTGGTCCGAACCATAACCACCACCACCGCCACCACCCGGGCTCCACCCTCACTCCAACTAACGCGGCGCATGATAGCCCCTTTCTCACCCTCGGCCCAATTTAGCATTCCCAATAAAAACCTACTTCCTTTTAGTAGGTTCGCCTTTCCCAACTGTTTCTCCTCCTCAGCAAACAATAAAGGAGCCTTTAACGAGTCGGGTTCCGGGTCTAACGGCATTATTGTGGATATGGATTCGGATTCCAAAACGTCGCCGTTGGTGCAACAACAAGAAGAACACCACCCTAAATTGTCTTCTCCTAATAATTCTTCTTCCCAAATTTTAACTTTGCCCACTGTTTTAACCCTGGGCCGTGTCGCCGCCGTGCCGTTGCTGGTTTTCAGTTAAGTTTCTTTTCTTGAATTTTCTTTATCAATATTTTAATTTAATATTTGTGAATTGTGATGTTAGATTTGGATTTATTTGACAATGCTTTTCAATTTTAATGTAATGCAATAAGGTTTTGTTGTTTCCTCCATTGTTTGGACCTTTAATTTTGATCTGTTTAATGTTTGGATAATAACTAAAGTTTCCATGGTTTTTCTTGTATATTTAGATCATATGTTTGTGATTTTGATGTCTGCTTGAGACGTAACATGCGTAACCATTATGGTTATGTTTAGGTCAGCCTGGTTTGCTTATCGAGTCTTGGCTCATGAATTATGTGTATGTCAGGGTATTTTGTTTGTAATTTCCGAGTCTCATCGAGTCATAATCTGATAACTCTGATATGTTTTTGGAAGTTACGGCTTTTATTTGTATTTGAAATCTCCGCACTCGTGAATTGTGATCAATGTTGATAGGGTGCAACCGTGCAATGTAATGTGGTTTAGTTGGTATAAGATATCTATGGATTGGTGTGCTTTTGAATTTTTAGTGGAAATTGCTAATTGCATTGCCAATGTGAAAACTTTGCGATCCAAGAGACTAACGAAATGGTTTTCTTTTTTCTCTTTAGCCTTTTATGTCGATAGTTGGTGGGGAAGGACTGCTACAACTAGCATATTTATTGCTGCTGCTATAACCGATTGGCTTGACGGGTACATTGCTCGGAAGGTATGCCCTCCACCACATGCCCTCGTTACATTGCAATGGAAGCCTTTCTTTTTCCTCTTGGTTTATAGTTACTATTTATAACTGATCTGAGTAAAATATTTATTATGTCTTTCAGATGAGGTTACGTTCTGTCTTTGGTGCATTTTTGGATCCAGTCGCTGACAAGGTCTGTTCTTTTTTCCTTTTTATTTTCTGAACTTTTAAGTGCTTCTTTTATACAGTTTAATTGCTAAAGTTATGTATTAACTTGTCTTAACCATTGAGCATTTCATCTGATAGCATGCCTGTTAATTGTAGCTTATGGTTGCTGCTACATTGGTCTTATTATGTTCAAGACCTTTGAATGTTGCTATGTTTGGGCAAGTGCCATGGCTACTCATTGTACCATCAATTGCCATTATCGGAAGGGAGGTAATATATACTATAGCCCATATTTTTCTATATGTTTATGAATTAGTTGTGGATATCTTAGAAATAGTTGGCAATTTATTTGTAGATAACTATGTCCGCCGTTAGGGAATGGGCTGCTTCTCAAAATAGTAAGCTTTTAGAGGTATGTTTCTCTCCCATGGATGTTAATCAACAACCTATTTTACTTCTAAATAAAAGGCTTTTTAGATGCTTTTTTTTTTCTCATAAGGAAATGCTTAGGTTTTGGTTGTAGCTAATTTTAAGTTTGATACATATTATCAGGCTGTTGCGGTAAATAATCTGGGGAAGTGGAAAACTGCCACACAGATGGCTGCACTAACCATCCTTCTGGCTACACGAGATACCAGGTTTATTAAATTGCTTCCTTGACCAACATGAAAATGATAAATTCCAATAAGCCTGCTTGAATCATTCTTTTAGGATCTGACTGTTTCTTTTTTTTTTTTTCTTTTCTTTTCTATTTTTTCCCTTTATGCAGTCTCGGAGAACCTGGGGTTTTAGTAGCTTCAGGCGTTATCTTGCTTTATATTTCAGCGGGGCTTTCCATAATGTCATTAGCTGTGTATATGAGGAAGATATGGAAAGTATTACTAAAGTAGTTATCTCTACCGGTTGGGTTGCATTTGCTTGCGAATTTTTGGTGCTGACTGTTTGTGGCTGATCTCTCATGTTACTTCATGTCCTTTCTGACAAACATCTGCACACGCGTGAAGCTGGATTCTATATTTCACTGGATTGAGGAGAAAGTCCTTTCTTTCGAAGTTCACAACTATCAAAGTTTTTTCTAATTAACTGTTTTGGTGAGGGTAGTATTAATATATTTGTGGGCTGTTCCTATTTCATAAGTTTCAGAATATTTTTGGGTTGATATATTTGTGATGAGGGTTTAGAAGTTGGAATGAGGCATCTTCTATTTTTGTGGAGGATGCCGGGTCCTTAAAGTAAATTGAGTCCCAATAGAAGCACAATTTATGCTGTAATTTGCTACTGCAACTAGAGATGAAGAAACTCTTACCGTGCCATTGTAGTGTAAATGACTATTACTAGTCAAGTAGCTGCTTACAGGTTATACACAAGAATATTTGAGGCAGATCATATTATGTATAGCAAAATTTCATACCCTGTTTTATATTATGATGATGAATTGATTATAAAATTGATATCAGAAAACTCTCAAGTCCTTGAATCTTCAGCATGCAGCAGAGCAGGGCTATGCTTCCCCAGATTATTGAGCAGTTTCTATTCTTATTGGAAGGCTCTTGAGCAGAAAGCATCTTCGTCAAAAGCAATTGGATGTAGTTCTCTCTGTCACACTCTCCATGGTAAGTTGCCATTGCATTCGCATGTGATGCTTTTCTACATGCAGTAACTGATTGGATTGCAGGCATAACTACATTTTAATGATACTCTGATCAACTTTTGGCCATACACGAGAGATTTACATGCATATAGCTTCATAAAGAGAGATATGATTCTGGTTAATACTTCTTTCATTGTTTTTAATAATGGCATATCCTGAATTCTGTTGGACAAAGATAGTTGGTTGCCCACCCCTGCAGGCAAAAACGTCACAAATAAAACAACCATTTCAATCCAAGGGGAGTTCTTGTTATCATAAGATTACATCAGTCATTATGCAAAACTGTTCTAATTTGTCTTTCTTTTCTCCTTTTTGATTGGGGGAAGGAAGGATTTGAAGTGGAGAATACTAGAAGTACCATTGGAAATAACAGACTTGGTACGATGATTTCATAGTAGGACAAACAGGGAATTCCGTTGTTCACAGTTCAGCCTGCAGAGTAGGACAAACAGGGAATACCTGTTGTTCAAAGCTGAGCCTGCAAAGGGAACAGGTTAGGGAAACTGAGAATTTTCGATACTGCTTAAGCTTTAAAAATGGAGTACCATGAAACGTATCTTGTAGCTCTCAACAAGTTCCTTTGGATCACGCCTGGTTTGTTTGTAACCCTCGTTTTTGTTCATCTCCTGCCAAGCATAGATTTACTATAAAAATCCATAAAAAAAAAAAAAAAAACCCAAACTGGTACAACATTCCAGTCCGATAGATTAGAAAAGTCATTTCAACGTTGAACATGTTTTCTAGATTTAGACAAATAATATCTGGCAATACCTCAATCCAAGTTGCCAGTTTAGGCCTGCCAAGAGTAATGTCATACTTCTTCACTTCCAACAAAAAAGGCTGAAATCTTTCAATGAATGGAGCATAAGCCATATCCACCTGAAAACGACAGGAAACATTTTTTGTTCCATGTGATCAAAAGTGACTTCGTTCATGAAAAAATAGGCCAATGTTTAACACTCTACTTTCTGATACTAGAAAATTAAGAGCATATCGCCAACTGACTAGCAAAGCTGTAATTTTTATAAATCTGGAATTTAGTTTAATTGGTTTATGTAACCATTCTTAAGAGATTGCATTTAACAGGTCTGGGGATTAAATTTTGGAATTTGCAATTCCTTTTCTCTGTCTACGGGCTTCAAACTCCTCTTTGAAAAAAAATACAATTTCTGTGACAGACAAAAGATTTTCACTTACCAGACTAAACTGCCCAAGGAAGAAGGGTCCCTCAAACTTGGAAAGGGCTGTTTCAATGTAATCAAATGCGGCACCTAGTGCAGTTTATGGTTAAGGTTCACATAATATCATTTACATATTCCAAATGAAGAGAAATAAGAGTTGGACTCACCAGCTTCGTTTCCATCTCCTTTGAATGAAGAAGTCACTGTTTTATAGAATGAGTCAATGTAGGTGAACAACTCTTCAGCAAACTCTTTCTTGGCAGGATCCTGTCATATAGAGAATAAGCATGTACAAAAAAATCTATGAAGCTAGCAAACAACTAATCAAGGAATTTAAAGAATTTACATCAGGGAAAAGTGAAGGCCCTTCAAAGTTACTATCTATATACTTGATCAATTCAAGACTCTCTCCTTTCACTTCGTTGTTGTGTTCCAATGCTGGCACCTGCACAGATCTCCCAATAACTTAGTGCAGAAAAGAAAATTGCAGAGTGTTAGTTCTCGGTCCTTTCACATTATTTTCTATTTTTTTTTACAAAAAAAGACTGTAGCCTGAGGATAAAGGAGCAAGTTGCAGGCACTGGTATTTGAATCTCAGACATTTGAATGCCACCTCTTTAGGTTGATATTATGTACCAACCGAACTAAACTCCGAATTCATTCTCCATATATTTTATCATCTCATGTTTAATCTCCACATACCGCCATCTCCCTCTTTGGGTCATTATTTTGATGATCTTTTGTATGTCATGTCAGTTTTAGCGTATGCACTATCAGGTCAGTTCAGATAATGGTTTTAAGAAATTCCATTGAATGAAATTAAAAGTTGTTTTACCAAGTAATGTTTAAGAAAAATCCATGAACTTGAAATGCTACTTATAACAGCCCTCATTTTTCTTATCCTTTTCTGAGAGATGCTCTTGTTAGCCATTGCCATCATTAGAAAACCCTCATTAGTAACGGCAATTTCGTTTCTACCGAGTGTTCTAGAAACAAATATAAAGAAAATATGAATTCAAAACTTAACTCAGTTGACTCGTACAATCATTTTTAAGAGGTGACATCTAATAGGTCTATGAGGCGAATCTCAACACTTGCAACTCTTTCTTATATCCCCAGACTATGGCCTCTATGATACCCTAAACAAAAAATATTAAGAAAATATGCAACTATCTTATGTCATTGTCCACAGTGTTCAGACATCTCGTCAAGCATACCGCATGGTGCATAGATATGTGGCCTCACCTTGTTAGCCGGGTAGACTTTCTCCTTGTACCAAGCAGGCCTGTTCTTCAGATCAATTGGAACCAATTTTATCTTGTCCTGCAATCCCTGGTTTTCAAAATTGTAAACAATAAGGAAAGTGTTCAATCCAACATGTAAAATAACAAATGAGGCAAAATTAGTTTTGGCTTAGAGCTACATTTACAGTCCTGAACCCTATAATGAGAAGCAATAGGAACTTGGAAAAGATATGAAAACAGTTTTGAACATAAGACTTGAAGTTATGACTAAAGGCCTGAGAAAACAATAATTCCCTACTAAATCACAAAACTCTACACAGACTTGGCATTGCAGGATTAGAGAGTGCCTTTTGGGAGCCTTTTCTTATCATAGAGAGAGGAAGGGAAGAAGGAAGGGATAGGGGTGTAATCAAGTCGATATTGTTAAGCTCGAACCCAAAAACTCGAGACTCAAAGCTTGACTCAAGCTTCATTTTTCATGCTCAAGCTCAGTTTGTAATTTAGTTGGGTTGCTTGAACTCGGCTCAATAGAATCTAATAAGCCCGCTAAAATTATAAATATTGACATAATTATTATATTTTGTCATTTACTATTATATAAAATAAAAGGCTCGATTAAACTCAATTAGACTTGTGAGCCTCTCGAGTCTGTATTAAATTGTTCGAACTAAGCTTGACTCTTTACTCAAATAACTCAAGCTCAACTTGACAATAAATGAGTCTGAGTTTGAGTTTTTTCAAATCAGACCCGAATATCTCCTGAGCAATTTGACTTGTTTGCAACCCTAGAAAGAGGATCATTGAAGAAAACAAAAAATATTTGGCTAAAAGATGGGGCAGGGTAAATAACATATTTCACTTCCTTTCCTACTTTTCACAGGAACCAAATAAAGGATAAAACCAATAAAACCCCAGAAAAGGAGAAGAGTTATAGAGAAAACCTTGCAGTTCCGAGTAATCCAAACTCGCTGTGCATAGGGGCATGTATAAGATATATACAACCTTCAAATAACAGAATTCACATTGGTTGAAAAATCATATGAACATTTGAAACTAATCAAGAAACAAATTCAACTACAGAATGCTAAAATTTCAGTATTAGTTCAAGTAATTGAAGTAAAGTGAAGTAAATTTCTTACAAACCTTGTTGTTCCATCAAAGATTGGAGGTGGGTCTGAAGTGGAATCAAGAGCTGCTGGAAGAATCTCTTGGATATTTCTGTATGTAGAGAGTTAAATTAACTATCCTTGGTTTTAGAAATAAAATGTGGAACTGATTCTAGATTGAAATTGCAATGTTCTAACTTCTAAAAGCAATTAATTTGGCTAGACTACAAAGAAAAGACTGTCCATATTCATTTTGTCACTTCACCATTATTATTATTATTATTTTGGTAATATGGTATGGTGTCTGATTATTGGTTAGAAATTTATTTGATGATTAAGTTTGTTTACAAGGAAATATAATTAGTGGATAAGAGTTCTTAGTTCATAGGAATTCTCGGTGATTAAATGATAGATTCTATAATCACTATGTAACTTTATGTGAATGGCTTGCAGATACGTGAAAAAGAGTTAAAAAAAAATCAAGTTGCATAGGATAAAAGATATTTCATAGGTTAAATATTAGGGAATTAGTTTGGCAAAATTCAATGGAATTTACCCTGAAGTTTCAGCTTTACCCCATTTTTTTTTTGCTACTTTCTGTTGTAAAACTCAAAACAAAACTAAGTGATGCTAACACCATTAAGTAAAAAAAAGAAGACAATTTATTACAAGACAGGAAAGCAGAAAACTATAACATACCCAGTTGCCATTGCTGGGGATAACCTGGTAGCTTTCTTTGTAACAGGCAATGGGCAAAATGGGAAGGGAGTTGGAAAGTGAAAAGAGAGAACTGCACGGACCAGGACAGATGAAGATGAACCTGTGGTTCTGGGTAAGATTCTTCTAATTTGATTGGAGGAGAATGGAGCTGTGTGAATTGGTGAACATGTCAAGGTTGAGGAGGAGGAACCAGGGCCAATGCCACAAGCATAGCATACTTTCAAAGCAGCCATGTCTTTGGGTTTTTTTTTTCTGCGACAAGTGTGTATTGTTGGTTGGTCGGATACTCCTTTCGGATAGTTATTTTCTGTCATATTGTTTAAATAAAAATGAAATTTGTTTATTTTATTTTTTGAAAAGAAAAAAAAAATACTCCTCAGTGTCTGCATTTGGATGAAATTAAAAATAATACTAAAAATTATTGTAATTAAGATTAAAAAAATTACAATAATTATAATTAAAAATAATTTATTAAAAATTTATATTAAATAAATTTTATTAAAATTGATATTTAAATTTAACTGATAACGAGATAAATTATACTGTAACAAACTATACTGTAACGCAAATAAAACTAAACTCCAAACCCCCGCTTAAGTTCACTGTAATTGTTCCATCACACATGTTAGATCAATGTCACATTTGATCAAACTTCTGCAACAGTTCATACGGTGCTACATTCATCTGCTGATATGATTCAAGTTGGGATGAAACTAGGAAGCTAGATCTCCATAGATGCTACATTCGGAGATATACCCGGAAGAGAGAAAACCTCTGGTTGTACTGGAGTCGCACTCCAGTAACAGATAAGACTACGACGCAACAGCAACAATTAGAATGAACCACAATAAAGATGTACTTGAATTTAGTGGCAGAATATAAAGCAATTCTTAAGGATAAATGGATGATACCATAGATGTCAACGAATTTATAGCTTTTCAATTATCATGCGTCAGTCACCAGAGTAAACTTCAAAGAATGATTCTCTCTTAGGCACTCTCTAACTGGTAACTGACATCTATAGATAATTCTATTATGGCTATAGGGAAACAAGTTCCGAAATTGCATGGCTATACATTGGAAACAAATCATTTTCAATCTCTTTTCTTTAAAAGGAAAAAGAAAAATGATTCTTCATACAAAAGGAGAGAATGGGGAGCAAATGATAAAGGTCTAGGACCTGTTGCATTAGCAGTTGCCAGTTCCGGAGACTCCTCCACCACCTCCTTGGATTGAAACCAGGGGTCCTAGCCAGGAGCTGCGGCTTATCAGATGGGAATCCAGAAACAAAACAATCACTGTTATATCATCATGAAAATGCCTCCTCACTCCGCAGTCAATCTTTTCCAAGTCTGAGTATCTCATTTCTCTCTTCCTTGCTGCTTCGTGAAGTGCAGCTTTGACAAGTCTCCTGGCAATACCCTGTGTAAGCATCTCTTATAAGTATATCCAGAAGCAACTTAATCACCAAAACATTGATTACTTCCCAGTCAACTCAACATATAACTCACGTATATGGAGAAGGAAAGAGAACAGAAAAGAAAAACCTTTAAAATGTTCTGGTCTAGTAATAATATGTTGGCAATTACATTAATTACATAATGTAAGAAAAGCCAGCAGCAGCTGCTTCAAGGACAAGGACCCATTTTCTAGGTTGCAGAGGATAAACATGTAGTTGACTGTATAGAGAAGACAACACTACTCATCAATCACCTTCATTTGTTTATTACAGATTGGAAAGTGGGGGAAAGGAAAGGTCCGGAGTTCTTACGATTCTGATGGCATAAGAGCCATTTTGTTTTAGAACTCAATTGCGGGCGTAACCACAACAATATTAACCAGTTTAAATACATCAAAATAAAATCAAAAAAAGAATTCTTACATTACGTGGACAAGTGTTGACCATGTTAACTGCCTCCTGATTACTAAGGTGTTCCCATAGACCATCTGATGCAAATATAAGAAACTGATCTTCAGGATGGAGTTTCCGTACTAATATTTCTGGCTCAGCTTGTAGGATTGGCTTATCAAATGATTCTGGAACTCTAAACTTTGGCAATAAAGGTTCTTTGTTGAATTCTGCCTTCTTTAGATAAGCATCACCAATGGATCTTGAAATCTGTCACATGATAAACTTTGGTCAATTGATTATCAATTTGCACATGCTTGTTGTGTAGATCATGCTAATTCTCTCTCTCAGATTGATAGTAATTCAAATGGCAATTCCCCTGAAGTGTTCCTTTGAAAGTCATGAAACATATTTCAATTCTCAAAATATCATATTCAGATCATATTTCATACATCTAAACATCACTTATGTTGTTAGTTAACCTGAAACCATTCCCATGAAGACTACAAAATCATCACTAAAGCAGGTGAATTATGAACTTAGAAATTCTTGAATTTATCTTTCCTCAACATTATCAATAAAACCCCTCTACATCCCAAAGTAAGTTTTTACAATGATTACTGATCAAAACACAAAGCTGGTTCTCCTGGCAGTGCATGCAAGTATTCTCATCAAATGTTGTTATAAACAAGGGAACAATTTGGATTCTGGTATGGTTAGGGACGGCAATCAACCCCGTCCCCGACGGGTTCCGGCCCGACCCGACCCCAATAGGGACGGTGTTTTTTTTTTTTGAATTCTGGTTTCAGGTCGGGGTTCGGTTATGGCCTAAAACCCGACCTGAACCGACATTATATAAAAATTATTTTTTAATTAATTTTATTTATTATATATTTATATAATGATATTTTTAAATAATTTATATTTAAAAATAATATTTTATATTTTAAAAAATAATATTTTATTAATTTCGGTCGGGTCGGGTCAGGTACGGTTTACATAGTATCGGGTCGGGTTTGGGTATTAAAAAATCGGGTAGGATCGGGTTCGGGTATGCTAAAGCATAAAGTCGGGTCGGGTTCGGGGCAAGCAAAACCCACCCCGAACCCGACCCGATGCCATCCCTAGGTATAGTCCATATCAAAGATATAAATGAATGAATAATTAACTAATAAATAATCTCGGGATTGCTTCTTAGATGGTAAAGGGATTAGATAGGGTCAGGATTGCTTTGGATCATACATCTATATTGAAAGCAAGAATTTATAAATAGCACTATGATGGTTTACTAAGAAAATAAACATAGAAACTGATAACAATTCAGGTAGCAGTTCTCCTATGGAAACCTAAAATGAAGTAAAATATTCCAAATTCTGGAACCAAGTAGAAATTGAAAAAGACTAACACCCTAGTTGGTATGTGCTGAACTATAAATCTATAAAACAGGCTGGATATTGGAATGAGAAAGTAATTGACCAACTTTTATCAATTTAAAGTGGTTGCATCAATGTCTTGAAAAGAAATGTTATAGAAGAAAAAACGGTAACAACAAACTATCAACAAAAAAATAGAATTATTCCAAAGACACAATAAATTACCTGTATTATACCCTTCACGCGCCATACTTGGTGCTTGAGGACCACAACCTGTGGATCATTAGGATGCAATGATCGCAACTCCTCCCGTACGGATTCAACATTAGCATTGTGCTCAGATGACAACTGAACTGCTTTTACCTCTTTAAAGTCTTTTTCCAGTCTTCCTAAGACCACTCGAGAATCTCCTGCATTTGCAATGTATAGCAGTCCACCACAAATTATTCCTACCAAACAACATGAACCAGCAGAAGCAATTAGTGGCTTACTTAGCCACAGCTTCTTGACATGAGTAAGAAAATCCTCTTCGGTTGCCAAAAAAGCTTTGTTGATTACATCAGCTGACATTCCATGATTCTCAGTTGTAAACTCTGCACCATTAATAGCTGTCGAGTCAGTAAAAATATGCATTAGCTATCAAAAATTGGAAACTAGAACTATAGGCAAAAGAAATTTGATGGAGAGAGGTAGGAAAAGAGGATCAGAGTTGAGTCCAAATTTGACATTTGTTGCTTGTAAACTATGGAAATGGAGAATATGAAGAGAAATAGACAGATCCTCAAGCTCCAAAAAACATATCGACAACTTAACTTTTGAAACTCTTAAGACCTTTGCAGTGAGCAGGCATGACTTGAGACTATAGCACAAACTTCAGGAACATATAGTTCAGTTACCCAAGTTCTAGGTTCCCGAATATGCAAAAAAAACTAAATTATCTTCCATTTCTTCAGAAACCATAAAGTAGCAAACTTTTTTTTTTTTGAAGATTACTCCCATCCAGTTCAACAATGTGCAAAATCTTCTCTATGTATATCATCAACAGTAACCAAAACCCATTCCAAATCTGACTTTTAAGACTGCAATGAAAATATAAATGCTTGTTAAATTGTGAAGTTCCATCCTCACTGCCTCACTCAAACATGCCTACTTCAACTTCATTGGTCCTTCTTTAAGGTGCATGATCCAGCTTTAAATATCTCATGACTATCAAATATGAAGTTTCCAAGACAACCAAAGGAAACAAGCCAAGATGTCACTCATCAAACATCAAAATACATCCAAATTTAAAGAGACAAATAACAAATTATGATTCAATTCAATAAACAGGAGAAACAATAACATACTCTTCATATAGCCAAAAAGGTGTTCATTTATGAACTTAGCAGCTTCTGGACCACCATGACCATCATAAATTCCAACAAATGTCCCATGAGGCCCTGATTCAAATGAGCTCAATGGACCTGATTCAAGTTGGCTATGGTCTTCCAATAGATTGTTTGCTTGAATTACTGCCATTGAAAACTCACCATTAACATGTTTTCCTGAATCTTTGTACCACAACAATCCATCAACCCTACCATTAGCATCCCCAACTCTACTAGAATTTTCACCCTCAACGGAAGGCCTCCAGCAGGACACAATTCGCATTAATACTGCTGTTACCATGGCTTACATATTCTCACCCAAATGACCCAGCAATCAAATTGTTCATAAAATCAATACTGGAAACTCTATTGACCCTAAATATTTGCTCTGGCTTCCGCTCAATTTCCAAACCCGCAACAGAAGTTTCAGAAATCAAACACACATTGATAAATGCAGACAACATTAATCTGCACAGTTGCAATAGAATGATATTAAAAAACCTTCATTTTAATCCCATAAACTGCACGATTCTAGACAAATCTTACAGACAGGCATTACTAACAGCAGCATAAAGTGGTTATTCACATAAAACTGCAATGAATTCAGAGCACAAAATAAGAATCTAGGCACAATCAATATATTTATGCTTTTGGAGATCCAACAAACCAATACGAATGCCCCCAAAATGCACAAAATGAACAAGAAACTCCAAGACTAGAATTCCAAATAGTCAACGTCTGCATGCATTAAAATGGAAAAAGATTGACTGGCATGTCTAGAACTTCAAAAATATAGCTCCAGATAAATTTTAAAAAAATTCAGACACTAATAAATCTATACCTTAAATTAATCAAACAAAAGACAAGAACTTGAAACCATGAACAGAATTCCACATTGTCAATCTCAGCATGCATTAAAATGAAACAAATTGATGGTTTTGACTAAAAATTACAAAAAAGAAAAAAAAAACTTTAGAATAAAATAAAAAATTTTCAAACACCAATCAATTTCTACAACATCGATTGACTCGAAACCATGAATAAAATTTCATATTGTCACCTCTCTACATGCGTTAAAATTGAAACCCAGTGATGGGTATGTCTAGAAATACAAAGATATGAACTTTCGAACAAAATTAGAAACTTTCAGACACCTATCAATCTGTAGCTTCAAAGCATCAAACAAAACAATAACCAAATTGTATATAGCCAATCTTTTACAAGCATTAAAATGGAAAAAAAATTATGGGCATTTCCAGAAATTGCAATAAAAAATAAAGAACTTTCGACAGACACCCATCATCTCAGAAACATCAAACAAAAATAAACACCTACATGACATAATTATTAAAAAAAAAAGATCCAACAGAGATTTTCCTCTTACATACCTTATGAAACAATGAAGACTTTTGTATGATCTTTTCAGTTATAAGCCTGTCTAAGAAGACTCAAAAGACCCATTATTTTGAAGGATTGGATAAACAAAAACAATCAAATGGAAAAAAAAAAAAAAAAAAAAGGAAGATTTTTAAGAATATTTTGAGACAAAACAAAACAAAGAAAAGAAGAGAAATTTGTAAGAAAGTTTGATAGGTATAATTTTTAACAAAACAAATCTTGAGTTTTGGAAACCATCATAACAAGGAGGCTTCCTTTGTTGCCTTTTTTGTGGGTTTTTAGTTAATGGTTTTTGGGTTGGATTTTTTTTTTTTTTTTACTTTTTATTTTGGCTAAAATAATTTAAAAAATCCCTTAATTTTATCATTTTATTTAAATAAATTTTTATATTTTTATTACACACGCAAATAGACCATTAACTAAAAGTATTCAAATTTCGGTTTTAACTAAATAAATCAGTCGAACTAATTTAGTTCAATTAATTGATCTATCGTTAAATTAATTTCGATGAATTATTAAAAATGATTTTTAAAAAAGTTATAATTTTTTATTAATTCAATTTAAAAATTAAATTAATCATAATTTTAATCAAAATTTAATAAAATATATAAAATTATTTATTTCATTTCAAATTATTAAAAGATTTTAATTTGATAATTTAATTTTGAATATTTTTGTCAAAAAATTTTATTTAATTTATTTTACATATAAAAATTAAAATTAAAATTTAATTTAATATATTTTATTATTTGATTAATTAAAAAATTAACTGAACAAATCTAATTAATTTTGATGGGTTAATATTTGAAATTAAAAAATTTGATTCAATTAATAAAAATAAAATAACATAATTCAACTTCATTCCCATTAATCTTTACTTTACATTCAAATAATTTTTTAAATTTTAATTTGTATTTAAATAAATCTTTATTTTTAATTTATATTTAAATAAACCCTTAACATAAATCAATATTTTGTTTGAAATAAAAACATATATGATAGAAATCAATGAATAAGGGTATATTTGAATACAATAAAAATATAAGGGTTTATGTAAGAAAAATAGTAAATTTCAAGGATTTTTTTAACATTTTATTTTTCTAATTTATTGGCTGTAAGGGGTTTTGACTTTGACCTTCCACAACCCACCATTTTAGGCAACTTTTAAACCCAGCTTTCACCCTTTTTTAGCAAACGAGAACACAACTTTCTCCCCCTTTTGAGAATTATTTTGAATTTCTTCCTTATTTTTCATTTTCATGATTTGGTTCCTACATACAGTTGCAATTTTTCTTATATAGAAAGCAAGTTTTTGGTTATAAAATAATATGAATTATTTTTTCCCCAATATTTTTGTTGTCTTGCCTTGGCCAAAATAATTAGAAAATTAATCATCAAGTTAACTTCAATGCTGTGCAAAAGTTTTAACGTTTTATTAACACATCTATTTACTATTAAGGCTGAGTTGAATCAAAGAAATGTTAGTTTAGTTAAACATTTAGATTTATTTATGAAAAATATATTAGACTTGTGTTTGTTTAGTTAAATATTTAGTTATGAAATATGTAAAATGAGAACAAGATGATGTGCAAAAGTGGTATTTAAAATTATTTATGAAAAGGTTAATGAGATTAACACTATTAATAAGATTTTAATGTCATGGGTCGAGATTTAAGTTTCAAATCCGTGCGGCTTCGAAACTTGGGTATATATTTTTTTTGTGTTTCAGATCAGCTTACCTGTCACGGTTCACACCCTTATGAGGTATTATCCGCTCTGATCCTCTGGTCTCACGGTTTTGTCCTACAAAAAGCAACTCACAAGAAAGAGGTGGTGTGAATCCTTATATACCCTAGTGACCCTCCTATTATATTCGATGTGAGATTCAAGACTTTTTTTCAGGTCCGTGATACTAGCACTTCGTTAAAATTGATTTAAATTCAATTTTGATTATTAATAAGCCTTCGTTGACATACTATTTGTAAGTTTAATGTAAATTCTTAGAAAAAATTTATGTAAAGCATTGATCTTGAAATAAAATTATCTTATATTTTTAAAATTTTTTGTGACCAAAAAAATTATATGGGGATGGAATCGGATATAAGAAAAGCTAAGAATATTTATGATATTATTATAAAAAAATAAAAATAAAAATAAAAAACTGTGAAATGAAAGGATTTGAGGTGGGTTGTATCTTGCCCATCAAAACAACATAATCAATTAGATTAATCTAAAAATTTGTACTCAACTTGGGTAGTCAAATTCTTGATTTTATCTCAATGGATAGGTAATAATCTTATTAAAGTTTCATCATTTTGTTTTTTGTTTTTTTATGTTTTTAATTCAACTTGTTAATGAAAGGGAAATTTGAACTTGATTTCTTTGTTTTTTCTTCCTTTTTTTTATATTAATTTATCTCCAATTGATTTGTTTTAAAAGGAAACCTAATGCTTGGATTCTCAATGTATTCACAATAGGTAGTGAAAATATATTAAATTGAAAGGTATTGCCAATTGGGTTCTCTCTATAATATGATGAAAGAATAATGATAAAACTAGAAAATTTCATAAACCAAAGACAAAAGAAGTCAATTGTCAAAATGGAGTTATTATCTAACAAAAACAAAAAATAGGGATCCATGTTTGAGATTTGCATCTTTGTTTGACCTTAGCATCCTCCCTACCAATGCAATATTTTTATTTTTTATTAAAAAAACCTATGAACTTAACTCTTATTTAAATAATGATTTAATACATGGCTAAATAGATTTAAAAAGCCCTAATATTGCTTTAAAAAAAATTAATCTCAATCTAATTTTATATTTCGTATTGGTTAACAATACCCTAAATGCTTGATAAAAAAAGCCTAATGCTAAGTTATGTCGCTCGATTCGACATCATTTTTTAAAAAATTCATAGCTATTTGATGAGAAAAAAAAAGATAAAGAAAAAAAAGAATATTATAAGTTATTTTTTAAAATAATATTTTTCCTTAATTGCTTATTGGCCACATGTAAATATGTAATGCCAAGTTAGCAAATAATTTCATGTCATCTTTCTGGTGATAGGTTGTTAAGGGGGTTAATGGAAATTATTTATTCAATTAAAATAAGGGCCTGAGGGGTTTAATTGCAAACGATGAAAGAATAGGGATTTATTTAGATTTTTTGAAATAGTATAGGTTTTTTTTTTTTAATCTATTTAGACAACAATAATAAAATAAAAAGATTTAAAGGAAAATTTAATGTTTTGAGGAAAAAAAAAAAAAACAGAGATAAAGCTGTTGGCGTTTTAAGTTTTAACAATTGTCGTTTTTACCAAAATTATTGTAAATTGTTGTCTCTACTTCACTCTCAACCGCGCTCCTCTTAATCGTCCAATGGCATCAAGCCACGTTAATTCTTAAACCAACTCCTCGACGGTACGGTCACTCGCCAAGTCAAGCCATGGCCGCATCCAACTCAGTCCGAGTCGCCGCCGCTCAGATGACCTCCGTCAATGACATCACCGCCAATTTCTCCACTTGTTCTCGCCTCGTGAAAGTAAAGTAAATTCCTTCTTTTTTTATTATAATTTACGATTTTCTTCGATGCTCAAAGCTTTTTTTTATTTAAAAAAAAAAGAAACGGATTTGAATTCAAGAAATTATAAGAATTCTAGATTTTATTTTTGATAAATTTGGTGTTTTTTTTAGTTATTTGATCATTTTAAGAAAATATGATTTTATATGGCTTAATTTGGTTGTTATTTTTGTTATATACTTAATTTTAAAAGATAAATTAGCAAGTAATATTTTTGAAGAATTAAAAGTAAAATATATATATATATATATTTAGTATTAATTTATTCATTTTTATCAGAATATGAAATTACTTTTTGATAATTGCATTTGCTTAATGGTCACATTTAAGGAAGCAAAACTGTAATAGTAGTCAGATAGAGTCTAAGATTTTTGGAATTTTGATATATATTGTGTTTGAATTTTTCTGGGTTTTTTTTTTTTTTTTTTAATTGTGAAGGAAGCGGTTTCTGCTGGGGCAAAAATGCTTTGTTTGCCTGAAAACTTCTCGTATGTGGGTGTCAAGACTGGGGATAGTCTTTTGATTGCAGAACCTTTAGATGGACCCATTATGCAGAAATATTGCTCTTTAGCAAGGTGGTTACTTTGATTGCTCTTATTTTCTCTTGTTTTGTTGATCGTATTTGCCGCATTTTGTACATTGTTTAGCAATTTTCTAACTGCTTACTGGTTATTTTTCATTAACGTTCTTGCTTCTAGAGAGAGGAAAAAAAAATAGAATGATGTCAATAGGATCCCTCTCCACTTCTTTAATTTCATAGTACAAGTTTGATGGGGTTATATATCGACTATCTGCACTTAATGAACACTTTTAGATTTTTTATATTGACTTACTTGACCTGAACACAGAGAATCCGGTATTTGGTTGTCCCTTGGAGGGTTCCAAGAGAAAGGACATGATGATGCACACTTACGAAATACTCATGTTGTAATTGATGATGCTGGGAACATCAGAAGCACATTCAATAAGATTCACTTGTAAGACGGTTATAATATTCTCTGAGATACATTCTTTTTTCTTTTAAACCACTTACAACAGAAAATTTTCTATGTTGGAAAGGCTTCTGTAATATATTAACGTTGTTCCAAAGTTACTTGATCTGTACTTATGTCATATATAAATTAAATTTTCTTTAATTTGATATGGCATATCTCTCCTTTTATCTTGTTGCTCTGGTTTATTGATATGATATTTTCCCTCTGTTGGAAGGTTTGATGTGGATGTTCCTGGAGGAGCAGTATACAAGGAAAGCAGCTTTACGGAACCAGGTAAACACTTTCTCATCTTATTTTACAGTGTTGGCCTATTTCTCATATTTGTTGATATTCCTTCTCTGGCTTCTCATAAATCTATATCTATAATATTTATAAAAGCAAGATGTACAAAATCTTTGAACTGACGAAAATAAACATTAATGTTCATTATATTTCTAAAATGCCATTTGTCATTTTAAATTATTTTTTTAATATTCATAAACAATAATATTATAATCAATTAACAATTCTAATAGGTGTTGGCTTTAACTAGCTGAGTTCTAATCGAATTCATATATTAATACTAATAAGAGTTTGAAAGAAAGTTGTAATCTTAATAGTTTTAACTACTTAGTTTTTATCAATGGTTTAGATTATTATTACACAAAATTTAACTATTTAATAGGATCAAATAGTTTTGTGTTTGTTTCTAATTACACAAAATTACATCTAGGTTTTTGGTTTTCTAGAATTTTTAAAATGTAGTTCTCACTTCTCAAGTTTATTCAATTAACTAGGAATTATGATTGATTATGGTATACATGCATTATACGTGTCTCTTTCCATTAATATATATATATATATATATATAAATTTTAGTTATGTATACACATTATATTCAATTGTATATTCAATTTATATATATATATATATATATATATTGTAATAAACAAAAAACAAGTATTCACATGCAACATATGTGATAACAAGAAATGTATAGAATATAAATATTGTCTCATCAGATTTGTATCGATACATCTTGTAAAACTATCAGAAGGCAATGCCAATAATTTTGCTTACATATGTAAATGTATATGTGAATACAACAAGCCATTTACTTTTGCAAAGGATGGCTCTTTCTCATGCTATATGTAATCAATCCAAATTGGCATGCTGTCAGGGAAGGATATTGCTGTTGTAGACAGTCCTATAGGACGTTTAGGTTTGACAGTATGCTATGATTTGAGATTCCCGGAACTTTACCAGAAGCTAAGGTTCCATCATGATGCACAGGTAGAATTGGATTTATGAACTTTCCAATATAGTTGTTTTTCAATGTCATGAAACTTGCTCCATGGATTATGTTTGTAGGTCATATTGGTACCTGCAGCTTTCACCACAGTTACCGGTCAGGCACATTGGGAGATTCTTCTTCGTGCTCGTGCAATTGAGACTCAGTGCTATGTATGGAATCCATTTTCACCTCCATGGTTCTGGTGACAATTCTTTGTTTCCTCAATTGGCAAAGTAGTTTTTGTTCTTAAGTACTGTGTAGCTTAAGGACAAATTTAGTTAGTTGATCATCCCATCTTTTAATTAATTCCATCTTGCTGTCTGCTAATTCCTTCTGAGAATGACAAGAATTATTATTATTAGGTCATAGCTTCTGCTCAAGCCGGAAAGCATAATGAGAAAAGAGAAAGCTATGGCGAGACACTAATAATTGATCCATGGGGCACCGTAGTTGGCCGATTACCAGGTTAGATGGAATTGCCCTTTTAGTAGTCCAATTATCATGTTATATTTAATTGAAGCAACTGAGCAAGCAGTTCCTCTTCCTCAGGAGTAAAAAGCTTAAATGTTAATTTAGTAGTGAATCGGATATTTCATTGCTTCAGCACACCTGCTGGCAATTTAACATTAATTTCTTCATTTTTTTTTTTTTGGTTTCAGATCGAGTGTCTACTGGGATTACTGTAGTTGATATTGATTTCTCATTGATTGATTCAGTGAGGGCAAAGATGCCAATTGCAAAGGTAAATTCCTACATATTTCTTTAAGGATCTTAGAAGTATTGCCTTGGCTGGCTCTCTATTTAGACTATACTAGCTGTAATCAGTGCCATGGTCTCTTAAACTTCCATACCAGCTTGAGGCTTTGGTAGGTCTGAATCCAATATATAGAAATAGTTCCTTATGCTTGACATCAACCTAGCAAACTAGTGCTGCCTGCTCTGCAGGCTAGGCCTTGAGCACTTGGAATTTTTCAGCATCAATCTTTTTGGTGCTTGCATAGAATTTGTTTTGTGGTAGCTGTACATATTCCTGTACGTGGATGAATTCCCGGTTGCTACAGGGTGCCTGTTATTTAATTACTTGGCCTGGATTCAGCCCTAAACAGATTATTGTCTGTGTAGTAACACAATAAGAAAGATAGATGCATGTATGTTTTGCTGGCATCTACATCTACATTGCATGCTTGTAGGTAACCCAGTCCGAGAGCATGTACCGGGTGTCATATGCAAGTGTCAATTATAAATCATTTTGTAGTTTTCCTTTTCTTAAAAAAAAAAAAAATCTCCATTTTAATCAAATTATACTATTGTAATTAACTATTGACCTTTGTCATGTTTCTTCCAGCATCGGAAACCATTTGACTTTTGGAGACCTGCAACCCTATGATTTTCCAAAATGTCCGACAGCCTTTTGCTGTCCACTGTCATTCATATGTAAGCCAAAGCCAGATTGAATTCCTAAGATCTGAATCTGATACTTCTTTTCTTGTTTGGTGAATAAACTGGTACATAACTTATCTATGCATCTTTGTTAATCTTTCAATTACTCAAGGAAGACATTTTAGTTCATTATGTCTTCCTTTATAAACATGTGTATGTTTATACATATTTGACTTAGTTCCGAGTTAGCGTAAACATCTTTCATAGATTTGAATGATTTATGCATAAGTACGGCAAATCGAGCAATTTTGAGCCTCTGCCAGCCATCGCTTGATGCAAAAATTTATGGTACGTATGTTTACAGAAAGAACCAGACATTGATCCCCGTCCTGGAACTCTCCAAGGCAGATAGCACAATCACCATAGTTTTCTCTTATTTCTTTACTATTCTTGTTGAAAACGATAACAACTGTCTTGGAAGGTAAGGCTGGGGATACCAGCAACGCCATTGGCAAAGCCGCCACCAGTTGCCCGGTTTCGATATCTTGGGGAGGTTGACGACGTCGTTGAAGGGCTGTTTTGCAGTAAGAAAATATTAGTCCTAAAACTAAGAAGGCTAATGGTAAAAATATGAAAATAAATAATAATAATAATAATAATAATAATAATAATAATAATAAAAGTAATAGCGTTAAGTATTTTTTTTAACCCTAAAAATTTACCGTATTGGCATTTGAATTTTAAATTTATTAAATTTTATTTTTTAAGTTGAATATATTAATTAATTGAGTTAAATTTGGATTTATTTGAAACAAATATTTATAATTACTGTAATATATTTATTTAATATTAATAAATTAATCCTACTTTTTTTTCATAAAATATATGAAATTTATTAACACTAAAAAAAAAAGTTTTATATGCAAGCATTTATCTGATTGTTGGGTAATTCAGAATTGTAACTTTAGTAATTTTTATACGTAGTTCATTTTTGTAATTAAATTTTTTTGGCCAGATTTTTTTTATTAAATTTACACATTTAATAAATAGGAGCCAAAAGAATTTAAATATATATATATTTTTTCTTTACAAAAAGTTAAAGATAAAAAGAAAAAATACAAATACAAAACAAAACAAAAAAAATCCTATGTAAACTTTAAATTTTTTGTATTTTCTTTATAATAAACATTTTTAATTCTTATACCATAATTTATGATCATAAATTATTCATTCGATGTAATCTATTATTTTATCTATACTAATTAAATATATTATTATTAAGATCTAAATAAAATAAAATTTTGAATTCAAATTTTATTTAATTTTCATGCAACTATCTTTTTTATAAAAAATAAATAAATTTTTGAACGAATATATATAAAACCGCTTATGAATGAACTGTTTCTAATAACTATGCTCTAAATAAATGTATTTACATGTCCTCAACGTCCATAGATTCTATGCATGTAAGTTTTAAAAATGCCTTTTTAACAACCTATGATATGATCTGAATGACTTTTATATATAAAGACGGCAAATCGGGCAATTGGGAGTCTCAGCCAGCCACCGCTCGATGCAAAACCGATGGAAAACATGTTTACAGCAGGAAAGAAGCCGACATTGATCTCCATCCTGAAACTTTTCAAGGCAGATAGCACAAACATCGTACTTGTCATCTCCTGTTTCTTCACCATTAATCATGTCCTTGTTGTACATAATAAGTGCAGTCTTGGAAAGCAGAGCAGACTCTGGCAATAGCAAGGCTGGGAACGGTAGCAGCAGCCTTGGCCGAGCTGCAATGGGTGGCTGTACTGGGTTGCTTTCGATGTCTTGGGGTGGTTGTTGTCGACGAAGTCGTTGAAGGGCTATTGCTTGGCAACAGGAAACTACTAGTAGTCGAAAAATTAAGAAACACCATGACAAAACTGCGAGAGCAGATATTATTACTAGCAAAGTCAGTAAAATAAGTTCAATAAGATTTTCCATGGTTAAAGCTGTAAGAGTTAAAGAGAGGGTATGTGACTGATTGTTGAAAAGTTTCGACTTTTATAACTTCTCAAAATCAAATCCAACTCGAATTGAGACTTGTAATTATTTTATTGTTCAAGTTGGTGAGTAAAAAAAAAAAAAAAAAACCTAAAAATTGGTGATTAATGAATTTAAAAGTAAATTAGTCTCAGTAAAGGAACAAAATTTAAATCTCCTTCCTCAATTAAAAAAAAATTGTTTTCTTATGTGTACAATACTCAAATCAAGCTATTAAGATAATTAAAAACTATTATTATATTATTAAAATATTAAAAATTATTTTTATATTAATATTTTCTATATTTTAAAATTAAATTTAAATAAAAATAATTGATTTTGAATCAAATTAAACTGAATCGAATTTCAAATCTCGTGCTTACAACTCAACTTAAATTAAGTTTGATACCTGAGCCAGACAAGTAATCAAATCCGGTTCTAATTAGAAAACCTCTTTGAATAAATCACTTTTGTATAGAATCTTTCATTCTATAATTTCCACCTTGATTAATGTACCAAGTACAGTTGAACGCAATATATGAATGCATGGGACCTTGGATTTGCTAATTCTATAATTTCCCTTAGATGACTTCTTTTGGTGAGTACTTTTGCATTAGTAAGTCCAATTAATCATTGTCTCAACTTTGAAAAATTGGTCGCTTTTGTCAATATCATTTGACTTCTCTGATAAATCTGTGCCTGTAATATGGATATACCTGTCTATTCATGTTGAAACACCAGGAAATTTGGTTGCTTTCTACTGGTTTTATGAGATGAAAACCAACTACATACAATAATATTTAATCTATAAAAAAAAAAAAATCAAAGTGTCCCTTGTGCACTTCTTTCGCAAACTTCGAAAAAGAAAAAAAAAAAGCAACATCAAGAACACAAATTCAAAAGTGTAAGGCTATGAACAGTATGATTAAGCCAAAACCAACCTCTCTGCTGATCATTCCAGGAGAAATTCAGCAGGACTGCCAAGAAGGTTAAAAGTTTTGTTGTTGCTTAGGGCGTCTTTTAAGATTGTAATTTGCCCTTCCTTCAAAAGAATATCCTCATCCAGAGCTTCTATCTTCTTTTTCAATACGTTAACCTCTGAATTTAAAAGCATGTTATTCTCACTATACTGCTTCACTTCTTCCCACATCAAATCTCTCTCTTGGGACACCTTAGGCAGTATACCCTTCAAGATGGTTAGTTCCTTTATTGATTCTTGTAAGTCACTCTGAAGACGGCTTTTATCCTCGTCTTTCTTCAGTATCTGTTCAGATCAAACGCATTTAAGTAATCAAACGCATTTAAGTAATCAAAATGAATAGCTAAAATTGTCCTATAAGGTAAATGCAATAGTAACAACAATATCAGAAACACCAAACTGAACTGCAGCACAAATATCAAGCAACTACAGGGATGCACTCATATCAAACTCTAAGATACCTTCAATTTCCCTAATATATGCCTCTACTTCTCCCAACTGCAGTTTTTTTCTATGCCTCTTCATTTCTGTTTTTTTACTTCTTTTTAACAATTATTACTAATGGACAGTTGATTTTAAAAAAAATGTATAAACAATCTCTCATCCTCTCCCTTACTCTACCCAACATGCACGTACATAACACAAAATGGTCATTTGCTTTCCCCAGCGCATGATGCGCTAAAGATTGGTGACTTTGAGTTCCATTAGAAGACATTTCAACTACCAGGAACCTTTTTTCAATTATAAGTGCTCCAGGATTTTGGAAATTGCAAGTAAGTCAAAATTAAAGAGCTAAACATCAGAATCCAAAGAAAGCTATTTCAATAGGTAGCTACTTGTTTATACCTACTATTCACTTGCAAAATAAGAATAAAGCACTTCGTTCATGCACACACACACACAAAAAAAAAACCCTAAAACATTTAAACATCAAAAGTTACCTGCAATTCAAGATCTTTCAATCTGTGGGTGAGGCAGGAAATGTTGTCCATTGCATTTTGTACTTCACATCTAAGGATGTCATTACCTCTCACAGCTGCTGCCTGCTCAGCTTGCAACTGCTCTACTTCAAGCTCTTTTGAGTATAACTTTTCCCTCAACAAACTTGTCAGCAACGTTTCTGCTTTAAGCTCAGTTCTTATAATCTCCTAGAGAAGTGTAAAGCAAATGTTCAAAAAAGCTTTGAGTATAAACTTGTAAAAACACAATAAACCTATAATTGAAAAAAAGAAACAAGTTTAATGAATTAACATACTTAAACAGTAATGAGCAATGAAAAGCATTTTATTCAATGTATACCATCTTCAACTGTAAATTTCAGCAAAAATTTACCTCTGAAGATTGATTGTTGAGTTTCATTGATTCCAAGTGAGAATCTGAGGCAACTGGACTAAATTTCTCGTGCAGCAAAGTGGATATTGTCTGCAAACTCCTTGTTAGGCTTTCAGTTCCACGTTTAATGCCTTGTACTTTCATATCAGATTCAACAATAAATTGGCCATCTAGACCCTGCTGAGTTTCTTGAAACTGACTGGCTCTTCCTTTGATGAACTCAATTAACTTGGAAGACAAGAGGGTGCTCTCATTAAGTATAGAGAGTCCTTGATTCTGCAAATAGCGCACAGCATTCTGCAATTCCTTGTCTAGCTTGAAGGTTAAAGCTCCAATGTCTTTTGCATTCCCTTTTAAGCGATTCAATAGATCGATATTCTCATGTCTAAGAGAATCAACTTCAAGCCTGCAAGACTCCACTTCCCTTCTTAATGCAAATTCTACTCCAGTTAGCCTGATTTGCTCCATTTGCAATTTTTTCACCTGTTTTTCGTTCTTTTCCGTGGATTGCTTCTTCTCAATCTCCTCACTATATCCTTCTCGCAACCCTTCAATTGTTTTCTCTTGCTCATTGCAGGTTCGCAGTAATCTGGTAATGGACTTTTGCAACTCCTTGCACTCTTTCTCCTTCTCTTCAAAATTTCTTCTAATGCAATTGAGATCTTCTATTGCTGCTCTACACTTCTGTTGTGACCGGGAGAGATTTTGCCTTAGATCTTGATTCTCGTCATTCAACTTTTCCACCTTTCCAGTCAACTCTTTAAGTTGTTCTGTGGAATATGTCATAATGCTTAGGTTTTCTGTTTCCTTCTCATTGAAGGAAGTGACTTCTCTCTGAAGTGAAACGTTTTGCTCTGCTAGCTCTCTAACACGTTCACGAAGCCTTTGCTCTTCTGACCGGTACTTCTCAAGCTTAGATGACCAATCGCTTGACCTTCTATCTAACTCCTTTTCCAATCCCAACTGTATCTCATGCTTTTCCTTCTCTAACTTTTTTGTTTGTGACTCCAATTCTGCCCTTGCCATTCTCAGTTCCTCCCTGGCGCAAGCTCTCTCAGCAATTCTAGATTGTATAAGATCTGAAACCTCAAGTGCCAGGTTTATTTTGTCCTCTGTTAGGTGCCTAATGGTTTGAATGAGTGACGAAACATCAAACCCACTGTCACGACGAAAGATTTCCTGCTCAAGAGCTTCAGAAAGAAGCAAGACTCTCTCCTCAACTTCTTTAGATCTTCTTTGTAATTCAACATCTGTATCCTCTTCTGTTTCAGAAGAGTTCAAACCATTAGAGCTTCCCCCAAAGAAACAATTTTGCTCCTCCAAGCCTGAGAAATCCCCATTATATCCATTTACATTTTCATAAGGTTCATCCGTTACACAACTTTTTTGGGCCAACATATCCAACTTGGACTCAGGGCATCTATTCAAGCATCTACCGTATACATCTTCAGTTGTGATTGGAATACGACAGTCATATTCCTTTGAACTTGATCTCGGGACAACATGAGCCTGAGAAAGCCTCTCAATCACATTCTTTGCAATCATCCGTGGTGACTCATGCCTGAATCCATTTTCCACCCAATCTCTAGATGAGAAGTGAAGATGTGTGCCTTTAGCTTCCCTAAATGAATGAGACTTGCTTTTCTCTTTGACACTATCTGTTGGAGATGAAGGGGCTGTATATTGAACTCGTGGAGGACGCCTTCCACCACCATTTCCAAGATTATTTCTTTTTGAACTGTTCTTGGACTTGCTACTTTCCTGCAGCTGTTCTCCATCAATATAGCGGTCTATAACTTTACTTGACACATTGCTAGAGCAAGAGGAAGAGCTTCCAGATGAATCATGGGGCATCCTTGAAGAACCAGAAGAGCAGGGCCTATCAAAACCAATAGCTGTCGCTTCACATCTTTTAGCCTTAGATTTCTTCTCAGGAGTAAGAGCAGTCCGCCTGGAGTAAACCACAAGAACATGAGTGCTATACATTTAGATTTATACAAGTAAAAGAATTAGGTAAAATCAATAATTAATATACTCCATAAACAAACCAGCACAAAATGCCTTACCAAGATGGGCGATCATGTTGCTGTTGTGAAGTAATATTAGGAGACCTATTTTGATCATTTGAGGAAGAAAGATTTTGTTGTCCTAGCCCATCTACAAGAAAGGCTGCTGATGACAAAGAATGACTCCTTCGAAGACATGAACTGTTACTAAAGCTTGGGCTATCAGATTTTTGCTTTCGAGATTTTCCAAACAAAGGTTTAGGACTGCGAAAACTATAGTCAGCCTTGTCACCATGTTGATCATCTAACCCACTTTCCAATGTGTTTTCCCAGTAAGCTTGCTTATCTGCTGATGGTGAAGGAACAGTATTGCTGTTACCACTGTTAGAGGAAGATTTGAAGAAAAACAGCTTCTTCATCTCGATATATCATTGACGAAAACCGCTAGCTTTAGCTCATGAAAATGGAACAAATCCCAATCCTTTTTATAACAATCTTTGGAACAATGAGGGCCTCAAAAGACCTGGAGAAAGAATACATAAACCATAAAAGTGAGTGACATAAAAGGAAAAGCACATCAATACACATACAAACATCATCAAGATCATCAAGATCACTAGAGATGGTGGGGACAACCTATAAAAGCAAAATACCAGAGAAATAGATCTTGGCTCGGAAAACACGTAAATACAACTCATATCAAGTTCACAGTAACGGAATTTATATATCAGATCGCAAAAAAAAAAAAAGCATATGCAGCATTGAGATGCAAATCATGAAAACGTTATGCATTGACAATATTAAAATGCTAAAACCATGAAAAGAACACTCGGGTTAGATGATTCATTTATTTGGAAAAGCCAATCAAGACAGCCGAATAAATAGAAACCTAAATGCAAAACATAAAGAAAACGTTAGTAACTAAGATTCACAGAAAGAGAAAAAGAAAAAGGGAAAAAAGTGTGTTCAAAAGAGAAAAGAGGAAGATCCTGAAAACAGTACCATAACTTTAACAATAGAGCAAGGGTTTCAGCTATGAAATTGCGAGAACCAGGTTCATATACAAATTAAGTAAAACTATAAAAATAAAAAATACTAATTAAATTTATTTTTATAGTAATTTCAGAAACTTTCAGTCGCCTGCAAAAAGATTTTTCTTTAATATTAAACAAACAAAATTATGTATATAAAACTTGTCTGTCAGAGCACAGCTTAAGATTGAATTAAGGTAGAGTTACGAAAAGACAAAATTACCCTAACTCACCATTTTCAGCTTCCTAAAAACCTCCCAAAAACCCTTTAAAAAGAATAAAGAAATGAAATTAATTTCATAAAATTCTGACAAAATAGAAGAATCCTAAGACTGACTGATCATCAAATAAAAAATTAATTCAATTGTGGGGGAAAATGAAAAACCTAAGTATGAAAGAATCAATTTGAAATCAATTTGTTGGAAATTGACTTACAAGAAAATCAAAGATTTGAACTTGAGAAACAGAGCATGAGAAAACAATCAGTTAAAACTTTCTTTTCCACTTTCCTTCAACTTTCTCAGCAACCAAACAGCCCATATTAAAAAAAAAAAAAGGAAAAGACAAAAATAAACAGAGAGACACCCACAGAATTTCCCGACTCAGCTTCCTTCAAACGGTCAAAAAAAATTGCGGAAAAACCAAAGCACAGAAATTTAAAATAAAACCCAGATAAAACTTCACGAATTCAACCCAAAAAAAAAAACTTAATTTGGAAAACTTCAAACAAAAAAAAAAGAAAAGAAAAAATCTTTGCATTTAATTACTTACCATTAAAGGAGAGATACTGTATTTTCTCAGGAAAGTTCAAATTTTTCAAAATTCGAAAATTAAAAAAATAATCCCCGAAATTTAAGTGTCTTAAATAGAATTATCAAAGAAAAAGTGAAGAAAGTGAAAGCCAGAGAAAAAGACAGAAACCGCGGAGTCAACGGCGTTCATGGCCGGCGTTAAAGAACGGTTGCTAACACTGGATTTAACGGTGATGGAAATGTCTGCCGTTAAGATTTTGAGAGAACAAAGAGAATATGACAAGGAACTTAAAAGGCAGAGAGTCATCCAACAGCAGAGCAGAGGAGCGTTTCTTTTTCATGCGTTGAGAAATATGGGAAAAAGTTTTGGGTAGTTTCGTCATTGAAAGAATTTTTTGAATACTCTTTCGTCGTGGGAGCGGGGGAGGTTTTGATTGAATGGAACCGGGTGTAGCGAAATTTCGTTTGGGTCCCACGTTGGAGGCTGAAGCTGGAGCGTCGGTTAGTGGAGTCAAATTCGGACCGTTGCCTTAGATATAAAGCTTTCACTAATTAAAACAAAAGATTATAATTATAATGATGATCGATGATGATGTATCATAATTTCATCAAAAGACTTTTTTTTTTTTGTAAAATATATAAAGACATTCAATTTTAGGAGAAATTTTAAAATGATTAATAAAGTATTAATTTTTTAATTTAATAACTTAAAATTGAATAAATATTTTTTATTCACTCAACCATTAATATTTATCGACATATTGATGTTACAATGCCATATCACTAGTTAAGTGCAACATGATACTATCATGTCATTTGACAACTCATGTAACATTTATAAATTTAAAAAAAATAAATAAATTTCGATTACTTAATTTTTTTAAGCATTTTTAGTTTGGTTAGTCAACTTTGAAAAGTTACAATTTAGTTACTAATAAATAAATTTTCAAGTTTTATAAAAAATGGAAATAAATATTTGATATTTTTATTGTGTGAAATTAAATTATAAATTTTTATTTTATTGTAATTATACTATTTAAATTTAAAAATTAGATTAATATTATTAAATTGTCAAAATTACTATAACAGTATTCCTTCAAATTTTTGTGATTTAATCCATTCAAATAAATTAAAGTAAAATTTTATATTTTATAATGTCCAGATTCTAATTGCAAAAAAATTTCATAATTTTAATTTTATGCAATAAAATATTATAAATAATATAAAATTATTATAATTAAAACATTGACATTATAAAATAAGAAATTTATTAATATTTTGATTACTATCGTTTATAAATTTTATTAATATTTTGGTCTCGATTGTTAATAACTTACTGTCATTGTGAATTTATAATGAGTTCATCACTAACATCTAAGAAATTTAATATATAAATTATTTTATTATTTATGTTATATATTGAAATATATTAAGATAATACTCAAATAAGTTATTGAATTTTATAAAAAAAAAAAACAAACAAACATTTAATATTTTTATACATGAAATTAAGATATTAACTTTTATCTTTTATAATTGTACCTTTTAAATTTTAAAAAATAGATTAATATTAATCAATTGCCAAAATTATTAAAATATTATTACTTCAAAATTTTTTCTTTTAATTAATCCAAATAAATTCAATTATTTATTTAAAATTTTTATATTTTGGTCATCAACATTTGTAAAATTATTAATATTTGAATGCCATCCTCAACGTAGCTTTAGAACTATTTAATCACAATAATTTGTGAAATTTAATAAAATAAATTATTTTTTATCTATATTTCATTAAATATTTTGTTACATTAAATTAAAACTAAAATTTGACATTATAAATTATAAAATGTTTACTTGAGTTTATTAGGATGAAGTGAATAATAAATATTTGAAGTAATATTATTTTAATAAAATTTATAAGTGGATAATATCATCAAATTTTCAAATTTAAATAGTATAATTACAATCAAATAAAAATTTTATAATTTAATTGTATGTAATGAAAATATCAAATACTTATTTTTATTTTTTATAAAATTTGAGAATTTATTTGTTAGTGATCAAACTATATATTTTTAGAGTAGAGTGATCAAAGTAAACATTTTTAAAAAATTAAGTGATCGAAATTTATTATTTCACATCAACATGTTGTTAAACACAAAAGGCGAAATTAAAAAAATATTTACTCAAATTTAAATGATTAAATTAAAAAAATTAATGTTTTAAGTAATAATTTTAAAACGACCCATGATATTAGATTACTATTTTTATGTTTGACCCTTTTTTGTGACACATCAAAAGAATTTTTTTTTTTTTTCACCATTGAATAGGGAATGTTTGGGGCATGGTTTAGTATCATGATTTATTTTTTAGTACAATTTTGGTTTATTTTAATTAATTTGAAAAAAAAAAAAAGCTTTACTCTGATGAAATATGAGAAAATTTTATTTTTATCCAAATATCAATTTTTAAAAAATTTTATAATTTTAGTACAATTATAATTTTATAATTATAAGAATGTAAACTCATCCTCCAACTAAACTTAAATTGCAGAATTAAAAGATTATATATATATATATAAATATAAATATATGAATCCATTTAAATTGATCATATAAAAGATAATATACTCACTAAGTTGCTAACCTTGTGATCATTAAAAAATTATGATATATTTTTATATTCAAATATTTGATTAAATGATAGATACATGTAAATTTGATAATTTTAAATGCAATATAAAAATAATACAAAAAATATATAAAAGGGACAAGGTTTAAATTTGAAAAAAAAAAGTATATAAATTAAAAAAAAATGTGTTTCATATTTAATGTATAGATATGAGTTATGAGACGATAAATTTTTTTATTTTATATGTATTTAAAACAAAACATACACGATTTAATATACAAATTACTATAACTAAATATTTACACATATTTTGGTTAAATGAATTAAACTCAAATCTATTTTATTACTTGTATATATAAGATTGTGTTTTATATTTACCTAAAAATCCAAGTCACCTTTTGTTTTTTCATTTTAGTTTTCTTTCATTTGACTTGGGCAAAACAAAGATCTCATTGCATCATAAATCTTAAAAAAAAAAACAAAATTGATACTATAACATAACATTTGGATCAAATCTTTATGACTATTTAAACCTTAATTTACCTTTTCATGTAAGAAAAAATCCACAACTTACAAGAATGTACTTGCAAAGACCAATTCTGCCCAACTAAGAGCATTAAAATGCAAATAAAATATTTTTAAAAAGCAACCAAAAAAGCATAAAAAACAAAACAATGAGACAAAATTTTTTTTATAAATAATGGGTTTTGGACATAATCCCCTAACTTCTTATCCTTTTCATCATACATAATGATGCTTATTCCCTTAATTCATGCAGCTTCAATGGGATTACAAGAATGATCATCTTTCTTTCTCAATGCAAGATGCTAATGATGATTAACAAAATTATAATTTATACTTTTTCTAAACCAAAATAACATTATAATAAAAGTTCGTGTTAGTGAAGTTACTCTTGTAATTGAAGTGTTCGATTTATGATCGGTCAATGTATTTTATATTTAAAGAGTTTTTATTTTTTAACTAAAGTTATAATAAAAAAGATTTCGATTCGAATCTTCCTTCTTCAAATTAAAAAAAAAAAAAACATTTTTTATTACTAAGACAATAAAGCAACAAACACACATGAAAAATTTGATTTTCATCTTTCGATATTAGGTATTGAACTAAAATACAACAATTTTAATAAATAATTATTTTATTTGTATTATTTATTTATTTGTCATCATAAAAAATTCTAATTCTATTATTTTAATTTAGTAAGAGCATGTTTCAATGATTAAAATAAATGTTTTGGGTACATTTTTTTCTTATTATTTTTAGCGCTAAAACAAGAATCAAACAATCAAAACATGTTGGGGTTTTTATAATCCATTTTTAACCATATTTTAGTGTAGTTTAATGGTTGTGGAGTTAAAAAATTGCACTAATAGTGATATAAAAATGAACTCTAATCATTATATTATATAAATTATTAGTAAAGTTTAAAAATTTTATTGATGACGAATAAAATAATAAAAAAAAAGTTAAAGAGTATAAAAAGCTTTTGAATTATAATTAAAAAAAATATTTAAACTTAAAATTTTATATTACAATTAATCAACCACTCCAACATTTATTTGTGTTTAATTAAGTTTTTATTTCAATAAAAAAATTAACATCATTAATTTTTTTATCAATTAAAATAAAATTTCATGTGATATCAACAAAATAAATGAAAATTTATCATATGACACAATTAATATATGTGAAAATTAAATAAAATATTTTTTATTTTTCTTTTCTATTTTTTTTTTAAATTTCTTAATGGGTTTAAGAGACTGTAATTTAAAAATTAATTGATTAAATTTTGCCACGTGACTAGATTTATTCGAGATTTAATTGAATTGATATAGAAGATTAAAAATTTGATTGATTGTAATAAAAATTAAAGATTTATTAAAGATTTAAAGGATTATTAAATTATAATTTGAGGGTATTTTTGTAATATTAACCTAAAAAATAAAAGTAAAACTATTGATTTTTGTATAAAGTTGACAAAAATGTTTGGGCTTAAAAATCCATAAAATGAGTATTCATAGATAGGCCCAATCCAAAGGCAAACTATATAATCAAATCCACTTCCTTAATTACTACCTTTTGTCCATTTCTCAGGATAACGGACGTAAACGCTGTCGTTTCATTCCATTACTGATTCATCACCCTCGTTTGTCGCTTCCATCCCCATCTAAAAGTCATTCTTTTCTTCTCCACTCTCCCTTCGAACTCAACCCAAAAAAAAAAAAAATCCTTTTTAATTACCCAATGGATATCTTTCCCCTTCCAAACGGCGCCGGTTCGACCGCCCCAATAACCCCCGAAACAGCGGGGACGACGACCACGATCATCGTCGCATCGAACACGACGCCGTCCTCAAAACTTAGCCAGCTGACGGAATCTTTGAAATTAGAGCACCAATTCTTGCGTGTTCCCTTTGAGCATTTCAAGAAAACGATCCGAGCCAATCATCGAACCGTCGAGAAAGAAGTATCCGCCGTCATTTCAAGCGTCGCTGACGTGGCTGACTCTAACGAACTCTCTAAAGACGACGCTGTTTTGAGTCTCACTTCTCTTGTCTCCCGTTTGCAAGGCCTTAAACGCAAGGTAAAAGAAGATAAAATTTTAATTTTATTTCCTTTTTAATTATTTTTATTATTATTATTTTTTAAAGTTAACTGAATACGTTTTAGGTTGAAATTAGCAAAATTATAGTCTTTTCAACTTCTTGCAGGCCTAAAAGATAGAAAATTTGGACAATTTTGAGTAATAATGGCTGAGTTTTAATATGATTTAAAATGAATGAATTTGTATAAAAAATAAAGGGAATATTTATTTCGATTTAAAATGGCTGAATTTGAATAAAAATTGAAAATTTGACAATTTTACTTAAATATGGTAGTGAGTTTGTAGAATTAAAGCATGGATTTTTTATGGAAAGTTGAAATCATTGAAATATTTGAAGTTTTGAATCCTTTCATATATGGGGGATAAATGAAGTTTAAATGTAAAAATGGCTACATTTGTATTAAATCACAATGGGCAGAAATCACCCGTGTCAGCAAGTATGAATTTGTAGAAAGGCTTGATATATTTTAATCCAAAGTTGACATTTTGACTATATAAATATTTGTTTCATTGATTGGCATTGTCTAAATTTCAATAAATTTATTATCCAATTTCACAAGTATCCTTGGTACATTCGTGGGTAGTGATCTCTATATGTTTTTATCTTCAACAACATTACCATTTGATTATTTTATGTCTGTTTCGTTGGTAGACTTTTGTTTTTTTTCCTTATCTAAGCAGTTGTATTATCTTTTGTGTGTCAGTAATTAAATGGTTGGAGTGGATAAATTTGTTGTCTGAAGTGATGAGTAGCGCCTTTAAGTTAATGGGTATGATTTAGTGATGTCCATATGATTCTTTTGTATCATTCAGTTGGAAGAGGGAAGTCAAACGGAGAACTTGCAGGCACAGAGGTGTCGTGCTCGTCTTGATCACTTAGAATCAGTGGATGTTGAGAACCTGTGTGAATGGAATAATGTGCGATTGAAGCGGATCCTTTTGGACTACTTGTTGCGTATGTCGTATTATGACACCGCAATGAAGCTGGCTGAAAGCAGCAACATACTGGTAATTTATATGCTTGTTTCATTTCATGTGTTTGCTATGTAGTTGTTACAGGTGTCATTCTTTGAAATTCAATTGAATATGGGAAGTGGCAACTCAAAAAAAAAAAATTTATGTGCCAGGATCTTGTTGATATTGATGTTTTCAAAGAAGCCAAGAAGGTTATTGATGCCCTTAGAAGTCAGGAGGTGGGTCCTGCCCTTGCCTGGTGTGTAGATAACAAATCACGGTTGAAGAAGTCCAAGGTATGCATTCCTTGTGTTTTCTTAGGCTACATTTGATTCGTGCTTTTGCTATTTGCTATTTTCCTTTTTAATACAAAATGAAAAAGCAAAAAACAAAAATGAACTGAAAATAAGAGTCAAATAAGTAAAATCACCAACCAGATGTAGCCTTAGTTATCATGAGCATTTATCTCTTTATGTTCCACATGATGTTTTAACCTTTTCAGAGCCATAGTTCTCTTAAGAGTTAAAATATAATTGAGCTTTCATTTTGGATTGTCAACATTAAGCTATTAAATTACTCTCTTGACTGCATTCATTAAATACAGATGTTCTTTAGTACTTGCTGTCAAAAATTTGTGGACATCCCAACATGGATTACAGCTGCGATTTCAGATTGTATCCAGGAATATGTCTCAGCTTGAATAATTTTGTTGTTTTTGATGACAGAGCAAATTCGAATTCCAGTTGAGACTTCAGGAGTTTGTTGAGTTGGTACGAGCTGAAAATTATATGCGTGCTATTTTGTATGCTCGAAGGTACCTTTCCCCATGGGGAGCAACTCATTTGAAAGAATTGCAACGAGTTATGGCAACATTGGCTGTTAGAAGTAATACTGAATGTGCAAAGTACAAGGTAAATTTGATCCCTCCTTTGAATAGACTACTGGTTCAAATTAGTTTAATTTGATCCCTTCTTTGAATAGACTACTGGTTCAAGTTAGTTTTGTTGCTTTGATGCATAGTGGAATGACTGGTTGACAATGGTAAAGATGAAAGAATAGGAAGTAATGGGAGCAAAGGCGAAACAAACGGCTGTCTTGCTTTGTTTACTTAATGAGATCAATTATTTATTTTTCATCATTAATGACCTTGTAAATGTGGAGCATTATCTTCCTCTTTTTGACTAATTTTGTTCCAACGCTGATCAACCAATGACCTGTCAAGTCAGGCATAGCACTTTTATTTGTTTTCAAAGATAAAAGCTTTTTGTTCACTTAGATTCCTGAATATGTTAACAGATATCACTCACTTCAATTCTGTCTGTCTGAAGATGAATCCTTGTCCCTTGGATATTTCAATTTGCTAGATATGATTAAGCTTATTATGCTTTGTTACTTCTTTCTTATCTTTAAACAACACTTTTTTGCTGGTACTAGTAGTGACAATGATATGCTATTCAGATCATTTGCCCCTATTATTTAGATTCTAAGTTACCTCAAAAGGAATTTTATCCTTTTGTCTCGTTTGCGTACTGAATGTTTGGGACCTTTGGTATTATTAGTATTTATTAATAAATGAACCCACTGTTTGAAAAATGGTAGTTCCTGCTTAAACTCTATATAAATGAAACTCTTAAGGCTTTATAACATATTCTCCTATGGGAACTAATAAGGCTCAGGTTGGAACAATGCTCATACAATTTGTTTTGATTTGCTTCCAGGTTTTGTTTGAACCAAAGCAGTGGGACTTCCTGGTGGATCAATTTAAACAGGAGTTCTGCAGGTTATATGGCATGCCCGTGGAGCCATTGCTGAATATTTATCTACAAGCAGGCTTGTCTGCTTTGAAAACTCCGTATCCCTACAGTAACCACCATTATGCAACTACCTATTGTTTTGTCTGTATTTATCTGTCAGCTTAGTAGCCCCATTAACGTCAACAGAGCGCTTCAACTTTATGACTTTTAAGCACTTCTCAAATTAGCATTCTTGGTTACAGAGTTGGTCGTAGGAATCTTACCCTGCATGTGTGATCACAAACATGCTTGCGTGCCTTTTGTTGCGAACATCTAAATTCCTAACTACCGAGTTCTACTCTATAAGTCTATAAGTTTTCAGTTCCTCAATATTTCTGCAAATACAGTTTTTCCCTTGACATGATTAGGTACTGTTACGAAGATGACTGCACCAAGGAGGATCCATTGTCACAGGACAGCTTCCGGAAGTTAGCATTGCCATTGCCATACTCAAAGCAGCATCACTCGAAGCTCGTTTGCTACATAACCAAAGAGTTAATGGACACAGAGAACCCACCGCAGGTCTTACCTAACGGCTATGTCTACAGCACAAAGGTTCACATTTTACCTTTACATTTTAATGCTGCTATTATATTTTTATTGGGTTGAACCTTTTGTCTTCTTGTCTTGTGTGGTAGGCTCTCAAAGAAATGGCTGAGAAAAACAATGGTAAAATCACATGTCCAAGGACAGGTCTAGTCTGCAATTATTCAGAGCTGGTTAAAGCCTATATCTCATAAAATCTGCATGGTCAAGATGTAAATCACTAAATCTATTTAAAAGAAAATCCTTCATGGACAGTTTCCTCCAGTTATTGGTTGTTTTCTGCACATCTGTGGATACTTCTCAGCTTTCAGACATTTCGAAAATTCTGATTCAAGAACTTCTTACAGTAATTGTTCTTGCACCTCAACTTGTTTGGGTGTTTTGAAGAATTTACCTCATGTATATATGCAATTTTTTTTAATTAAAAATCCTTGTAATTGTTATTGACTTGTTGCCCGTTTAATTTGCAGCAATAAGCTACCGTACATCTCCATGTCATTAGACAGTTGAAAAAGGCGTCATTTTAGCACATCTCAGCCATTAGTTCTTTGGATTTGACTTTGCACTGTTGATTTTGGGAGAAATTTTGAGTATTATATGGCTATTATCCACACCTGATAATACATGAGAATAATAGTAAAAAAATATAAAAATTGATACAATATAAAATCTCAAGAAAAATTATATAGATTTAATAAAAACAAAATTATGTTTTATATTTAATATTTCAACGTGAATTATAACATAATAATTTTCATGTTTTATAAATATTTCACACAAAACAAACCCATAAATATTTAATACATGGCAATATCTACTTATAATTGAATTTTACACTCTTAACATAAATTAATAAATTGGATTATATAACTCGGGCTTTTTCTTAAAGACTAAAAAGAAATCGCATAAAACCAACCACCAAGTCATAATTTAAGCTTTTTTAAATAAAGACCAAAGAAATTGTATAAAAACACAAGTCCAGGAATAGAAAGATTATTACATCAAACGGCTTCCTAGACCCACCCAATAATATCAAACACCCGTACAGCTGCTGCCCCAAGCACAGGTTGTGACTGGAACAATTAAATATTCATCACAACTTTGGGTTTTATATGATCATAGATTTATAGTTATTGCAGAAAATATCAACTGTTATTAGCAGCTGCGAAGTAATTTACCAAAGACGAGATAAAAGAGGGAATCTATATAAGACTTTAATATATCTTAACAGTGCTTAAATACTCAAGAAAAAAACAAGTTATCCATCCATACAAAACGTTACTGAGACATACCAATTCAAACCACCGCAGATTAATTTGATTCACTGCGTCTAGGAGAAGCATGATTATCATCGTCATCATAAATGGGGCTCTGGTCATCCTTAGGGAGTGGGCTAGGGCTGCGGCTGTGGCCGTTTTCTCTTCCAGAGCTCCTGTAAGCCCTGTCCTCGGTATCAGCTTCACGATCTGGGGTTCTGCTCCTTCCCCTGGGACTTGCACTGTAATCCGAAACATTGGTGGGCGTGCGATCTCTTGGGGAAGGGCTACCTCTCTCTTGTGGGCTTCTTTCATCAGGTGCTGGACTATGCTTCCTCCCTCTGGATGGGGATGGAGAACCCCTGTGGCGCTTAGGGCTCCTTGATCTTCTATCATCACGATCGAAACTTCGTTCTCTCTTCACAGGCGTTCTCGATCTATCATCACGCTCGAAACTACGTTCTCTCTTCACAGGTGTTCTCGATCTACTACAGACGGTAAAGATTCAGCACAAAGAAGACTAAGCCAAAACAGTTTTAAAAAACCAAAACAGTTCAGTGGTTTAAATCTTCCTCAATTCTTTTGACTTACATGGGCACTTTAATGTACAAATTACTTTTGCAACAAAAAAAGTAAATTCATATTAAGATCAAATTATTCATATACAGTACTAAAAAAATGCCAAAGGTAATTTATATTTCAGAACTAGACTCTTGTTGCAAGGAAAGCTAAACACAGACCTGTCACTACGTCCCCTGCTGTAACTGCGGCTTCTGCTTCTACCATGGCGGGGACTAGGTGAGCGAGAGAAACTGCGCGGTCTTCTGCTGCACCATTATAGTTGTCTCCCAAGTAAACAAAATGGAAGTTTAACTGATAACATATGATAAGACTCCTATTCAAACCAAACTGCTCAGATTAAGAAAAAATAGATAGAGGGAGGGAGAGAACCTCAGTTTCTTTGGACTATTTTGACAATTTCTTTCTATGTGGCCTCGTTCACCACAACGATAACACTTATTCTTCCAATCCCCAGCTTTGCAATCACGAGCCCAGTGCCCATCAATTCCACAGTTGAAGCAGCGTCCTGATCCAGGAGTAGGACCTCTTCCAGGGAAATCACGAGACCCACCAGGGCCACGGGGCACCTAAATTGCAAGTCAAATCAGATTCAATGGTCAAACAATACTGACTAACAAAATCCACAAATGAAGTCTGGGACAAGAATTCAAATTGACACTCAGAAAATCATTCTACCTTCAATGTAAGTTCTCTAAACTACATTTTTCTCCACCAACAATTTTTTCTCATACTTTGTTTCCAACACAGAAAGCAAGCAGCAAATAATGATTATTCTAAAAGGTAGTCATGTAAAAGGTTTTGATCCCTTTCTTCTAGGCAGTAGCTATATAGACTTCCATTTGTTGATTTAAACATGGAGCTCAAATTCATAAAGTACAAGACATGTTGGCTTCACTAGCAGGTTGTACCCAGTCCCAATGTTCATCGATAGACCTACAAGCAAATTATATTGAAATGGTAAAGTATCTTCAGACCAGACAGCATGCTAGAAACATGTGGAGAGAGCCCAGGGTCCCTTCCTCAAATGATACTAGACCTATTTTATCATCCACCTCTTTCTCTGCCCTTCAAATCCCACCATCCAGAATGGGCAGGTGCAACACATAAGTCTAATGTTCTATATCCCCACCCAATTGACCACAAAGTGGAAATCTTATTAGTATCTCAACTAAGATATAGGAGAATAAACCACAACCAGAGAGGCTGTCACATAGAATGGCGCCATACCAGGTAAAATGTATGTATGTGTCACATCAGATAAACATGCCATGAGCACACATGCAAATAAACAGTTGGTTAAAGTCAAAGATAAGCAGTAACCGAAATGAGCATGCAGATTTTATGCGTCACGTCACCAAAAGATCTGAAGGCATTAAGGATATAAATACATTATAAAATTAACAAACTGAAACATTAAATTAGTCCATGGCTTACATATAATATTCATTGCCTCCCAATATTATTGAAATTTAGCATTTAAAAAACAACAAATGCCAACAAAGTCTATTGTATGTGAAAAGCATCAGAAAGCTTACTCCCTTGGCAAATTCAACAATGATACGGCTTCCATCTAGGTCTCGACCATTCAATGAATATCTTGCATCATCAGCATCTCTAGGGTCGCTGAATTCCTGTTATCAGGGAGAAACACAATATACACACACACACAAAAAAACAAAGAAGAAAAAGATCCAAGCAAAAAGATCATATTTACAACATATGTTGAAGAAATTTATAGATAAAGAAGAAAAGTAGTTTCGGTTTAAATTAAAAGAGTAAAGAAATACATACAACGAATGCATAGTCGCGCTTCATATCCACATCACGTATTCTGCGTAAACGGGTGCTAGAAACAGTAAGGCCATCATGACACAATTATCGAAGGGTTGATAGTTCGCCCCTCACGGTTGAACCAAAAACACCACTTTTGAGATTGTTCCATTTCGATAAAAACACGCAATAACACTATAGAAACACTCGCCAAATCCACCAAGGTCACCCTCTCACCATAGACCTCCAGGTTAGGCAAAAGCCAAGAGACCTTCAACAAGATCATTTAAGTTAAACGACACAGACACGTGGAGGGGTGCAACATTCTTACTCATATTTTATAAGGAAGGCCTGATGTTAAGCACTACAACAAGTGCTTGGCAAGGACTATTTGTCTCCTACTTCATTGTCACTACACCCTGAACCTATCCTAATGGCCATCAATAAAAAAGACTAAAGCAACCATAAACACCCAACTGGAGAAAAATGAAGAACTTGCAACAATTACATTTAATAAAATGCAACATTTACAAATTTTATAAATTCTTCAACATAACAAAAGGCTTGTTTACCTCCCATATCTGCTAAACATGTCCTCAAGATCTCGTGATCTTGTCCTGGAAGACAAGTGACCAACATAAAGGCGAGTACCACTTCGGCGGTCATCATACCTAGGCATTTTTCTTTCCCTGCAATAACAATTTTCATAAGAACCAAAAAAAATACAATCACACAGCTTTACATAATAAAAATACTCCAAGTTTACTAACAAATCATCAAAGAAAATTTTCTTGTCTTATATAACAGAATCGTCAATCTAATTTAAGTTAAATATGTCTTAGAGCTGCGTTTGGTTGTTATTATAATTACTACTTGCTTTTGCTCCCTACAAGTTTACTATGGTAGAACAGGAAATCGTAATCAATTTTAAATTTAACAGATAACTAAAATGCAATAGTAATTCTAACAGGAATTATTTTATTTAAGCAAAATCATGCATAGTTCACCCCCAAAACATACCATTTTAATTTTAATTCTTCAAAAATATTATTTGCTTTGAATCCAATTGCACACAAAAATCAATTAATAAAAGCGACAGCCAAACATTACCTAAATCAACATGTGTTTCTATGAACTGATTAACTATTATTATACATGACATAAAACAAGAAAAAATACTAAAATTTTCTGAAAACCTATATTTAAACATGAAAAAAACACCTTTTAATTCTTCAGATTTCAATTACTAACAGCCTAAAGCCCTAAATAAATGATATTTAAATTAAAATTACAAATCATAAATCCGAAGATAAATAAATAAATGATAGGCATGGGAAAAAATTAGCATCAAAAGCGGCAAAATTTAAATTTAAAAGCTCGACAATCTTTCAGATCTATAGATGAATAAGCAAGAAATTGGATAACTGAGTGCATAAGAGTTCAAATTGAAAGAAACAATTAAAAAAATGTAAGATAAAACAAAAGCTTACTGTGAAATTTAAGAGGGAGGCGAAGGAGGAGAAGATGAAAAACCCTAGATTTTTCGAAGAGAACGAGAGAGAGTGAAAGCAAGAGAAAACAGAGAGGGAGGATAAACGCGTCGTTTTCTCGTTTTATTTATAGGGCATAAGGATAAGGATAAGTCAACAGTCAGCACTCAAATATCAGAGATACACAATTACCAAAAGACCCCTACTTAGTTTTGCGGAATTACAAAAATAGGCTTGAAAAAGTGGAAAGTTTCAAACGTCCGACATGTGCTTCTAACCTCCAAGCCCCCGGTCCAAAAGGAATTTTTCTTTTCCTTTTTTTTTGTCCTGAGGAAATCTTACACTATTATTTGGTGAGGAAATTCCTTTTTCATAGGAAAGAAAAAAGGAAAATTGGTGGAGTTGATTTTTTTTTCCCTCCGATCCAATTCGTCCATAAATGAACAAAATTTCCTTTTAATAATATTGAATTGACAAATTTATCTATACAAACAATGATAAATTGTATATTTATTTAATCATTTAATTTTTGAATTTTCATTAAATAAAAATAAATTATATAATTAATAATTTAATTTTTGAAATTTTCATTAATATATCCATGTCGAGTACATCTGCCACATGGCATTATCTTTATCTTTAGACATGCCATGTAGAAAATGAACTTAAATGTACATGTCAATTTCTACGGTTAATTGATAAAAACTAACTTTTTATTAAAAAAAAAAATGGTAATCAAAATGTGAGTTTTTAAAATTGAACGATCCAAACAAAAGCTCTCGAAGATTATGTACCTAAATGGGTAATTTACCTAAAAGTAATAAGTTTATTATTACACAATTTTAGGGTATAAAAAATTTGCATAGCACATTTCATTAAAAAAAAAAAGGTTGGTGCTCAAAGGCTGAAGAGAATGGTAGCAAAGAATGAGCTGTTAGTAGAAGTACCCTGAACATGCTGGATTTCAAAAGGTGGCTCATGACTGCAAGGATAGGCTAAGAAAGCCCCAGACAGCCAATTTTGTATTTGATTATCCTCGTTTTGTGGGCAAAAGAATGATCCCCAAATGTTTACAGTTGACTATACCCCAAAAAATGTTGATGACCTTTAAGCAGGGAGACAACTGATCCAAGAAGTTCACTACAAGTTGTTGAGTAAAATTCTTGCCTTTCGATCTTTTCAAATCATCACAGATTTTGACAGTGGATTGTTGATTGCAGAACCGCACAGTAATTCTTCAACCATGTGGATGCGGATTTCAGGACGCGAAGCTCACCGGTAAGGAGATCATGAGCCATTTGTCTCCTATGAGCAAATGTATCGCACATTGAGGGGAAATTAACAGGAGCAAGCAACTGCAAATACATTTCAGAAGCTTTAAGTAAGTGATAAGCTCTTTGTAAGTAAGATAAACATACATTATTTCATGTAATTATTTCAACACTTTGTACAATAGTGTCTCCACAAAGATACGAGCATTGCCTTTTATATTATCTTCTTGCTGTTACTACGAAGAGTTTGTTTCTGGCTTTTATCTGTACGTGTTAAACACGCGTACACGTGAACTTCACTTTGCAGCAAAGAATGGCCGTCATATTTTAATGTCTTGATGTAGTACTGTTCTATTCATAACATCATACTATGTTTAACTGTCACTATTTCTAGAGATGATGATAATGTTTATTGACTTTTTACCCAAAAACAGTGTTTACTGCCATTTTGTCACCTATGAAATTAAACATCCAGAAACTGTCTTTTGTCTTGTTGACATGAACAAAGAAACCTTGTCACTGAATGAATTTTGAGGAACGAAAAGTGGCAAGAAATTTACCTTAATGGCTGCATCATGTTGCTGCATTAAGTGAGTGATGTGAGACAATAACATCTGATGTGCCTGGAACTCTCTCCTGCTGTCTTTCAGAGGACGCCGAGCCAACCGGCCATCAGTTTGTGCAGCTTCCATGGCCAAGTCACTAAGTTCTGATGATTCAGTTAAAATGAAATTATATGTTAGTACTTCATGGTCTAAAATTAAATTCGCTTGAAGAACAGTGAAAACCACAAGCAAGGAAGGCAAGATTATCCAAACAAACACCTTGGGGAGAGGTACAACATAAAACACGAGCAAATGCACGTAGCGACTGTGGAAGACCCTTCCCCTTTCCTTTAGGAGACCTAACTTCCCTGTGTAATAATCCCATCATCATAAACATGAATCAGTAACATGATTTTGTAGTCATATATCCAACTCCCATAGGAGCACTAAGGAATTCATTAAAACAAGATATTTAGATGACGTCCATACCACATTGGTTCCAAATGAAATTCCCACGACAGTAACATCATAAAGTCTAATCCAAAAATTAAATTTAAAGTTGACAGAGAAAGAGATTTAAAAGATGGAAGCAATATCATTAGTTGTCCGGTCGAGTCGAAAGCACTCTATAAAAGAGGTCATGCACACTTTTCATATGAGCAAACAACTTTGAGGAAGATCAATTAAGGTAATGCAACACCCACTCCCACATCTACCCAATATCACTAAAGTTAGAGGAAGCTTTTCATGTCATTATATAAAACTGAATGCAACTCAAACCTTATCATATACTAACAAAGAGCTCTTTTGAGGAATAAGCAGAGTATTAATCTAATCAACTTTTTCAAGTGATTGCTTTAAGAAGATCTATTGTTCATTTGACAGGACAAAAAACGAATACTGACACAGATATAATTATTGAATACAGCCCTTTAATCCAAACCAATGACTTGCAAAAATGTTTCAAAATATGCAACAAAAGCTTGGAGAAAGATCATACTTCTTTTCACCTTTAAGAGGCAGTTTGGTCCAGCTAAAACTTCAGTCAAGAAGATTGTCAAATTAGGATTTTTAAACATGTTATCAGGTTGAAATTGAATATTTTGTCAGTTCAATATTTCATTAAGTCTGTCTAGTAGCTTAGCAATGCTACTTTTTGGAAAGCACATCAGCTTTCAAGCATTAGAACCTTATTTCAGCTTATTTAGAAGCTAAAGACTGTTTGGTCAGTAGAGATTAGAGAAGTTGTTTCAGAAGTTAGGCCAAAGAAGTATTGAAAGACATTAATTAATTATTCATTATTTGGTACACCTCAAGAACATTTCTAGTTCTTAAATCACAAGTATTTATAATTCTAAGAAGTAGGCTCCCATGAATCTTTGTTGTAGTTTTCATTTGTCCAATTGGAAATAAACAACGTTCACCATAAGTCTAACATCCAGTAACATCGTTAATTCATCAATAAAGATATAAGGTTAAAGAATTAAGCATCAATACCAACTTGATTATGAAAGTATCTTCAGAACAACTAAAACCAATTGCATCTTTAGTTGTTGGTGAAGGATGTTGTTGCAGAAGTTCCAATTTCATTTCACGTAGAATATCATGATATGGGATATTCATGTGGATCTTTACCTGAGAGTCAACAACATTATTTCTTTTAAGAACATAAAACGAAAAAATAACATTTAGCTACATTTATGATATGGATATATTTTTTTGCCTTTGGACTAAGATGGTGAATTGGAAATGTAACAAAAGTTACTAAAATATAAAGAAAACATGAAAAATGCAGAATAGTGTATTAAACTCTAGCTTATACAGTTGTAGAAAAGAAAATAAGCATTTAAAATTGTGAAAATCTAATCTTCATTATTACTTGATTGATTGACTTTATCTATTTTAGTTAAGTCTCTCATTTTTAGAATAAGGAGTGAGTTGGGTAATTACACCAAATCCATTAAATATTTTCTTATTACGTGTAGAGAGTAAATTAATCATTTGATTAGCTGTTTTAATGCATGAAAATCTTGGGTTTTAAGGCTAAGAATATTTCGTCTTTAGCCTATATATTTTCATGCAATTCTAGTATTGTAATAAGAAAAAAATAGAATAATAAAATAGTTTTATTCTAGAGATTTCTTCATGGTATCAAAGTACAATCTGAACTTTTGAAAATTTTCACTCGAAGTCTAGCATGACCAACAGAAGGGAGAGCCCGGTGTCGAAGGTTACCTCTAACCCCAAAGCTAGCATTATTGGAACAGATTCTTTAGCACATCAAGGTAATTTTCTAATTGCCTTAAGTGTAAAACTAGAAAAATCAAATTCATGAATTGTGGATTCAGGAGCTTCAAACCATATGATTAAGGATGCATCTGTATTTAGTAAATGCAACCCATGTCATGAAAACTTCACAGTTCGAATTACTGTTCAGTCACTTTCAAAAGTGGTCAATATAGGTTATGTTATTATTTCCAAAGAGATAACACTTGATTCTGTTCTGTTTGTCTTAAATCTAAGTTGCAATCTGCTATCTATAAGCAAACTTACAAGAGCCCTTAAGTGTGTTACTAAATTTCTTACAAATATGTGTGAATTTTAGGATTTAGAGTCGGGGAAGATGATTGGCAATGCTAAGATGTATGCAGGACTTTATATCTGAAGAGCTAATGATTCTGAAAGACAATATTAGAAGATCTCTTGTGTGGCTTCATCCTTTAGTAATAACAAAGATAGTAATATCATGTTGTGGCACTATCGATTAGGTCATCCAAACTTTTTGTACCTCAAAAAGTTGTTTCCCTCATTATTCAATAAAAATCCTAACAACTTTCAGTGTGACGTTTGTCAACTATCCAAACATACCCGTACCACATATCCTAATTAACCTTACAAATCATCCCATCCTTTTTCAATGGTACACAGTGACGTTTAGGGTCTCTCCATAGTAAATAACATTACTGGTTCTCTAAATGGTTTGTCACATTTATTGATGATCACACCAAGGTTACTTGGGTATTCCTTCTTCAGCTATTCCAAAACTTCTCAACAATATGATCCAAACTCAATTCAAAACCAAAATCCAAGTGTTGAGAACCGACAATGGGAGAAAATACTACAATTCAATCCTTGAATCATATCTAATGAAGCATGGTATAATTCATCAAAGCTCATGTGTCGATATTCCTCAACAGAATGGTGTTCCTGAAAGAAAGAATGGACATTTGTTGGAAATTGCAAGATCCCTCATGATGGCTACCCATGTACCTAAGTATTTTTGGGGTGAGGCTATTCTTACCGCTACATATCTTATAAACAGAATGTCTTCTCAAGTCCTGAAATTTCAAACCCTTTGCCAATCTCTTCTCAGTTCCTATCCTCACCTTTGAATCATCTTGTCTATTCCCATTAAAGTGTTTGGATGCACTACATTTGTTCTTAACCGCTAACAAAACCAAAGCAAATTAGATCCCAAATCCAGCAAATGCATATTTCTCGGATACTCCCCAAATCAAAAAGTATACAAGTGTTACTCACTAATAACAAATAAATTCTATCATTCCATAAATGTTACCTTTTTTTAAAATCAACCTTCCTTTCCCAAAACTGCCATTCAGATGGAGAATCCAATCACACGAGAAAATCAGCTTTGGGAAGATCTTATTATCGAACCACCAAACACTTCTCCAACTCCCTTTCAAGTCCAAAACATCCAACTAGATCCTCCAAGCCCAAAGTTCACACGAGAAAACAAACAAAGAATTGATTGTCTATTCAAGAAGACATAAAACTCAGAAAGATCTAGCAGAATGTACACCTTCAAATCAAAACCAAGAATCTAAATCGATTCCAATGATACTTTAAACCAACACATGTAACACTCTTACTGAATTTGATTCAATTGAATCCTTTGATGATCTTGATCAACCAATTGCATTAAGGAAAGGTGTGAGATCATGTACTTAACACCTAATCTATAATGTGGTTTCTTATGAAGGTTTATCACCTACTTATCGGGTTTTGTTAATATTCATGAAGCACTCATGCAACCAAAATGGAAGATAGCTGTTTTGGAAGAAATCAGTGCCCTAGATAAGAACAAAACATGGGAGATTTCAGAATTATCCAAAGGGAAAAATCCAGTTGGGTGCAAATGGATTTTTACTGTCAAGCACAATGCAGATGGAAGTATTAACAGATTCAAAGCTCGCCTTGTTGCAAAAGCATTTACTTAATCTTATGGTGTTGACTATGAGGAGACATTTGCTCTAGTTGCTAAATTTAATCCAATCAGGGTGTTATCATCATTGGCAGCAAATCTAGATTGGCCACTCCACCAACTAGATGTCAAAAATGCGTTTCTTAATGGCGACTTTAAAAAAGAAGTTTACATGGAAATCCCTCCAGGATTCAAAAACCAGGACAATTCTAGCAAGGTATGTAAACTTCAAAAGTCTTTATATGGTCTCAAATAATCCCCATGTCCATGGTTTGATAGACTAACAAAGGTGCTAAAGAAGTATAGTTTTTCACAATGCCAGACAAATCACACCATGTTTGTAAAACATTCACCTAAAGGAAAATTAGCCATTCTTATTGTTATGTGGATGACATTATTCTTACTGGAGACTATGTGGAAGAAATTAGCAACCTAAAGAACCTCTTAGCCAAAGAATTTGAAATCAAAGATTTGAGACACCTCAAATATTTTCTTGGCATGAAGGTAGCTCGCTCAAGGAATAGCATCTTTGTTTCACAGCATAAGTTTGTCCTAGGCTTACTAAAAGAAACTGGAATGCTTGGATGCAAGCCTGCTGACACCCTTATGGACATAATGAATAAGGTAGGAATGGAATAAGGAAGTACACCAACAGATAAGGGTAGATATCAAAGACTTGTTGGGAAACTCATCTACCTCTCTTATACAAGACCAGATATCAGTTTTTTGGTTAGCATGGTAAGCAGATTCATGAACAACCCAACCGAGGAACACTTGAGGGCTATGCATCGAATCTTACAATTCCTAAAGAAGAGTCCTAGTAAAGTGTTATTTTTTAAGAAGACATCACATTGAAATGTTGAAATTTACACTGATGCTGATTGGGCTGGATCTGTTATCGACCGAAGATCAACTACTGGTTATTGTACCTATATGTGGGGAAATTTGGTTACTGGGCATAGCAAAAAGCAATCTATAGTGGCTAGAAGTAAGGCGAAAGCTGAGTTTAAAGCTATGTCTTATGGCATATGTGAGGGAATTTGGCTGAAAAGGTTGCTAGGGGAGTTAAAGGTTTCTGCGGAAGAATCCATGAAGATATTTTGCCACAACAAAGCTGTCATAAGTATAGCAAAGAATCTTGTTCATTATGATAGGACTAAACATGTGGAGATTGATCATCATTTCATCAAAGAGAAGATAGAGGAAGGAATTGTTAGATTAGTTTATACTCCCACATGCCTCCAAACTACAAACATACTCACTAAAGTTCTCTCTCGAAACAACTTCGAGAATCTAAAGTCCAAGCCGGGCATGATTGACATCTACCAACCAGCTTAAAGGGGAGTATGGACATCTAATCTTCATTATTACTTGATTGATTGACTTTATCTATTTTAGTTAAGTCTTATTTTTAGAATAAGAAGTGATTTGGGTAATTACACCAAATCCATTAGATATTTTCTTATCATGTGTGGAGAGTAAATTACTCATTTGATTAGCTGTTTTAATGCATGAAAATCTTGGGGGTTTTAAGGCTGAGAATATTCAATCTTTAGCCTATATATTTTCATGCAATTCTAGTATTGTAATAAGAAAAATATAAAAGAATAAAATAGTTTTATTCTAGAGATTTCTTCAAAAATTGACTTTCAAAATTACCTGGTCATGAATGTTGTATGGAAGTGTAAAACCAAAGTCCAGCAGCAGTGTGGCATTTGGAAATTTTCCATAACTTATCAGTACCTAGACAAGCAATTAAAATGAACATCAGAATTCAGATTCTGCAGCACCATACCACAAGCTTAAAGTCAAACAAGATAACAATACTAACACATTCCCAGTTAGCACAAGGAGACCACTGGTTGCATTAACATTCAAACCATACCTCATAATACTAAGTCTTAAAGATCTAATTATAAAAATAAAAGAAATTGTAGGGGTATTCAAACTTAATGGGGGTCTTTAAAGCCTGAATCTGATGTTAAAAGTACTGCATTTTCTTTTTCCTTTTTTAACTTTTAGAACATGTAAGAATTCAACCATGTAAAATTCACAATCTTTATCCATATAATGCCCTAGATGCATGTTTGCATACAGGCCAAATCATATGATTCACTAAAGTAGTATCCTGGTGTACTTCGGAATATGAAGAGAATACCAAGAACAACTCAAGGAAACTATAGAGAAATTGTTAGCATCCAAATGCAATCACTTTTTGAGCACATAATTTTTTGTATTTCAAGATCACTATTCAGTTTAATACATGTTAAAGTTGAATTTCTGGTCAGAGATTATCACACCAGAAAACTTCAGAATAGGAAGAGGAAAGTAAATATGAGAAAGAGAGAGAGAGAGAGAGAACAAAGAGATAAAATAACCAAGGCAGTCAAACAAAAGAGCAGGTAAAGAATAAATAAGCCTCCAGGATATAAGTTGAGCACATGCACATTAAATAGAAGCTTGTTGGCTTTATATGTTTATGATAATGTTATAAAGCCAAGGTTTCTAAGCACTAAGAGACAAGAAGGAAAAGAAGCAATTCAAAATTAACCAACAAGAAATAAAAACTAACAAGGAAACAAATATAAGAAATTATTCCCATGAAAAGGAAAGAAGGGAAACCATTCCACTGAAATAGTTCTAACCTCTTCACCAGGAGAATAGTTACGATCAGCGATAACCTGCCCAAGTAATTTAAAAAATGAAATAAACCTAAAGATATAATCTAACAAATCACAAGTAAAAATTTAAAACAAATTTGTATAACCAGAGACTATTTGATGTATAGCAATAAAAACAAGAATTGTCCTCTTCAGTTCATCATCACCTCTGTCAGTATCTAAATATATTCTCTCACTAATGCTAAGTGAGCATACCTCTGACAACTTTTTATCTTCGTCAAATAATACAATTGAGTTTGAAACCCCATCGTGATTCATAAAATCTGTAAATGGAATCTACATAATAATATAAGAATAATAGAAAGAGCTATTGTACTAAAATAAAACAACACTAGAATAACTGTTGAAAACCCTCCAGAACAACTGACATTATTGAGAAGCAATACCAGAGATAGGCCCTTTGTGCTTTCCCAGGCTCGGGATGTTACTGCCACATTGACAACAAACTAGTTAGAAAATTAAACAAAATATAAGGACTATATATTACTACTTCATGAAGGAAACCCTAGTTACCACTTATCCCTTTCTAAAAATATGCCATGGTTCACCAAATTTAATTAACTCACTTAATCTTATCAGCATTCAATACGTCATGGCTAGCAGGATGATGTGTGACAGAAAATAATATAAGTAGCTGCAAATTTGAAAAACTAAAAAACCTTATGGACATAAGCTCACTTTAAAAAAATGAAATTGATTTTAACATGAGAAAGAATTGACAACCATTAGCATTTAGCAGATACTACATTAGCAAATAAGGGCTTACCTAGGAAATATGCACGCATGAAATCTTTAAGTGTGATGCTTTCAAAAAGCTCAGGGAATTGTTCAAGGGCCTGAAATATGAAATAACTTGTCATAGTCACATCTCCCACAGAAGACAAAGCCAACATACACAAACATCATAACTATAAAGAAAGCAGCAATGAAAAGACTAGAACAGACCCCTATTCCTTTCCTACTTCCTTTTCCCATCTTTTTATGCCAAACAAATTTCTTCATTTTTCTTATTATATTCAAGATTACAACCAATTCAACCAAGTTAATGGTAAAGAAAAACAAACTATCCATGATGTAAACTATTATCCTTGATTAAGTCATCTTTGTGAGTTGAAAACTCAATTACACAAAATTAAAAGAACAAAATTACACTTTTAATAGACGTTCCAGGACTTCGGTTGTTTTATCCCCAGAAAATAAAATAAGACTTGGAATCAAGAATATTGTAGCATATAGCCACACACATTATACATGATTGTGAATCAGAGACACATATAGGGTTGCATTTTTTATTCTCTATATGTGCATAATACAAAATTAACTAGAGAAAAGCAATGACTACTTACGGGCATAACTGCAGCAAAATCTTTTTCTATTGTAACTTTTTGATCAACTGTTTCCTGATATACTGAACTTTGACAAATCAGATCCAATTCGTATTCGCTCCAGAAAATCTATAGGGGTACAAAGACGTTTTATGATTCTGAGCATAATGGCATCTAATGAAATTGTCAAGTTGCAGCTACAGGTTTAAATTTCAAAATGTTTCGTTTGACAATGTCACCACTAACCATAATACCAATCTTCATAAAGTTAAAATTGAGAAAATGAACATTATTAACAATATTATCAGCTTCTACTGACAATCTTTCCTCATCAGCACCACAATGTTAAAGGAGACATAAAATAATGAAGAGAATTGCTCCACTGCTCAAAGAAATAGAGGAGAAACTATTTTCATCCTAAGCAGGATCATTGTCAGTGTCATTCAATCATTTATACAATTACGTCAATAGGGATGCCATGCAAAATTCTAATTTTATTGACCATAAGGGATCAAAAACTTCAAAACTACTGGATGAAGAAACATTCACCGTGCTATGAATATACCCATGCTGAGGAAGGCAACTGATATAATGGTCCCATTCAGAATCCTGTTGCAAAAGATAAATAATCAAATCATTTAGTTCTAGATTTTCTTTGAAATGAAACATTGAAACTAAAGACAGAAATTCAACAAACAACCAAAAATTCTTACTAAATATGATGTAGAAACTATGCACAATCATTGATTCATAGGAATTTGAGCTTTCAAAAAACAGATTAAAAGAAGAAAATTCTTGTTACCTGGCCCCTTTTTTGCTCAACTAAAAGGATCATAGCAAGCTTCGAAACAGTCCCAATTTTTTTATCACTTAGTAAAGCTTTAATCTTTGGAAGAAGATTGCCTGGGGCTATTTGCTGAAAATTTTAAGAAAATTATTTACTACTTGACATCATCATTATTGTTTAAGGCACCATAAAAGAGTTGAACAAAAAGAATTGCAAATTATATACCACACTATAAGGAACTTTCAATATGCAGTCGCCAGTTCGAATGATCTCAGAAGCAAAAAGAGACCTGCAATGAGGGATTTAAAAAAAAAAAAAAAAGGTTGAGAGCTTAATAAGACTCACAACTAGAGAATAACGCAATTAAAATTTTCTATTTGGAAATGAATCCAAGTTGTTAAAAATACTATAATGACCTTCCCATGTATAGAACTTCGTTTGCTCCTTGCTACCAAGAGAAAAAAGAGAGAGTATAAGTGTTCTCTATCTATCTTTGCCATGAGATCTATCCCTTAAATATTCTTACAAAAGAAGGCAAGAAAGCAATTTAGGAAAAAGAAAGCCACAACCCACAAGCTAGAGATGCCTATGATGAACATGCCAAAGGGGTAGGAGGCTGAAGCTCATTGACATGGAAGGGATCTTACAACATTAAAACTCATCTAAAAAATAATGACATAACCTGTTTTTGGGTAAAACCAGTGAGAAAAGTCCTTCAAGCCCTTCAATTACTCTGTCTAGGAGATATCCTCTCACATGGTCAAACACTAAGCTGACAAAAGAGCTTGACAATATATTTGAAGCACACACTTCTCAATATCAACATCACAACTTTCAGAGGCCCAAATACAGAAAAATTTCAGCACATCCTTCCAATTCAATTAACAACCCACAAACTTTCAGTTCAAAAAGCAAAGAGTTGATGTCTCCTAGACTGGCAGATTAGCTGAGAGATGTGTTCATGAATTGCATCGATTTTCTATACAACCAAATGTCTCTGTTCATCATCACTCAGATCCAACAATTTAGGCATGGAAAGAGAAACCATGCATTCTTTACCCATTCAAAATAGAGCATTGCACACACAATCACATCAACTAAAAACTGTTCAGTCTGGCTGTTTTATTGCTAACAGCCAAATTCATATTGCCATTTGTTCCCAAGTATCATCTAAAAATGTAAGCGAATCTCCAGCAGTTGAATACTTTAACTGCAACACAAACATTGTCCAGATAATCAACTGAGAAATAATGCAGTTCTTTTTGCAAATTTGCAATATCATCCTCCACATCACCAAATGTTTCCTTAGCAATTTATTGGAAAATTTCAACCAGCAGAACCATAAGACCTGAATAAAATTTTTATATTTGTTGAGAGAAAGGCAAGATAGGTTGATCTAATGCGCAGGTCTGTAACTGATCAACGTTCTAAGGTTCATATACCATTTTCAGTCATGCTGCTTAGATGTCAATTGCCATTTTGGAGGACGTTTAAACTTATTCATTCCCAATTCTTAAAGGATTCCAACCATCTGCTTGCCTTTTACTTCTTGAAACAAAATTCTACTGTTACAAGAGCAAGTAGCTTCAGAACAATAAAAACAGAGCAGCCTGGTGCGTAAAGTTCCTGCTATGCACAGGGTCTGCAGAAGGTCGGAACCACTGGGTCTAATGTACAATCAAAATTCAAAATACAATCATTGAAAATAATCACTTAATAAGTCAATGGAATCCCACCATTGTATGTGAATAAAATACAACTAGATGAAATCCCACATTTGCAATTTATTTCTATTTGCAGCTATCCATTACAATTAAGCTCCATGCATTTTTCCATGCTATTAAAGAGACCGAAATATTTTCTATCAAGCAAACTGTTGAAATAATGGGAGCTTCAGTGCAACGGCCCCTTCTAATATGAATGTCAAAGTAATATTTAATAATTCTAGTCTATACTTTATTGTCCCAAAAAAGCATGTATCAAAATTGCATGCACCACCATCTCCGCATTAAACAAGAATAGCCAGTGTACCGGCACTATTTCCCTGCTTTGATCTACTGCCCTATATTGATATGATACATATAAATTCAGCTTTTATTTTCCTTACAAACAATCCACCTACATACATATAGAGTTAAGCATGGCCCCAAAGTTTCTTGAATATCAACCAGAGCACAATTTGAACCGTATTCAAGAGCAATATACCAGCAATAATCAAAATAAAAGTTTCTATTGAACTTAAAATGAAGGTAACAACAAATCATATCCCAAGTCAAAAACTAAAAAATAAATAAATAAACTGAAATAACCTGCCATATGCGGATTTCCCAATCGACAGCACTGAAGAAATCTTAGCCCCAGCCTTTTGCTCCAACCAAGGCAAAAATTCATCACATTCTTCATCCAAAGAATTTAAACCCTGCGACAACAATCAATTATTTAATTAAAAATATAGACATATAAAGTAAAGTCTTTAGTTTTAAAACATATTTAACCGTTGGATCTCATAAAATCTATGGCTGTAATTAAAATAATTATTTTACTTAATTTGTCTTTCTCTCTCTCTTTCTCGCTTCCCTGCATTTTCCCTCTCACAACTCTTCTCAATTCCCATTCATTCAAAACTGATTACGAAAAGATGTAAATCAATCCCTTGTTTCCAAAATCCCATGACTATAAATATTTTTTTTGAACAAAATCTGGTAATCGCACTCTAAAACCAGTCATAAATAAAGGAATCCCTTTTACATGGGTAGCATCCAGACAAAACGTTTTCTATTAGATTTGTAAAACTCTTTTTCTTACATTTTCCCGGGAAACAAGCAGAAAAAAGAATAGGGAGAAGAGGAAGAACCTTAGCTTGAGATAGAGAGGAGAATTTAAATATGATGAGGAGACGATGAGGGAAGTTGAAGAGTGGAGTTGATGGAGACCGCCAATGCTTGGAAAGCCGAGAACCGCCCTGGAGCATCGGCGTTCTAGAGATCATTACGTCGTCGTTTTGGGAAGCTTCCTTTCTTTTTCCTGTCCTTCCGTGTAATATATTCGCCGTTGACGGCAGGGTGAGAGAAAGAGGAAGGAATGGATAACTTGAACATCGGGATTGGTTGATTATTCATGGGAGGTATATACGTCGTCGTTCCGTGTTTTGTATTGATACTTGATAATGTTTTATTTATTATTAATGAAAAAAAAGATGATACTTGTTTCTTATCCAATTTACATCTTACAAGAATCCTCTATTTCCACCTTCCTTTTTCTTTCTACATTCAAAATTTTTATTATAAAAATACCATCCAATAAAATTACTTAATTAACTTTTAGCTAATTTCCTTTCAATTCTACTTATTCTTGATTTATAGTGTTTTCAAAAATATATATTTAAAAATTTTAAAAGTTTTTCAAAAATACGCATTTAAAACCTTTCAAACTTTTAAAATTTAAATATTTTAAAAATTTTTTGAATTTGAATCTTTGATAACTTTTAAAAACTTTTGAATTTATATATTCTAAATTTTTTAAAAGTTTTTGAATTTATATATTTAAAAACTTTAAAGATATACCAAAAACCATTTTCATATGTCAAAATTTTATTAAAAAGATATATATTACAAACTATAAAACGTATTCAATCATTCAAATATCATAAATAAATTACTTTTATATTAAAATGAATGAGTTGGAATATTGATTTTGTTTGAAAATTGATGATTTTAAACTTTGATTGAAGTGAAAATTCGAAAAAGATAAAAAAATAAACAATTTTAGGAGTTTTAATGTAAATGAGGGATAAGATAAGAAATGAATTATAATTTTATGAGCTTTGGGTTTATGATAAAAATAAATTTTGAGAGTTTGAATTTGAAGTGTTATTAATAATAAGGTGTGTAAAGTAAATGATTGGGTGCAAATAGAAATTTTCCTTAAAAAATTATTAATAGAAGAAAAGAATCATGTTGATTTTTTTTAATATTTTTTGTTTACATAAAGGTAGATATTTTGTGTAAAATGGATTTAATTAATTAAGGTTCTTTTGTTTATATTTATTTTTTATTTATTTTATATTTTTAAATTTCAACTTAATTAAATTTAAAAACTTGAAATTCAAAATTTAATTGAATTTGATTTAATTTTATTTTCATATTTGAGTGTTGCTAATTATTTATTCGAATAGTTCGAATTCAATTTTATAAAATTGATTGGATTCTACAAATTATAAAATAAATATTATATTTTATATTTTCAAAAATTAAAAATAATGATCCTTATTTACATATGAAAAATATATTTAAACTATAAAAACTTGATAATTAATAAATTGCTCAATTTAATATTAAAATATTTAAATTTAAAAACTTGACATTGGAAATTTAATTGAATTTTATTTTCATTTTTGAGTGAGGCTCATTATTTATTCGAATAGTTTGAATTCAATTTTATAAAATTGATTGGATTCTATAAATTATAGAATAAATATTATATTTTATATTTTTAAAAATAAAAAATAATGATCCTTATTTATATATTAAATATATATTTAAAATACAAAAACCTGATAATTCACAAATCACTCAATTTTAATATCAAAATATTTAAATTTAATTTAATTCTTTATAAATAAAATTATCTAAAATTCAAATTCGAACTCAATTAACTAATAAACTAATCAGATTTTAGTCCTTAAAGGATAAGTTAGGAATTAAAATATAGCACAAAATAGTTCCAGCAAAGTCAGCCGTATCAACCACAGCAAAAAGTTAAGAGGTTCAACATGCATTACAAAATAAGGATTGCATATGTCAAAGCTAGAGCTAGTACTCCAAAAGTCCCCATTGTTGGGGTAATAGCTACCACCTTTCCTTGCCAAGGGATCGATGCATTGATTGGCTTCATGAAAGATATGTGAAATCTTCTTCAATTTCAACTGGTTCGACGTAATCCTAAAGTCATAAATGAGAGGTTCAAGCATAAGGTTAGTAGGTTAAGTGCTAGGAACAGAAATGAGGCTAATAACTGTAATGCCATCAAGTTCAATTTCCAGGCATTTGATTTGCTTAGTGATGGCAAGAGAAAGACCATTTCTAAGTGCCTAGAGCTCAGCTTCTACACTAGTTGCTCTACCGATTAATCTATGGGAGCTAGCTATCCAGTTACCTTTGAGATCTTGGATAATGGCCCCAGCACCCACTCTGCCTGGGTTTCCAATTGCTGAGCTATCAGTGCTAAGTTTGTACCAGCCAAGGCTAGGGGTGGTCCACTTGACCAGGATGAAAGTGAAGGAGAGCACGGTGGGTTGGTGATTAGAGATGGCATAAAAACTTCGCGGCTTTATACAAGGCACGTTGAACGATGGGTATGCTTAGGTTTGTTTCCTTGAAAACAACGGCATTCCTAGCTAACTAGATTTCCCAAAGAAAATGAATAAAGATAAGTTTCCATAGGATATGGGGACCCTGATAGGACAATTTTGAAGTCATGTGGGGTTTGAGCCAATTAGTGAAAGGGATGGAAAATGAGGTCAGCAGAGGTGTAGGGATCTTTAGTTGCTGCCATAAAGGTTTAACACTTGGGTAGGACCTGAGGATGCAATCCATGCTCTCCTTTGCCTGGCAAAAAGGGCAAGAAACCTCTATGGTGATTCCTCGCCGAGCAAGGAACGTTTTTGTTGGTAGAATTTGGTGCATGCATTCCTAAAGAAAGAAACTGAGTTTCGAGAAGATGTTTTGCTTCCAAACCCACTTTCAGTCTTGGTTAACGCTAGGAGAAGATGAACTGTGAGCAAGATCGTAGGCGAAAGAGGTAAAGAAGAGGCCATTCCTTATGGGGTTCCAATAGATAATGCCTTGCCCAACGTGGTGTTGAGGTCTTGGGATGGCAAGAATAATGTCAAGAAGGTTGGTGGGGAGGTAGAAGGGTATAGCGGGAATGACCATTGTTGGAATAAGAGTTGGAAGTCTTTAACATTGAGCTTGTTTTCATTCGATTTGAGAGAGCCAACAAGGTAGGAACACAACGGAGTCCGAACATGTGCAGTTATTATTAAGGATATAAATGATATATTAATACTAATAAATTATTAAGATTTGATTTAAAAAATTTGAATCCGACTCATTCAACATTGAGTTGAATTTGAACTTGAATAGTTTAATTTATCAAATGAATCGAATTTGTGCATTTCAATATATGATTCAAATGACTTGTAAATCTATTTAAGTATTTTATTTTAATATATATTTTTATTATTTTAATTATAAAATTATATTTTTACTTTTAAAACTATAGGTAACAAAAAAACTCTAAATCTAAATTAAAATTAGCCTCACTCTCTCCCACTCTATCTCACGTCGCTTCTTCTAATACCTTCACTCTCTTACTTCCTTCATCTCTCTTTCCTTTTCTTTGCTAGTCTTAATTAGCCTTCTCAATCTTCTTCACTCTTTAACAATCTTTACTCTCAGCCTTCATCACGTAATCGCATCTTTGACCAACACATACTCCTAATCTTTGTCACTACAAACCCCAACAATTCGACAAGTGATATGTGAGGTGATTTAAGTCTGCTGTTGTTGGGATTTTCGCAAAGCCCATTACCCTTGCCATGTCTCTGTTTCTCGTTGCCCTGATTTTTTTTTTATTTTTTATTTTGTTTATATCCTTACGTTAGCACGTGACTTGGATGCTTTTTATTTTTTTAGAACGAAGGATGGACAATGTTAGGATTTTTTTTCTCTTTGTTTTGCTATTAGTCAGGTGTTTACATGTCTCATGAGTTTATATTTCATGAGTTAGATGGTTTTTGTTTGTAAACACATAAATTCTGTTGGCTATAATAAGTTATATTGAACTAATCATCTGTTGTTTTTACAAGCCAATAAATTATATTTAAATGAATTTAAATGAGGTAAATTGGCCTTATTGTTTTTTCAGCCATCCTGCAAAGATTTTTTTTAAAAATCTTATTAATTTTGGATTATTAATTTTTGTTTTTCTTTTATCTCATTAAACTTGTTATGTAATATATTAATTAAAGTTTAAAATTTTTTATTATGATTTGAGTTTAATCGAGTGAACTCGAATTTAAAAAATATAACTCTATCAAATTTGAATCGAATTTTGATTTTTGAATTGAGGTCGAACTTGAGCATGTCAATGTATTAACTAAACTCAATAATTACACTTCTAATTATCATGGGAAAAACTTATATTATCCATCATTGACAATCCATCTTAAACCCTTTTAAAGTACTTTTTGAATGACTTTCATTGAGTTTTTAAGCATAGAGATAATGTAGGCTCTATTTGTTTAATAAAAAATGATTTTTGAAAAATATTTATAATTTTTGAATTGAAAGAAATTTTTTGTTGTTTAAATAAATTAATAAAAAATAATTTTCGTCGTTTGGTTATTTTTTGAAATTTTTTTTTAAAAAATAATATTAATATAATTATTAAAATATTAAAAATTAAAAATTATTAATTATTAAAATGTATTGAAAGTATTTATTATTAAAATTTTTAATATTAAAAAATAATAATATTTTAATAATAAATATTTAATATTAAAATATTATGTTACTATAAAAATATTTAAAATAAAACTATTTATTATTCTTTATATTATTTATTAATATATTATAATATTTTTATTAATAATATTTATTGATATATTATATTAATAGTATATTATTTATTAATATATGATTAATTAATATAATATTATTTATTAATTAATATAATATTATTTATTAATATTAATGATTAGTATATATTTATTTATAATAATATTTATTAATATTATATTATTTATTAATATATAATAGTATTATTTATGAGTATATTATAATAATTATTGATATTTTTATTAATATATTATATTAATAGTATATTATTTATTCATATAATATTATCTATTAATATATTGTAATATAATATTATTTATTTATTAATATAATATTATTTATAAGTAAAATTATATTAAAAATATTAATAAATAGTTATAATTATAAATAGTTCTTTTTTAAAAAATATTTTTTTGTAATTTTTAAAATAATTTAAAAAAATAATTTTATTTTTTATTGATTAATTATTTTTTATCAAATAAATATTTAAAAATATAAAAATTATTTTTCATAAAAGAAACAATAGGAAGTGCCTATGGGATTGAGATACTTGGCACGTAGCATAGCTCGTCAAGGTGATGTAACAATCTCTAACTAAATTTTGTGAGAAGGGCCACATTCTAGGGCTTAGAACATTTAATCCCACGGCCCCCATCAGCTTTTCCATTTGGTGACAGTGTGCCAGTTTACACGGTGAATTTTCCTTTTCATCGTTAATGTCTCGTCACGGGAAGTTCCAATTTATCCTATCAAGTTCGGTACACGTACTGGTAGGGAGGGAGATGCAAAAAATTCAAATTAAAATATTTTATTGCTGTCAATTATTGGTCAATGTCAGAACTGGTCCTGTTTTGATTGTCGTTTTGTAGGAAGCTTCCTCGTCTCTTCAACTTTCAGCTACCCCAAATTAATAAATTTTTTTAAAAAATTAATCATTAAAAATAAAATTAAACAATAAATATAAAATAAATGAATAGTACCAAAACAAAGAAAAGCATATAGATAACTATGGCCGGCAAATGCAAGTGGATGATCATGGTGGAGCCTACATGGCCATGATTTTCCAAGCAGGTAACACGCGTCAATCATCTATTGAACCTCATTTTCCATAGCTTTGAAAAAGACATCATCGAATCTCCACCAAAGCCAAAAATTAAAAAATAAAAAAAAAGAAATTTCTCTATATAATGTGCAAGTTGTTAGCCCTAGGGTACACACTTAATTAGATTCCCTTTCTTTTATTTTGTTGAAGCTTTAGATTTCAATCTCTCTTTCCTTTTGATCAGGTAAGATTTCTTTTTTTTTTTTTTCGATTTTTATTTTTAATAATTATTATAATTAGGTCAATATTTCTTTTTTGATTTTGATTTCATGTACTTTTACCTGTAAATGGATTCATTTTTTTTTTTTAATTTTTAGATTATATTTATCTTGTTTGAATACTTCGATCTGATATGTCTTTTCTTGATTTTTCTCTTACCCTTTTTCCGCTTAATTCATGTTGATTTAATGCAGTGCAAGAATCGATCTGTTTGTTTTAAAATTTTGATCGGCTTTAGATATTTTTTATTCATGTTCTAGATTGCTTAGATGTTTATTTAAATATTTTATTCAAAAAAATTGGGGATAATTTATGGATAATTTGTTTGTGTTAGTTTGTTTATTTTTGGAATTTATAAATTATTTTGTGAATTTGGAACCAATTTTTGGCTGTATAAATTTACCCTTTCATTTCTTTTTTAATTGCAGGTGTTTCTTACTGGTTCTGTTGTTAGGTTATATGAGAGACAATGAATTGATTTGGGAATTTTGCCTTTTAAATAGGGATAGATTTCAGGGTATGGTTTAAAATAATTGTTTTGCTGGAAGTTAATTTTAATCTAAAAGCTGGTAAGAGAGAAGAAGGCGAGGCGAAAATTTTGGAATCATGCCGGTATCTGGAAATGAAGAGGTGTCTATCTTTTTTTTTTTTTTAATTTTTATTCTTTTTAAGTTTCTAGCATCTAAGCTTAGGGAAATTGTTTCAATATTTTTATGTTTTTGTGTTGAATATTGATTTATTTATGTTCTGTTGGTAGATGGGAGTTAAACCCAGTGTTGGGCAGTTTAGTGAATACAATGCAGGTATTCCAATAAAGAAAAGGAGGTATCCCTTGATTTGCTCACCTTCTCAACCGACTGAAGATTCGCCTTTACTATCAACTGAAAATGAATCAGAGCAGAAAGGAGTTTCTAGTCCGCTTCAGGGTTCAGCTATTTCAAATGATAGCATTGTTGCAACGAGCTCAAACATCGGTGGTGTTGAAGCAAGTTTAAACACTAGTGGTGCAGTAGGGAGTTCAAATGCTAGTGTAGCTGCTGGGAATTTAACTGTTACTGGTGCAACGAGTTCAAACATCAGTGGTGGTGAAGCAAGGTTAAACACTAGTGGTGTAGTAGGGAGTTCAAATGCTAGTGTAGCTGCTGGGAATTTAACTATTACTGGTGTTGCAGCTAGTTTGAATGCTGGTAGTATTGCCGCAAGTTCTACTTCTCGTATTGTTACAGCAAGTTCTACTGCTAGTAGTGTTACAGCAGGTTCTAATGCTAGTAATGCTGTGGAAACTTCTAATTCTAGTGGTGTTGCAGCAAGGGTTTCAAATGTTAGTAGTATTGCAGCAAGTGTTTCCTGCTTTTCTGATGCAAGTGAGAGATCTTTAACTGAGAAAGAGAAGAAAAGTTCTGATGATACAGATGGCAGCATGGTGCAGGGTAATAGTAACCTCCTTAGGGTAAAACTTGAAGAACAAAGCTTTACTGTTCACTCTAGGACTTTGTTTGATAGTGACAGCCAAGGGAAGCTTGTGGCAACTGGAGAATCTGACAATATCCTGAGAAAGTCAACAGAATCTGAGTTGGACTTAGTAGGCAATGATCCTCGGTCTTTGTTTGGTACTGACAGCAAAGGGAAGCTTGTGGCAACTGGAGAATCTGATAATATCCTGAAAAAGCCAACAAAATCTGAGTTGGACTTAGTAGGCAACGTTCCTCTTACTCTTAATATAGGGAAAGTTATATATAGCCAGCAAAATAGAGATGGAAAGTGTAGATCACAATTACCTACAGTTTCTGGGAACCCTGGATTATCATTAGGTTCAAGGGAATATCTTTCAGCTATGGCTAGTGGAAATAATGAGCATGGTTTTCAAAATCAGGAAAAGGCAGAACCTGTTTCCTTGAATCTATCTTTAAGCAAAGGAGAATGCAGTGCTCAACTTAAAAGTACCAATGTCCAGCCTAATACTAATGGTGCTGATATGCTTGCTGACAGAACAAACTGGGATTTGAATACTACAATGGATTCTTGGGAAGTTCCTGCCAGTGATGATGGTGCAAGCCAAAAAACTACTCATATGGATGATATAAAGCCATTAATTTGCTCAGCTGGGATGACTGCTACCAGTATGCCTATACAGCGGAAAATACTTGAAGAGTTTGAGTGCATACTATCTAGCCAGCAGTATAGCGCTGAGGATTCACTTCGTTTGGGCCTCTCTATGCCCCATCTTCATTTGAACTCCAAGGAAAAACCTTCAGGCTCATCAGCTGAAGTGGACTTGCGCAAAGTTATTACAAATATCAACTCACCTGGAGAATCAATGCCTGTTGCCAAGTTGACCATGGTTAACTTTAAGCCTGTAAAATCAGAACCATTTGATGAGAGCATCAAAACTAATTCTGTTGTAGTTAAAGCCAAACCTATGGGCTTGTTAAATAGTACAAGGGTGAAGTGTGAATTAGTTGAAAAGTGCAGTTCAGAAAGTTCAAAATCTTCAAGTCTCAGTCCCTTAAATTCAGTTGATGTTAGATCCATAAAACCTGAACCAGTGCTCGAGGGTAACCAGGAAACACCAAAGAGAATGGAGGGATCATTGAATCAATCGGATGACCAAATGCTACGTCCTCTGGATACTGCAACAGTACCTACTTCTACTGATTTGTCATTACATGGTGATGTGTCAACTCACGTGGAACATTTTATTCAAGCCAAAGAAATTAAGCCTTGTGGTGAGGCTGAAGATGCTTCTAAAATGATTTCTTCTGAGGTGCATGATGTTAATGAATTAAAGATTTCCGGTAAAATAGATAACTGTACTTCCCAGAATAAGAATGTTGAAGATCCTGATCATTGCAGACTGAAATTTGTGGATGTAAGACTGCCTGATTCAAGGGGAACAGTTGAGGGTTCTGTAAGTGATGAGGAAAAAATTAATTTATCAGGTGACATTCAAGAGGAAGATTCATATGGCTCTAATTATGAGTCAGATGACAATCGAGAGTTAGCTGCAGCTATGGATATGGAACATGATGGTAGTGCAGAAGATGATTTTGAAGATGGTGAGGTCAGAGAACCTGTAGAGAACACTGAGATAGGGACTCCAATATGTGAGAGGCGAGAGGCAAGAAATGGAAATGATGGTGATTCTGGTTATAGAAACTCAGAGTTTGTAGGGTTTGTTGGTGATAAAAATCCATTTTCATCCTCTGTCAAAGTAAAAGAAACTCAAGGAGAAGACCCTGGTAAAACAAGTGAAGATAATACTAATGAATGTATTGACACAACTGTCAATCAGGATTCCACTACAGAAGCTGATAAAGAGGTCTGTTTGCAAGAATCATCAGCTGTTGATATGCATTCCAGTCCAACTGGCAAAAAGAGACCCATTAAGGCCATGCCAAGAAAAGCACTTGATGTATCAGAAACTGAGGATACTGTTAAAGTGCAAGAGGGAGAGCAAACGTCTATCGAAGCCTCTGATACAAGCCAGGGAACTTCAGTGACCATTGCTCCAGGTGCAGATGCTGCTAAAAAAATTAATTCAGAAGGAAACAGCAATTCAGTTTTACCTAAGGCAGAAGCATTTTTAAATGGTGATGATGCAGGTAAGGATGTCAACGATGGAGGTAATAGGAGTCGGATTATAAACTTATCTCGAGCTTCTAATCTGTCATCTCCTGGCAGAACAAGATCTATTTCAGGCAGGACATTGCAGTCGCAAGTTGGAAGAGAGAGATTGCCTGATGTTGCCCTTGAAGGAGATAAGTTTCATCCTCGAGGGAGGTGATTATTGCTATTTATCATTGCTGCTTTCTTTTAGTTTGTTTATATCTTTTGATGATTAATAAATGTCTGTTATAATTTTTCTTTCTTCTGACAATTTTTACCCTCAGAGATGAAGCTTACGGTGACAGTTCACATAGATTCTCAAGAGAGAGGCATCATGATCAGCCATCCAGAAACAATAGAATAAGTTTTATGCGTGGAAGAGGTAGGATTTCGAGTCGGATAGACACCCTACGTGGTGGTCGGGATTCAGAATGTAACTTTGCTTCAGAGTTTTATAATGGTCCTACAGAATTTCGTGTTGTCAGACATAAATATGCATCTGCTGTTTCTGATGCAGATCTTAACTTTAGTAGCTATAATAATGGGCAAGATGGTGCATATTTTGGTGCTGGACGAGGTGGGAGAAAGATTTTGAGTGATGATTCATCAATTTTCCCCCACTTACCCCGAAGGAGGCGGTCTCCTGGTGGAAGAGATGGACCTGCTGCATGCGGGCTTCCATCGGTTCGCAGAGTTCCAAGAAATCTTAGTCCAAGTAGATGCATTGGTGAAGATGGATCTGAATTAGTTGGATTGAGGCATATGAGAGGTTTTTCTGATGACCATACAGACCCAATGTTTGCACACTCCCAACCTTCATTTGAGGGATTAGATGGTCCTTTTGCTAGGGGGAACAGGGAGTTTCCATCTGTTCAGAGAAGGGGTCTTCCACGAACTCATTCAAAGTCTCCGACAAGACCACGAACTCGCTCACCTGGTCCATGGGCTTCTCTTAGGAGAAGATCACCCAATGGATTTGGAGGGCCTTTGGAATTACGTAATCGAAGATCATCACCAATTTACAGGATGGGGAGGATGAGATCACCTGATACTTATTTCGCTGGAGAAATGGTTCTTAGAAGACATGGATCTCCTCCATATTTGTCTCGACCGTCTAATGATTTGCGGGATCTGGATCCTGTTCGAGATCATGGTCATCCAAGGTCTGGCATCCCTAATAGGAGCCCATCTGGTCGTGTTTTACTTAGAAACAGTAGACGTTTGGATATTGTAGATCCTCGAGAAAGGAATGATGGTGATGATTACTTTTGTGGGCCCATGCCATCTGGCAGGTTTCATGAGCTTGGTACTGATGGAAATGCTGATGAGAGGAGAAGGTATGGTGATAGACGAGGACCTGTTCGGCATTTTAGGCCTCCTTATAGTGGTGCTGATAGTGAGAATTTTCATCTTAATGCTGAGGGTGGCCCTAGATCCTTTAGGTTCTGTACAGAAGATGATCCAGAGTTAAGTGAAAGAGGAAATATGAGGGAAAGGGAATTTGATGGACGGATCAAAAATCAACCTGGGAATGCTCCTAGGAGGACAAGAAACATTGAGGAGCAGGAGGGAAATTTCAGGCATGGTGGTCAAGTTTGGCATGATGATGGATTTGATGATATGTCACGAGTGAAACGAAAACGGTTTTGAGTAGGTTTGTTTATGCCATTAGTCACTGTTAATGATGTAAATTATTGGAGCAGCGGGGCCAGAATCTGTTACTTCCACTTTCTGCATAGTTAGGGATACCATGTTTAGTGTTTACCATTCTTGACTGTTTTCTGCATATGCCATGATCCCTTGTTTAGGATGTAAAATAAAATATGGAAGCAGCTGCTAGCAGAACCAGTTGATGGTAATTTTTAGTGCAATGGAAGTATGTGGTACTTTGGCCGAAGAACGGATCAAGATGCTTTTGTTTGGCAGGTTTTCGAGAGACAACTCAAACCGTCTCTGTTAACCTAACTTGATATTTGCTTGTTATTCCTTTGGCCAGACCTTTTTCCAGCTGATAAAAGGTGAGTGCTTGCATTTGAAAGAACAAAAGGAAACAAAGGGTATGATTAATTTATCTATTACTTACATGAATAAATTCGCATTTGTGCATGCTACCCAGCTGGTCATCACTTTAATTGCGAAAATGGCATGGCTTCATGTGGTACAGATTGACCGACTTTATTTTTATAAATGACTTCCCTGTACAGTAACATAAAGGTTAAGTGACATTGTTTTCAAGCTTTTTCATGGGACAGTTGGATATTGCCATGAAAATTGAAAATCTAAATTTAAAAGAAATGAAAGAGAGGCAGAGCTGCAAATGCTGCATTTTACTGCAATACCTGCCTCTACTGGTGCTTTGACTCTTATTTCTTCTCGACATAAAGGATCCAAGTTTTATGAGATGGGAATTATTGAATCTGGCCTGGGTTTTTGGTTCAGAGCAGCAGGTTATTCTGTGAATATAAACCTAATCTATTGTTCCAGTAGAACTAAATTCTGAACTTTTTAAACTTTGTCTCTTAGCATGAGATATGGATCAGTTACATCAGATTTTACCTTCATGTTCACATTGTGGTAGCTTCTGTATTGAATTATTATTATTATTTTTTGCTTCGAGCCGGTCATGTGTGCTATCATCTGTGTGGATAGAGATCAGGTCTGCGATGGTATGCTGATGAATAAATTGTTGAATGTTTCAATTTGTGGGTCCTATGCTTCCCTGGTTTATTGGTTGAAATGTGAAAGTGATGGGGGGTTTGATTCTTAAGAAATAGTCTCTAAACTTCTAGCCAAAAAAAAAGAAAGTTGTTAGAAGTTGATCATTATCTGGAAGGAAGCAGTGATTATGCATGGGGGATGGTGATTGATGTGTGTACTTTCACATCCCCTGTTTAAGGATGGTTTAATTGACCTCCATCAAGATAATGGAAATTTCATATGTTCAAGCAGGTTGGGGAAATTCTAAGGTTTTGAAGCTGGGATTACAACCCAAAGGCAAGGCAGGCCCTTTTTTTTTTTTTTTGTGAAATATTCTCAATCTCAAGTTATAAGCATCCTGGGTATTTGTTCTAGATTTAGCAGAAAGCACTATGAAAATAATACACTTAAAAATGAAAAATAAAGGGTAAAAAACTTGATTGGCGGTAATTGATATGGGACTGCTTCAATAAGTGGTCAATTTAGAGACTTAGGGTCCACTTCAAACAAAAGTCACCTGCCATACCAATCAGACTGGGGACTTTGGAAGTGGATTGCATTGGCCAAATTAGGCTTTGATGTGAATTTGAGGTTTAATGTAATTCATTTATGTCATCAAGATGACATTCGCTTAAAATTTCAGTGTATTTATATTTTCTTTTTTATTTTTAAATTCCCTTTTTTACCAAAAAAATAAATTTTATTATGCCCTTGGCAATAAATGAATAAGACAAACTTTTTAGTTTTGGTCGAAGCTTAAAAAATAATTCTTAAATAAAGTATGAAAAATTATTTTAAACATTTTCAGTGATATTGATAATTTATAAAAATGAATTCGGGAATTATTAAATTTGATTTTTGTCACATGGGTTTAATAATGCAAAAGTTAGAGAAGCGCAAGCTAAAATCTATATGATAAGAAAAAAATAATAAAATATGTTTAATGATTATATTATTAGTGTAATATAGTATAAAAAAATTATAGAAATTAAGATTTAAATTTTAATATAATAATATTATTTATAATTAATAAATGAAAATAATTTGTATATGAACTTGTGTTTGAGATCAGAAATGTCCATCTACGAGGCCTAATGAGCTAGAATCAATGAATACATTCATACACATTGAACTTCTTTTTTTTTAATATTTAAAAAAGTTTTATATTGAAATATATTTTATAATGTAATGAAATATTGCAAAAGTTTTCGGCCAAATCAAGCTGGGTTTTGATATGGGAATCTTAACTCAAACCCAGCTCAAACGGCGCCGTTTTTATTGTCGAAATAGCACAACCAGCAAAAAATCTCGGATTTTGGTAAATTGGGAAATTAATTATATCAATTCATCCTCTAAAATTAAATTATAAATTATATATATTTCCATCTAAACTTATATATATATTTGAATTTGATGTAAAATAAAATTAATTAGTTATTATATCCAAACATTTAAAATTAATAATATATTCTCCTACTTTAAAATTAATTTTAAATTTTATTTTCTTCAATTAAAAATTTTATGATGATCATCACAATATTAATCAAAATTTAATATTTTTCATTAATTTAAAATCATAAAATCCATTATTTTTTTTAAAAAAGCCATCAAACATTGACTAATTAAAAAATAAAACCAAATTCAAAATTCATTTGTCTCATATTTTTTCAATATTAATTAATTTGTTATAACTATAATAATAAAAAATATTAATGCAATTCTTTTAAAAACCGATTTTCCTTATTTTATTTTATTTTATCTATTTATATATAGAGATTATAAAAGGAGGGGATTCAAATCCTTTCAATTTTCTAATTCAAAATTGGTAACAATTCAACCACTCTAAATAAAAACGACGACCATTAAACGAATAAACGACGATGACCTCAAAAACATCCATGATTGACTCTCTTTTTCTTTCTCTTTAATTTTTTTTTTTTTTTTTTATAAATTTCTTCCATTTATCATTCTTCTTTGTCTGTCTTTCTATCTCGCTCGTGGGATTTTGGTTTTTTTTTTTTTTAAATTCAATTTTGTTTTCTATATTTTCTGCTATGTTTTAATTTATTCTTTTACTTTGTAAAATCCTATATCTAATTACTTCACATATGAATTTTCCTTTTTGATCTCAAAATTTTGTTCTTTGCTGCGAAAAACACTTAAAAAGCTTCTCCTTTTCACCATCAATTTCGAGGGCTTTTGAAGGTTAGAAATTGGTTAGTTTCCTTTTATTTTAATTAGGGTTTTATGGTTTTTTTTTTTAATTTTCTAATTATTATTTCAATGCAAAAGTTTCAACTTTTTTGGGTAATTTAATTCTTGATTTGATAAAGTTAGTAGTTCTTTTTTGGGGTGCTAATTTTCTGCTTTTGTTTTTTTTGTTTTTGTTTTTGTGGTGAAATATAGGGATGATGATGAAATGATGAATCAAGCTACTAATACACAAACATCAGCCGCACTTGACCCAAACTCTATTGAGGTAATTTCCTTTATTTTTTTAAAAGGGGGGCTCAAATGGTTAAAAGAAGTTGATTCAGTAATGAGTTGGGTTAAAATTGAAAATCAAAGGTTGTAGCAATGTTTGTGATGAACAAAGTTAGAAGTTTCTAAGTTATTTAGTTAGATTTTAGTGCTTTAGGTATTTTATTGAAGAATATTGCTTGATGTGGTTAGTTTGAATTGGATTACAACGATGTTGAAATCGAAAACTAAAGGTTATAGCATTGCTTTGTAGATTGGATTGAAGTGTTATAGTTAGGTTTAAGCTCTTTAAGCATTTTCAAAGTGAAGAATATTTCATGTTGTGAGTTTGGTTTGAGTAAGAATTGGATTAAATGGGTGTTCTAATCTTAGTTTTTAAGGTAGTAACACTGTTTGCAATGATTTCAGTTTGAAGTTTCTAAGTTGTTAAGTTAGGTTTGGCTCTTTAGTCTTTTTTGTGGGGCAGAATATGCTTCTTGTGAACTGGATTGGCTAGAGTTGGATTGTAAAAGTGTTGATATCATATACTGAAGGGCATTGTTAGTAAAAAATTGGGTTTGAAGTTTCTAAGTTGTTTAGTTGGGTTAGAGTTCTTTAGGCATTTTGGAAGTGAAGAGTGTTTCATGTTGTGAATTGGGTTTGATTTTTACATCAGTTAGTTGTTTGAAAAGGACAGGCTATTATCTGGTGGTTGATTCTACTTGTACATACTACATCCAAGTTAATGGCATATTTTAGAATTAGTTATATTTGAAGTTCTGAATTTACAAGAACCTTATTTTAGATAAATGATGCACTTTCGTGATTGGCATCTGAATTCTGTTATTTTGGTTGGTTATTTCTCATTCATTTACTTTTGTTTCTTTTTTCAGAACTGATATATTGTTAATGTGAGTCAAGGGGCAGACATCTTCATATGTTCCCTCAACAACTGGTTCTGAAGTTGCATCATGGAACATGTATGGTGTGGATAATCACTCTGTTGAAAATAGAAGTTTTTCGAATTCCACTTACCATCATATTCAGCACATAGAGGCATCCACAAGAACCATTCAGGATGGGTCAAATGCAACATCTCTTGCTACTTCATCGAGCTTAGGAATGGCAAATGCAAAGCCAGACTACAGTGGCTATAATTCATACTCAAATTCTGCTGATCCTTATTCATATGGGAGCACAGGATACCAAGGTTAACATAATGGTTATCAGCAACAACCTAACCCCTCCTACTCTCAGCCAGTACGAGCATATCAAAACACAGGTGCTCCTTACCAGCCTCTTTTGTCATTTCAGAATACAGGGTCTAATGCTGGGCCTGCAAGTTATTCAAGCGCTTACCACAATTCTGGTGATTATCAGACAGCAGTTACACTCATCAGACTACCACGTGGAATGAAGGCAATTATGCAAATTATACTACTCACCAGTATTCAAACTACACTCCAGATACAAGCGGGGCTTATGCTGCTGGTAATGCTGCTACAAATTCATCGCAATATCAGCAGCATTACAAGCAGTGGGCCTTTTATTACAATCAAACGGAAGTTAGTTGTGCCCTGGGAACAGAAAATTTGTCCGTTGCTAGTACATCCACTCAGCTGTCTCATGTGTCTCAGGTTCCCGCTGTTAATGGTGGAAATCCCAATTCAAACAGCCAAGCACCCCATCTTGGAGGCGAGAG